TAATAAAATAATAATTTAATTAAGCTTAGTAAATAATTTAATTTTAAAAAAATTTATTTTTAAAAACTAATTATAAGAAATTATTTAATTTTTTAGTTATACTTTATATAATATAACTTAAAAATAATAAATATAGCTATTTTACTTTATTTTAGCTAATAATAACTTTATAAAGTTTAATAAGTTAATAAATTAAGGCTTATATAAATAATTAATTATATAAAATAAGAATTTTATAAATATATCTAAGATAATAATAACTAATATAAGAAGTATTTAATCTTAAAATTAAAAACTAATACTTATATTAACTTAATTATACTTTAGTAAAAGCTAAAGTATTATTTATACTTTTTATATTTAAAGCTATAGCTTTAAATAAACTTAATATTATAAAATATAAAGAGTTTTAGTAGCCTTAGAAATATTAATATTTATAAAACTTAAATAACCTTTATAAGTTACTTAAGGATTTATAATAAAATAGTAAAGTAAAAAAATATAAAGTTTATACTTAGCTAAGTAGTTAAATTTTTATAAAAGACTTTTTAAAATAAGTAAGCTTATATTTCTCTAAAGTATATACTTTTTTACTTTAATTAAGTAAGGATTAATTAATTTATTAATTACTAAACTTTTACTTAAGGCTTTTTATTTAAAATAAAACTATTACTAAAGTTTTTAGTTAATAAAGTATTTTTTTTTACTTTTAGTAATTATTTTTAACTACTTTACTTTAATTACTATTTATAACTATAATTACCCTAGGAATATAAATAGTTTTAAGCTACTTACTTAGCTAAATTATATTACCTTTAGGTAATATAGCCTAGAGATATAAAAACAGAGTTTTAATATTTATAAACCTATTTTTAAAAAGTTTACTATTAGCAGGCTTACTTATAAAAAATTCTCCTTTATTTAAATTACTTATAAAATAAAAACTTAAATTTATATTAGCCTTATTTAATTAAAAGCTTAGTTATCTTTTTATAATACTTATAACTAATAATAGTTAATAAGCTTATTAAGTAAAAAACTAAGAATATAATTAATATTTTTATATATTAAATACTTATACTAAGTATAAGAAAGCTTTTATAATATAGTTAGCTAATAGTAGTATTAAAGGAATACCTTAAATACTAGGAATTAATTAATTAAAATATATAATTAAATCTTTAGAGTTTCTTAAATTATAAAATAAGGAAAATAATAATATTAATAAAGTTTATAAGTAATTAATAAACTAAGATAATAATTATTTAGTAAAATAGCTTAATATAACTAATAATAAAAGAAGTATTTATAAAACTTAAGTAGTTATAAATAAGTATATTAAATTAAAAAATTACCTTTAGTTAAAATACTTTAGAAAAGTTAAATATAAAATAACTATTAGCTTTATAAAAAAAGTAAGAATATTATACTTTTACTAAGTCCTTTAGACTTTTATATTAAATAACTTCTGCTTTTTTATTTCTCTAAGGCTAATAAATAAAAATACTTAAGACTATATTTATAAAGCTATTATAAATTTATAAAGACCCTTAGTAACTTAAAATACTTATAGTAAATAAGCAGCTACTTAAAAAATATTAAAGTAGTAGGAAAAAAGTAAGTAATTTTACTAAAAATAAAGAGAATTAAAAATTAACTAAAGGCGCTAGAGATATAAAGAATTATAATTAAAATATAAAAATAGTAATAAACTAGGGCTAAAAATTTCCTTTATAATTAACTAACTAAGCCTAAGTAAAGTATAATATTTCCTTTATAATTTTTTTTTTAAAATTAATTTTTTTTTAAAAGCTAAGGAGAATATAAGGAAATTAAATAATCCCTAGGATAATAAATTATTATTTTAAAATTTTTAAGTAAATACTTTAGGAGTTTATCCCTAAATTTTAAAGGGAGGTTTTTAATAAGGATTTTTAATTAAGTTTATAATTAATAATTAATACTAGCTAGGATAAATAACTAAGCTAGGCTTTAACTAGCTTAGTAATATAAAATAAGGAATATTTCCTTTAGTTAAATAAAAAAATTAAAATATATTATTATAATAAAAATAACCCTAGCTAAGATAGTAGCTTTATTTTAGTTAAAATAAGGCCGCAGTAGTTAAATTAAATAATATTATAATTTTATTTTTACGCTATAGTCCTTATAGTGGCTAAATAAGCTAGGTAGTTTATAAAGGTGTTTAGGTATTAATAGCTTAGTTTAAAGGTGCGTTCCCTAGTTATTAATAAATTACTTTAAGAAAATAAAAAAAAACTATATATTTAAATTTTTATACTTTATTATTAAAAAAAGTATTAGTAAATAAAAAAATAAAGAAGGTTATATTAAATAAAATTATTATTTAAAGTAAAAAATTTAAATATAAAGTTAAGAAACTTAAAATAATAAAATTTAATAAAAATATTTAATAAATTAAATACTTAGTAAAATAAAAAAGTTATAATAAAATAAAAAATTTATAATAACTTATTAAAAATCTTAAATATTTAAAAAACTTTATAAATAATTTTTACTAAAGCCTAAGTTTAATAAAAAAAAGTTAAAAATATTTTAATTAATAATATTAATTATAAAATTAAAAATTATAAAATTAAATAAATTAAGTAATAATATTTTAACTTAATAAATAATTTTTATTTCTTATACTTTTTACTTTTTATATTTAATATACTTTAACTTTTTTAAATTATTAATATTATAAGTAATTACTTATTTTATTTACTTTAATTATTTATATTTTTAAATATATAAATATTTTACTTAAGTATTAGCCTTAAGCTATATTTTTTTTATATTTTTTAACTTTTTATTTAATTTTAAATTATAAGTTATAACTTTATATCTCTCCTAAATATAAAGGATAAATTACTTAAAAGCTAAAATTAAAATAATTATTATTAAACCTTTATTTAGTAATTATTAACTAATATTTTACTAATTCTTTTACTTAGTAATAGCTTAATTAATTTATATTTTCTTTTTTATAATTAATTTAAGTTACCCTTTTTTACTTTATTTATTTTTTAAGCTTTAGTAAACCTTTTTTATAATATTAATAATATTAAAATTATAAGTTTTTATAATAATAATTATTATTTTAGTAATAATTATTATTAATTTTTTATTACCTTTAGCTATTATAATTATTTATAATAAACTTTAGTTAGTTATTAATTTATTTTTAGTTATTATAAAGGTTTATTACTTTTATAATATATTATTTTATTAAGTAGTTTTTTAATTTTAAAAGTATTATATATATAATTTATTTTTAAGTAGAATTATTACTATTTTTTATAACTTAATAAAATAATTAACTTATTTAGTTTAATTAAGTTATTAAATTATAAGTTATAGGTTTAAAGTTAGTTATATTATACTTAAACTTTATTATTTAGGCTTTTTTATATATTTTAAGTTTAGTTTTAAACCTTAATTAATTATATTTTATAGCCTAAATTTTTAAAGTTTAACTTAGTTAATTATAGTTAATTAAGTTAAGCTATAGATTAATTTTAGATTTTAAATTAAAGGCTAAGGCATAGTTTTCCTTTAACCTAACTATTATAGCTTTACTAAACTTCTTAATAATAAATATAACCTTTATAACCTTATATATTTATTATAAAGTAAAATTAAATACTTTATAATAAAATTTTTAATTTTAAATATAAGAAAAATATTAATAAGAATTTTTTTTTAAAGTAATATAATTATAACTTTATTTTTTATAATAGGTATATAATTTTATAATAAAAATAAGATTTTTTAATATAATATTAATAAAGCTTTTATATTTTTTTTTTTTTTACTTAAAAATTAGTTTATTAATATACTTATGCTTATAATTAACTATAATAAAAAAAAAATAAAAAAAATTAAGTAAATAAAAAATAAAAAAATATAATACTTATTAATAAAAAAAAAGTAAATACTTATATACTACCTTTATTAAGTCTTAAGGATAAAATTAATAAAAAAAAGAGAATTATATTATAACTTAGATTTTATAATTATAATAATAAGCTTATAAAGTAAAATATATTAAATTAACTATAAGCTAATAAATTAATTAGGATTATTATATATTAGGAATAAGAAAGCTAGGAAAGCTAGCTTTTTAAATAATTTATTATAGGAAAGCTAAGAAAGCTAGCTTTTTACTATAATTTAGAATATATAATTAAATATATAAGTTTACTTTATATTACTTTTTAAAATACTTAAATAGTTAATTATTATTAATATAATAATATTTAAGATTAAATACTTAAATACTTCTTTTTACTATTAGTAATAAAATTACTTATTTACTAACTTAATTACTCTGCTAATATAAACCCTAGAACTAGTTTAAAGATTTATCCTTTAGAAAATGCTATTTATACTAATATATAAATACTAGTTTATTATACTTTACTTTTTATAGTTTTATAAAATTATAGAAATTTTTAATAAACTCTAATATAATTTATTATAATATAAGTAATAAAGTAAGTTTACTTATATATATAAATTACAAATATACTCTCTTAATAAGTAAGTTTATAAAGTTATTTAGTAACTTGGATTATTAAAAATAAAATCACATAAATTAATACCTACTATTTTCAGCATTATTACATCTCTGCTAAACAACTTCCAAAATAGTCAAGTATAGAGCCATTTGGTTTAGTTACTAAATGGGCCTTAAGAGCGTGCAGATAACTAATTCCTGCATATATTCCACTGCTTTATTATGGTACAAATGCTTGCCGATCCCGGAGCGGAGATTGAAGAGCACGCAATGCTACCGCTGACTCCATCCTGCGTACCCCATATGGATCAGCAAATGTGACTTGATATTAGATAAGAGCCCAAGCCATGCTGTACCCGCCGCGCTACATATAAAAAGCTATGTATCATGTCTTGTAAAAGTGACCATTGATTGTACCATTTCATTTGAGTACAGAGTCTAACTAACAGCAGCAAAGATGGGGGCAACGACGGAGCCCATCTATATTACATACCTCAACGGCCTTGACATTGCGGCACTAGAGCTTACGGATTCAGAGATACTAGAGGCCGTCGAGAAGGCGCTTGATGCGCAGGGACGCAAGCAGGCAGTCATTGAGCCCCGAGTGCATCTTGTGCCGCGCGATTCAGCCAAAGGCCACTTCAACGTTCTGCGCGGTGTCGTTCATCCGCTTAACGCGGCAGGCGTCAAGGTTGTCGGAGATTTCGTTGACAACTACAAGCACGGATTACCCTCCGAATTTGGTATCCTGAGTTTGTTCGACCCAGACACCGGCGTGCCCAAGGCAGTTATAGATGCGACATCTATTACGGACATGCGCACCGGCGCAGTGACAGCCCTGGGAGCAAAGTATCTAGCACCTAGTAAACCAAAAATCTTGGGACATATTGGCGCCCGTGGTAGCTCCTACTGGAACATCCGTCTACTTGCCAGTCTCTTCCAATTTGATGAGATTCGCATCCATTCAAAGCGCAAAGAGAGCCGTGAAGCACTGGGTGCGAGACTGGAAAAGGAGCTCGGAAGGCCAATCCGTGTGCTGGATAACTGGGAAGAGACCATTGTAGGAGCAGACATTGTCGTCGAAGCGTCACGGTTGTCAGCACCAGAGCCTTTACTGAAGACGAGCTGGATAAAGAAGGGTGCGCTAGTGATGCCCTATGGCACAATGAGTGCCCTGGAGCTCTCGCTGACGGACATCATGAACAAAATGGTTGTCGACGACTGGGGCCAGTGTCGCAAGGGTCTGCCGCTAGGGGCCCTGCGGCAGCATGTGGATAACGACAAGCTGACAGAAGAGAATCTCCATGCTGAGATGGGTCAGATCGTGGCGGGTTTTAAGAAGGGCAGAGAGAGAGACGACGAGACGATATTGTTCTGGCATCGTGGACTAAGTCTTAGCGATATTGCGCTCGGAACAGCCATTTTGGACAAGGCGGCGAAGCTTGACATTGGACAACGACTGAGATACGCCTAACGAAGTGCCATTATATACAAACCACTCGAATAAAGATTGAGGGTCAAATATTCCAACACGCAATTTCCACTGCATCATATTACTTGTATCTAGCACAAACTTGCCGCAAATTTGAAGCTTAGCCTGGCATCATGGTATTCGTATGAATGTTATTTAAAGTTCGGGGCTACAAAATCACTTAGATCCATCTCATCCACTGTTGTCTGCAGATATTCAAGCTGCTGTTGAACCCATTCCTTCGTTAGCCGGTGCGTCTCGGCAGCTGGCCTTTCCTCGGCCTGCAAGGTATCGCGCATCTTAGCCAGGCGCTGAGTCACAACATTCAACCTATAGTCCGCCCACTGTCGGAACAGCTCGTCATTATTGCTGATGGGCTTGACGGTACGCAGGGTGCTGGTGTCCCGCAGCATCGGATCTCGTGGGCGCATCGAGACGACAAAGGTGATGCGCTCGCCGCTGCCGAGTGTCCGCAGTGCAGCGTGCTTGACCATGCTCCCCTGCATCATGACGGCATATCCCATACCTGGCTGCCTCATCTTTAGGATGCCTCCATCGCCTTTGCGCAAGGCTGTCTCGCCGCCCGACATGCCGACCGGATCAGATAGCATTAGCACGCACACCCACGGATATGAGTCGTGGTGCCATGCAGACACAAGGTCTTTGAGATCCGCACCCTCTTCACCTGGTTCAACATCGTCGCTGGTCGCTTTTGGCGGCTCTGGTGGAGGTAGATTGTCTGTGATTGCACCATTCCTGTCGACATGTTTCGGCAGTTGAACGTTGAGCTGTCCAATTTCATAGTCCATGATAATGTCCAAGTCCACGCCAGCCGCGTCGGAACAAGCTCTCAGCATTTCGGGACTTCGCCACATGGAGTAGGCGAACGGCGCGGCCGGCCCATATCCGCGGATGCGATAGACGCCAGGATATTTCCACGAGCCATATTTGCCGACAATGTCAGGGCGAAAGATGTCGGCACGAAGCTCACGAACACCAGAGGGAGTCAGGAGTGGGAATGGTGCAGTGATGGCCGTTTGTGAGCTGGCTTCCGGGAAATCGAGGCCAAGGTCATGAAGGCTGATTGTTGAAGAGGGTCGATTGTAGCATAGGTGCTGGAGCGGGTCGAATGCAGTTGAATTTTGCTGCGATGCCGACTCAATCAGTTCATCTAGTGGCCTACCTGATATATGTAGAGGTCTCGCAATGCTAGCTGCCGCCATCATGAAAGCAGTGGTGTTCTCAATTCGCTACGGTTTGTCTTTTGCAAGAGGACCAGCGGTAAGATTTGGGTCACGACCAAAGCGTTAGTCTCAATTTATCGTGGTGTCGGTATGTTACATGTTTGAATAGACGTATATCCACACCTTCCCACCGATAACGGACAAATAAAAAAGATTCCATCCTCATTTGTAGATCATGGGTTAGGGTCTATCACGCCACTCTTTGGTTCAAGCACGCACGCGATCTCAATCCCGCACCAGTATTCTGCCTGTTTACTGAAACGGCAAAATCAACCTGCCCGAAACGATCAATCTCCACCCGAGCTATTTTAGCAAGGCTATCGAACAAGTGTGATGCGGACGCCTCTGTCGATGGCCTAATATCATGCATTCAGTCGAAGATTTACTCCAGAAACTACTGTTCAGTAGAGCTTTTATTGTTTACTCATGAACGGCACGTATCATCTTCCTATTTTATGATCGATCCATCGCCATAGCCTATAGCCCCAACAATCCTCCCAACCGGAGTACAGTAGTTGGTTCCACCATGCTATGTCTCTTGGAAGAGCTTGGTTATTGTCAAGCCCCCAGTGATCATGATGAGAAGCATAGGATCCAGCCTCATAAAAGTCTGCGCCAGCTGAGTGAGGTACGATTTGGTTTTTATAGTAAACAGCATAGCAACGGCTATAGAAAAAGCTGATATCCGATATAGACATAAGCAAGTGATGGGCCTGGCATGTGTCCCATGGAGCTTCTTAATATCCTTCCATCCTGTTCACTTTGTTCGTGAGCTCTCTTCCTTCACTAAGTCGAATGAGGTTATACTTGAGGACCTCATATACCCTTTGTGCGTAAGCACTAGAATCTCCACTGACGTGCGGTGAAATGAAGAGATTCTTAGTACTCCACAAACGGTGGCCATCTGGCAATGGCTCAGGATCTGTCACGTCAAGTGCAGCTCCGCGGATTACACCGTCTTCAAGCGCATCAAACAAGTCATCTGTTTTGATGATCTCTCCCCGGCCGACATTTGAAACAAATGTCTTCTGTTTAGCAAGCAAAGCTAATTCGTTTCGTGAGATGAGACCCCGCGTGTTCTTTGTCAGTGGAATGGTAATGACAAGGAGATCGAGGCCGGAGCTCAGAAACTCATGTAAGCCTTCGGTATCCCCAGCCGAGAACCATTTGGTAGGCAAGATGCCTTCAGGGTCACCGAGGCCTGCCGGCGTATAAGTCTCATCTCTGCGCGATTCGGGCAGGAGACGCGGGTGTAAAGTACACACGTAGACATCCATGCCCAATGCTTTTAGAACTCGAGCAACCTGGCGACCGACGGCGCCGTACCCAAGAATGCCACTGATAAATGATTAGACTCATTGATCCTTATGTTGTCACCCAGGTGATCGGATTCAGCTCACACTCGCTGTTGGACCGCGTCATTCACAGGCTCTGCCAACTTCTGCCACCGGCTTTGGCGCTGGATATCAACGTATCGAGTAACTACAAAGTCAAGTTAGACATTATTCCCAGTTTTTGGAGGTGTTATGCGTTTGACTTTGATGTTGGAAGGCCAAAAATGTTGTTACTACCCACTCAGCTATCTGTGGTCTTGATGACGGGTCAGCATATCAGATGTGTTCATTCAAATCTTGGGGGTCCGTACCCATGCACACCACTCGCTGTACAGAGAGCGATCTTTGTGTCTCGTATCAGAGGATGGCCGAGAACGTGGTTCGCACCAGCACTCTGCAGCTGCACATACTCCAACTTTGGAGCAATGTCTGCTGTTGGTAATGCACTCCCGGTGACGAGGATAGTGACATCCTTCCACTCTTCATCTGGGAATCTCTTCTGGAAAGACGGCGTATTCCACGTCGCATCTCCGACAGTGACAATTTCCAGTCCAGGAAACAGCTCGTTAAGCTCTGCTATCCACTCGGGTCGGAATACCGTACCAAGTAGCGACTTTGGCGGCCCTGTTACTCCGAGGAGCACCAGTAGCTTGTGGCCATCGAGGGTTCTATTTGCAGTGGGAGCCATGGTCAACAGCCATCGAGATATATCCACGGAAGTGATAGCAAGAGATTGAGAGGTGTGTGAGAGAACAAAAGTGGAATATATGCGAAGCTGGTTGCGTGCTCATTATTAGCGATCTCACATTGTATAGGCCTTACGTCAGCAGTACAACAGCATTATCCGGCAAAATTATATAACTGTCTAGCAGAGCAAGATTAGTTATACCTGGTAGTAGTTTTGCAGAATTGAAGACACATACGTCACACAGTAGCGTAGAAGAAACCGATTTCCATTAACTGTGCTTTGCTATACCTTGAAATTTTTAAGAATAGCTCTCGCGTTAATAAGGTAGCTACCCATGTAGAATATTTGTATTGTGCTACTTGACTAGTGACTAGTCTGCCAGTCCTTGAAAACATAATATCGCTCGCATCAATAAATATAAAGATGCTCAAGGAGTGGTTTTAAAAAAGATCCGTATACCGGGTTCATTCTTGTCAATATAATTGAAGGCAAGGGCAATAATTTTTACAGTCCCAGGGACAATATAGATTTTCAGTGGTTTTTACCGAGTACAAGTAGGTAACAGGTACCTATAAGAACGGTAACTAAATTCTGCCGGACAAATTGGTTGTCTGGTCTGTGCGTCATGTAAAGGCGGTAAGATAGAGAGTATACCAAGGGACATTTGTAAAAATTTGGAGATAGTGCATTACTCAGGCTGTGAATAATACACCACATCTCCTTATTATCAGTCCTGGCTCCCATTACAAGCGACTCCTCCAGCATAATGACCCAAATGCGTGTTAGTTCATTAAGTACCTAAATATGTCTCGACATAGCCGTGTCTACCCTGTTCTGAAGTCGCTATTGCTGCAGGATAAATACTCTGATTTAATTATCAAATGTGGGAACCAAGAATTCAAAGCACATCGTGCTATTGTCTGTCCACAATCGTCATTTTTTGCCGCAGCATGCGACAATGGTTTCAAGGTTAGTACTGTTGTTCTTAAACTCGGCCGCTGTCTCTATCCAGTAGCCTCAGTACTAACAATGAATCCAAGGAGTCTTTAGCTGGGGTTATTGAACTTCCAGAGGATGACCCTGATATCTTGATTCGATTCCTCCAGTTTTTGTATACAGGAAATTACGAGGATGGAGAGTATCCAACGCAGGATATGCCTGCTACCGAAGCAATTATGGACGCAGATGAGATTCGAAGAGAACTTCAATACGCCCCTGGAGTTTTGACTGGTGGACTTTCGGGAGAAAGTCAAGATTCAAGTCTCAGAAGCCAGATCCAGAGTATAGCCAATGACATTGATGAGAAAAGTGATGGCGATTATGAAATTTCATCACCCAGCACGGAGCCAGACGAAGAATATTTGTCCGGTCTCGAAGATGAAGAAGCTGATGAGGAAGACAATTCCGAAGGTCATGAGTACGTGGAAAGTCGCCCCGTCAATCTCTTCATTGCTCTCCGAGTTTATGTAATGGCCGATAAGTTTGGTGTTCCGTCCCTGAAACTACTGGCTCGTCGTAGATTCTACAACACAGCACGGAAAGTATTCCATACATATTCCGAGTTCCCTGCTGTAGTGGATGAGCTATACGAGACTACAGCACCGACAGACTATACTATAAGAGAAATCCCTTGTCGTTTGATTGCGGCAAGCTATGCCTCCAATGCATCGAATACCATAGATTTTGAGGCACTCATGTGTAAGCGTGGTGATTTGGCAGTTGGGGTACTGAGATACTGCCGAATTTACTGGCGCAACTCTAGGTGATTAATTGCATGGGAGTAGGACTAGAGGAAGGCGCAGACAACTTACTATCGCGCTAGAAATCTATTACTAGAGACATCAAAGATTACAATTAAATTTGTTATTTCTTATATTCTACTGCACTTATAGCCTCGCTACTACAGTGCATATACTATCAATCCTGGCGTAGCTCCGTGTCAACCAGGTGTTGCACGTGTCCTGAAAATATACTCTATGGCAACCAGAGTTTGCTGTAAAGGTCTTTAGAGGACATGAAAGATCAATTATTACCTTGGTAGCGAAAAATATGTGCACGTAAATGTTTATGTCAATTTAGTCTCTGCTGAAATGTCGTACATTGTTCATTACAAATAACTTACCGCAGTGTTTACCTATTGAAGATGCCCATGAGGAAGCAAGGGTCTAAATTTTAAAAACTTTTACTACTTACTAGGTGGGCGGTATATAAAATTCCAGGGGCATGGCATAGCCATTGGAGAAGAAGTCGACGACGAAGAGAAAGTAAATGACACAGTTGTAATACAGTGGTTCAGACAGCGCAAGTGGATAATCGACACAGTAGTATAGCAAGCAGTGTTCGGGGCAGCAGTTCAACAATAGCGCAGGGAAAATATCCACAGCCATAAAGAGCATGACCCTTAGTGGGTTATAAATACAACAACATAACATTATTCCACTCATAGATGCCATATTATAAATATAAACCTACGGAAAGTACTATATCATGGGTCTTATTGATTTCAAACGTTCACAATATGTAACACTGGCGTATTACTTTACATTAAGTATAATATAATTAAATAAAGAATGAATTATACTGCTGAATTTATTTATCTACTGGTATAAAACAAGCAAACCAGCTAATCATTCGGCAACAAGTATCTATTAAAGCGGGAAATTGCCGAATGCCATGGCCCTCTTTCGGACATTCCGCAATACATGATTTAACTCCATGATCCAGAAGAGCAGTATGATAGTAATGTGTCTGGGCAGGTGGAGTGCACTGGTCTACTTTCTCCACGAGTTGCAGGGTTGGCGTCCTGCAACGGTGGACATATCTCAGCGGGCTTCGACGAAAATACAGACTCTCTATATCACAAGGAAGATTATCTAGAGTCGCTGGCGAAGGTCCCTAGACAACCACTGCAGGTTCCAGTCGTTAACAGGAGAGATGGGAATTGCGGCGGCGAACCTATGTGTCGAAGTGGTCAGCCAAGCTGACTGAACCCCACCCTAGCTACCCCCAATGACACCCAATCGGGATGCATCTGCAACACCAGAACTGACAAGATGATCAAGCCCTCTCTAGAGATCGGTTGCATCACCGCCCCCAACGTCTCCTACCACACCTTGTGTAAAATCTCGACCTCGTCCAAGGGAGCCTCGAGGGTTCGCGTTGAGGACCGCATATCCTTGAGCTACTAAAAAGGCTACCCATGTTCGATATCCCATCCACTGGTCAACAAAGGCGCTCATGGGACCTCCATGAACATTGAGAATCAGAGGGTATGGTTTCTGTCCTTTGGGAGGGAGGTATAGAAACCCCTAGATTTCTAAGCCGTCTGTAGACTCCCATAAGACTGCGTGGCTCTGGCCCAGCTGGGCCGAAGCCAGCGACCACCATCGTCTTCGAAAGAGAGTATCCGGGTATATGCGCCGGTCGACCAAAGCTCACGTACCTCATGGGTGAGCACGTTCACCTCAAGAGCCACCGATGTGAGGTTCTTAAGCCCATGATAAATAAAGTCTCCTCATTGACCCACTCAAGACTTGAAATGTCGACATTAGAGGCGATACGCGTCTGCTCATTTGTCTCGCTGTCGACGCACACGATACAGCCAGCAAGCTTGGTGCGGTCCCCACCGACGGATTCAACAAAAGCAACTTTCGAGCCCGAAGGTGATGCAATTGGCTGCGCCATGAAGTATTTTCCTGTTTCAACCATAACATGTTCTCCGCAATCCGAGAGTGATATTTTGACAAGAGAAGATTCCTTATACGCTCCTTCGCCAGGCCGATCGCTAACAATCGCAACCGCATCCCGCGGACCGCACCAGGCGAACCTCCAAATGTTTCTTCTGGGGAGGCTGATCCGGCGCGTCTGGTGGCTTTGTGAATCATGGAGCCAAAGACTGCGGACATCCATCGCAGTATGGTCTGTTTCAAAATCGAGGTTCACTGTGATCGAGAGATATCCAGGTCAATGAGCGTTCCAGAACCTTCGAAGCCAGATTTGGGCAGACCGAACGCTGCGACGCCTATAAGTATTGCGCTACCATCCTTCGATAATAACTTGGAGAGGTTGCGAGACCGAGGGCTGCGCTTCTCCAATTAAATCGGATCGCAAGTAAAACAATTGGTATTGTCCCGCTCGAATTCTGTCCGATAGGAAGACCAGCGTCTTCCCGTCGGGAGACCACTTGGGTTTCTTATTATTATGCGGGCCGTGGGAGGCAGCCATAGGCACAGGATCTGCTGACGTGCTTAATCCAGTGGGGATATCAACAATGTAAACATATGCTTTGGGACCGTCCTTCAGCGAGCTCCAGATGTGCCCGGTGGGTGCAAGTCTTATACCGTCAGGCGATACAGCCAAGTCCTCGGCGTTACTCAGCTAGCCAAATAATAGGGCATGAACTTTAGTGATAAACCCCTCAACTTGTTTCCAAGTTTGCGAATCAACAATATCAGGCACCTCAGCAAGCGGATAGTCATAATATCAAGTACCACAACTATTTTAGCCTCTCTCACCATTCCCCAGCGCTAGTAAAGTCATCTTATAAGTAACTTGTACTAGGAAGCGAACGTAAATAGTGCCTTAGGTCTTCGGATTTAATATTATTCTAAAGAGTAGCGATATATAAGGGTACAGCTGGTGTAATTTCCATCCCAGGCTACCTCTTTTATATAGCAGAGGAGATATAAGGGCGGATATTTTCGCCAATCGCATTATTCCGCTAAAGACAAGTTAAACAACAATATCCCACTTTATCAAACCCGTACGCCCAGGAGACAGCCACTTATTTAAACACAATCATAGATAATCTAGCCAATTGGACTTCAGAATTGGGCTGTAGTGGAAGAGGAGTGGAAGGCCAGTAATTAATCCATATTACCAATCGACAGACGTAATTATCATTTAGCATAAACATAGAACAAAATTATTGCCAAGTTAATACTCCTATAGCAGAATTGTACAGCACCCCTTCTCCTCGCAGGATAACCTGCATCTGCTCCTTACTAAGTCGCTGCCCATACATCTTCTCGCCCTCCCAAACCCTGGACAATGCTCGGATCAAGTCAGCCCGAATCATTTGTCCCTGTATCCAATCCCTGTGGATGGCATGGCGCGTTTCAATACCGACGAGGAAAAGAGATCGGCCAAACCAGCTGTAGCGGGCCTTCATCCTCTGGAGGCGATGGGCAATCTGCAGGAATGAGGAAACAGAATCTTGAATACGTATACCAGGCAACGGCACTTCTTGGCAGCGGAAGTGATACAAACGAATAGCATAAAACTCGTATACTGCGGCATTAATCTGGAAATGGAGGCGCCGATACTCCCCGTTGATTGTGTTAAGATGCGATATGCGGAAAAAAGAGCTATATTTCTATACCTCCCTCCAAGACAGACAAAATCAGTATTTAGCTCCCAAGAAATAAGGCCCTACTCATTTATAGAAGCAGCACTTACTTTTTCCAGTGTGTCAATCTCCCCTTGGATGCTTTGATGATTATTCAACCCAAACCGGAACAGTTGATTAAGCAGGTGTTATACGTCAAAGCGCTTGACACTTTCTATATCGTAAGTGAGCTCTGAAGATGGATATCTGTTGCCAATCGGAGTTACTTAACTAAATGCTTCCCTACTCAGTGATAACGCCAGCTTTATCACAGGAGCGACTGTTTGTGTAGATGGTGGGTCGAATTGCTGATTTGCGCGCCTAGCATTGACAATGGCGGGAGCACTGAACAAGCGCCGTGAATGTTTGCAACATTGTATAGGGACCACAAGTGTGTAAAAATCGTGGGAAGAGAGAGTAAGTGTTAGGGTTACAAAATTTATTTCCGGAGAAGATTGCCTCAATGAAGAAGAGCCAGTGGTAACACTGGCTGTAACAGTAGAAGAAGAGAAACACTCGGATTGAAGAGTAACTTCAGTGACTGGATCGCCGATATTGCCATAAATCAAATGGCCCACGGCTATCTAACGCGAGCCGCGGAAGAGTTCCAAATAATCTCCAATATCACTGGTTGTTGAATTATCCACACCCATGCATAATAGCAGTAATTCACTTTATCACAGCCCAATTAGAAATTAATGTGATCTGGGGTAAAAGGCTTTGCAAGAGTTATATAAATTAACTTTACCCTATTGTAAAGTTAATCAAAGCCATATCATTATAGTCGATTTATTTATTATTCAGTTATGTTTGCCAGGGGGCATATTGTTGCGAGTATAAGAACTAAGATTATGACATAAGACCCAGTTTACCATAATTGGACATTACTCTAATATGACATCAGTTGATGGTATTAAAGTTTTGTATGACGCTTAGAGATTTCGGCGCATTATATTTCCAATATTGGGAACATTTAGATATTCAGCTTGAGACAAGACTCCGTTGGTCGCATAGTCTCTGCGGCAAAACTCATAAGACAGGTTTAACGAAACTGTATGACGACACCCCTATGTTGAAATGGCGTGTCACGACGGCTTGATATTATCGGAATATATCGTCCGCCGCTCATTATTCCTCGAGTGACGTATAAATTCCAAATTTGAGTACCACGTGCCTCTCCAGACCTCTAAGGTGCTTAAGGAGTGTCCACTCATTTGGTTACACCCCGTCAAAACTTCAATTGAACTTCTCATCTACAGTTACCATCACATAGTCCCCCTGGCTGTCAGCATATCGCTACATGCAAGCGAAAGGACAAGATGGCCTCTTCAGGGATTTTTAAGCAGCACTCAGGGTCTGGTGACAACGGCCGCAGCCGTGATGGCTTTTATCCCAGCACGATACAGAAGCATCTTATTGCATCGGCTGGGGAGTTTGTTGGGACCTTCTTTTTCCTGTGGTTCGCTTACGCTGGCAGCATGCAATACGTGAAGCAAGCTACCTTGTCACCACTATCTGGGGGAATAAGCGATACAACTGTCTTCTTTATTGCGCATGTCTACAGCTTCTCTTTACTTGTCAATGTCTGGGCGTTTTACCGTATAAGTGGTGGTCTATTTAATCCTGCAGTACGTCTCCCTCCCTCCCTGCATCGCCGAAGCACCAGTCAAGGTATGCTGTGATACGGAAAATGGGGTAACTGGTCGTCGACTTAATAGGTAACGCTGGGCATGTGTTTGGCAGGGACACTGCCTTGGGTGCGAGCCGCCTTCTTAGTTCCGGCACAAATCATCGCTAGCATGTGTGCAGGCGGTCTAGCACGCTGCATGTTCCCGGGTGACCTTGCCGCGGCCAACAGTGTTCTCTCAAGCGATACATCGATCGTACGAGGTCTTTTCATCGAGATGTTCTTTACAGCCTTCCTTGTATTTGTCGTATTAATGTTAGCTGCCGAACGTTCTAAAGACACTTTTATTGCACCCATCGGTATTGGATTGGCGCTGTTCGTCGCCATGCTAGCTGGTAAGAGACCTACTGAGAAGCATTGGATGTTTCCGCATCATCTCCATGCTGACACATTACCTATCAGGGACTTCTTACACCGGCGCATCACTCAATCCGGTTCGCAGTTTTGGGTGTGCCGTCGCAACGCCTAGTTTCCCTGGTTATGAGTGGATCTACTGGCTTGGTCCGTTTATGGGCGCTGCGGTGGCTGCAGGTTTCTACCGTTTTATCAAGTGGTCTCATTATGAAGAAGTGAATCCCAACCGGGAGGAGACGGACCATCCCAATGGCAACCAACCACAACCAACACAGCACTCTTCAGTGTAGCTATTTCCATTAGAGAGCTAATGGCTGGTGAACTATGTTGCAGTCATTGAGTAACCTAAATGATAAAACTTTTATTAATGGAGTAAAGTAGTATTGCATTGCTAACGAACTGGGCCTCCTTTAAAGTATAATATCACTTATATTTTTTCAAGGTATTGCATAGTTGGCATGCCTGAAATCTTCATTATGGTTATGTTTTGATTGCCCTTTGAGGAAGCAAATATTTTTAATCCAACTCCTTCCCCAACCCTTTATTATATTCTCAGTAACTCCTTACTCTACTAAATCTAGATCATACATGTTATAGAACCGAAATCTCCTTATCCAAAGGTCACTACCAAATCTCCCACATCTGACCACCTATAGAAATGATTCGGTTGAAGACCGCGTCTCTCAATGTGACAGCAGTTAAACAAAACTCACCGTCTGGTTCCGTCTTTAGCACCAAATCTCCCATTGTCTCTCTCTCCAGGGCCCAGTCTATCAGAGCTCTCTTTTTGCCACCTGAACTACTAACACCGCTCACTTTCCTAACCTCTTTAACATCCGCAATTGCTACAGTCCACGTCGTCTCCAAGTCCTCATCCTCGCTTATCCAACTAATAGCCGGTGTTGTAGCTGTGGTAGTAATATATACGTACCCTTTCTTGCCTTTGTGACAGGCAGAAAAACGAATAGGGCCAGCATTAGTTTCTGACGATTTAAGAGCACTTTGTTCGCCTGGAAGATGCTCCGAGTTTGATGATTCCGCGGCCTTGGCGATCTTGTTCATTGCCTGTATACTATCCTTGGTAGTTCGTTTAATATAATTAGCGATGCGGCGCGTGGTGCTGGGTTCGCCCTTTTCCTGCCTTTCGTGTGTCTGTTTGGAGTATTCCTTATCTGACACTGGGTCGATAGCTATCATAGTTTCCTCTTTAGAAGCACCTATGAAGACTTAGGTCAGCCTACAATCAGACGATAGCTGATGAAATTCTTTGACGTACCGAGGTGGGCCAGGTTGTAATCATCGGCGTTCAGCTGTACATTAGGTGGCCCATGGGATGAGGGTGGCGGAGGCTGAGGCGTATTATGGGTTTCTCCAGTACGAAGCAGAGTAATGGCGATCTAAGAATTCGTGGGTACTCCTTTGAGGATTGAATTTCGCATCTCTGTATACTGACGCCAATCAGGGTATCTGTAATCAATGATGGAAACGCCGCGTTCGATTATAGGCTTGCCGAAGAATATAGCTCCCGCAAACAACCCCAATACTTTCATCACGCCATAGCACGAACCAAAAAATGATGACATAAGTAGTGGTAGCAAACAAGTAGCCATGGTCAGTCTTGGACGATGGGTAGGAAAAGGTGATGTTGGGCTCAAAGCATTGCCGAGTCGTTCATAAGTGTCGATGAGCTCGGGGAATGTGTGCAGTGCGGAGCGTGTGCGAAAGCTATGCACAGCGCGTGCAACGGGCTCTTTTGTCCTATCATGATTCTTTTTTTTGCTCTGGTCTCCCGTCCCGTTTACAACATCTGAGACATCTTGAACCATGTGTTCTGGCCCAATAGAATCGTGTTCTTCTTGGGAGAACTCGCCTGAAGAAATGTTCATTAAGAGCTGCAACCAGTAAAATCAGTTTTCGATTCACGGTAAATCGATAAACGTGGGAGCAGAAATGAAACTCACCGTACTAATGCTGTAGATGAAGCTATGGGCTTCTTGCTCAATCGCTTCGCCGCTATTCTCTTCTGGAGCTCCCGTAACGGATTCAGAAGCCAGTACCCCGGCAATTGGCTTTTTTACAGCTCCAGTGCGAGAACTAATAAGCGATGCCGGTGCTGGTGGGAAGCAAATGTCTCTGACGGGTGGACAAATGATTAACACTATGAGAAAAAGAATTAAAGTAGGGGCAAGCAGATCAACAAGCCAGGCGATTGAATAGGTGCTAAAAAAATAAAACGTTCTTTTGTCTCGCCACGATCGCAGGAGAACTATATGTTTATAGAGAGCGACTAAGCTTGTGACGACAGTCATGTAGAATCGCTCAGTATGTGCTTGCAATTTCTCTGCTGTGATGTCTTCACCAGCTGCAATGTTCATATCCAGATTTGACAGCGGCCGCTTATAAATTCTCTTAACATGGAAGATCTGCTTATTAAAACGCCTTATCAAAGTCCAAAGGTCTCCGTTTCGTATACCGGCATATAATTGTATGGCGGTATTAGTTTCGCTATGCCAACTGGAAGTTGAGGCCTGGAGAGTACTGTGTTCAATATGGCGGTCCCTATCTTTGACTTGAGGGTTTGCATTGGCAACACCCTCTTGCGCAAAAGCATGGCTAGCTGTAGGCCCTTTGTCCATGTCGATTTGTTTGTTTTTAACAGTGATGTTAAAGTCCATTATTTGCAGTGATTGGAAATATTTGGTCTTTTTAAAAATACTTTGACACTTTCAAGTCTGAACTCAGTAGGTTCACTATTCTGACAGTTATGAAAACAAACAGGATAGAGTTGGCTTTCAATTTAATTATTTTTAATGACGTTGGCGGTGGCGACTGTAGTAAAGTTTAACCAGGGCTAGCCGCATTACTGAAGAAATAGAAGTATGGGTTTGTATATGTGTGCACTTATTTGTTTTGCAATCCCGAATTTACTGTCCACCACTTGCTTGATACTCATGTTTGGTCATCTGTGCGTCACTTAACAAGTAGCAAGCAGCGGAGAATACGTTCCGAAAACAACAAGCTGTTTAGGCACATTATTTAACCAAGAGACCGATAGATTATATTATCACATATTGACAGAAACCCTGTCTGATGGCTTTTTACACAGAATAAATGTGACAAGATTTAATTGGAGATTCGCTTCATACTGTATGTCTGCTAACGAATATATGATGTGCCAAAATTTTCAAGGTGTTATGGCAAAACTCAATACCATTATTTAATATTATAATAAACTAGTGTCTAGTGACGTAAAAACTAATTATTGTTCGTTAAAGATACTTACAGCTATATATATGAACGGTTGTTCTTATGCTATTGAAAAATTAAAAGTGCAGCTAGCCGACATAGATTCTGCCTATTACTCCTTATCTTTATTCTTGATATATAATTCTCGTTTGTGATAACATACTTACAAGAATTGGAGTTTGTCTTATACTAAGCATTTCAGAAACAGAACCATGTCATTCAAGAATAACAGCTCCCCCAATCAGGTTTCTACCGAGCTCTGGCAGTCTCTAAAATCTCCGCGATACGACAACCTATTGCGCTGTCAAGTGCTTGCCTAACCCTTAGACAACTTCTTCTTGGAACCCAAGCAAGAGCACAAGGCAACCCAACCCAGAGAGCACGCTGGAACTTCCGATAGAGATAATTGGGACCCTATAACAGTAACAGCAATAAAGATGAAGATGAAGACAAAGACAAAACAATCTTTTTTGTTAAAGGAGGACACAGATCTGGCGGTTAGTAGCAGTGACGCAAATAGCTGTAGCAGTAGCGATTTAAGCCCCTAGGCGGATAGTAATGGAGTTGTTTTTGTAGCTGAAAAATAAAGATAAAAGAGAGCGTGGCAATGCAAAAAGGTTATGGTATAATTATTATGCGGGAGTTTATTTTAAATAGCTGTAAATCTGGTGGCACGTATCCGTTATGATCCGGAGTGATGGTCTGATGGTAGGTAGGAATGGCTATAGCCATAGTCTGGGGATGGATGGTAATGTAGCTGTCCGTCTTGCCAGTGATGATGTTGATTATTGTGGTCGTGAAGCTGTCGATATAGTCCACATCGGCGGTGGTTAACGCTGTTTGTTCTCGAACACGGAGTTCGAAATTGGGGGAAACGATGGGACTGCGCCTTTTTATCAGTTGCCGAATCATCACAGACTACGCAGTACGGAAAATTAGAAGCCTTGTACGATATGAAACACAGCGATAGTAGACTGCCCGCTAGCTAAGGACAGACTATCATGAAGAGCTGTCCTAGGTTGATCTCGCAACACTTCTTTGTAAGTGACTAGTCTGTACTTGCCGCATAGTTTCCTACACTCTGCTCTCAAACACCTGTCAAAGCGCCATGGGTTACTATACGTTATTAAATCGTAGACCAACTTTGGCAACCCTGGGGATGATCGGATCTGAGACACGGTTGAAGAGTGCTGCGGCGGTAGGAGAAGAGAGCAGCGGAAGACTACCCGGATCAACTATTATTGAAACACGAGTTCTTTTCATGTGTATATAAATCTAACAGGCAGTTTAATGAAATTGCCAAGCTACTACAACACCCAGTACCGATAGACGAAAGATATTAGCCAAAGAATCCTCAGTATACGGCTATAGGCTAAACCCCTAGCTTTTCTATTGCAACATCATTCATTCGATTCTCTTCCGCCGTCTGGTCCATGAACACTTCCAATTCTATAGTTCTACCCCTGTGCATACCGTCTTCAAGAAGTGTGAAGACGCACGCGCATGGCACCAGAAACTCTTCTTTAGACAGCTCACCTCCAACACAGTATCGCACATCAAGCACAGCGCATATGTCTGGAGCCGGACAAATCTGTTATTAGACAGTTAGTATGACTCATTGCTTACTTGAAGTAATATTGGAAGTGGTGCACCAAGATATCGATACGTGTGCGACAATAAACCGAGGTTAGCGAACCGTGCCTCAATCGTTTCCCCAATCCTGCTCGCTCCAAGAATAGCCAGATAGGATGAGAACCGCAACGTTGCCTCTGGCGCGTAAACTGTACTTGTTTGGTTCGGATCCACTCCATCTTGGCTGGAAGTAAACTATATACTTTATTGAAGGAAGATCTTTTAGCAACACAATCACAGGGTAGTTCAGTCAAAAATTCAACCCTTTTCAGGCACATATCGACTTCATCGTGCGAAGTATTAGGAAAACGAGTTCATTGTTGCTCTTTGTATAGCCTATGTCATCTGATGCCATTGCCATGTCTGTTCTAGTGATAACAATAACGACGTAGCGTCTCTGTTTATCTGCTGTCATGAAGTTATGTTAGTGAACAAGTCCTTCAAACACGCAATTTGGCGAAGATATTGGTTTCAGGTTACTTGCCCTCGGTCGATACTATCGCCAAGTTTATTGTGCTTAGAGCAGAGAGTAAAGCCAAAACTTGAGATTATAATCTACTTTTGTACAGGATATCTCTGTAACTATGTAACCTTTCTATACAAAGCAAGTCTCCATACGCACAGATATAGGCATGGACTTAGCGTGAGACTAAGATGGACACTTTGTTTAGTGTTATAATAGGAATTCGGATAATGTAGGCTATTCGCTGCTCTGGGAGTGATGAGGTGGACGGTTGGGGCCAGGTGCTAGCATGATGTTGCTATCTTAGTTCTAATCTATGAGAATTCTCCTTAACGTTGCCAAAATATGGTTCATTTTCTGGCCTTGTTAGATGATATTATATTACACAAATAATCCCACACAATCCTGTCATAAAGTGGCGTGTTTCCTGTATGATTATGTAGCTATAAGTGGCAGCCGATGCAGCATTTTTCTCTGCACTAACCCAAGGCTCTTCCTGACCTAATTCCCATGCTCCAATTGACCAATTTGCTTATTCCAACAGATGAAAAAGCTCGGAACATACCATGACCCCGGACAAGGACCCGTCGTCATTCGGCTTGGTCTCTCAAGTGGCGTCGAAAGCGCTGGCTGGAACAATCTCAGTCAAGCCTTTGCATGCGACAAGGAGTAGTTTGGCAAACTCATCAATTTGCCCCAGTCGTCCCTTTTCCCACTCTTGGACAAATTCGTAGTAAGTGACGATATCCCTAGTATCAATTTGGCCCTCTGATTGCAGGCCACTCTGACGTAGCCTCGGCGGTAGGCGGAGCGAGACTGGTAGATTTAAGAGGTCACAAATTACATGACAGCTCTTATAGTGCAGCACGCGATTGATGCCACGAAGCAGGTATGATATCACGACCGCCCGACGTGCCGCCTCGCGATGACACTCTGCCACTCTATCTGCAGGTGTCCCACTAGGGTCGAGACACTGGGACTGTAGCGCGATGGTTGCCCGTTGTAACAAACCCTCTTGTTTCTCGGCCAAGGCTCGCAATTGCGTGTCCCCACCAAAGAACATCAAGGTATAGTAGAGCAAAAGGGCCTGTAGCGCTGCTAATTGTTGCTCAAATGAGCTATGCGGGATTGCTGTCGCCAGTTTACAGACTTCGGTAACTAAAATCCGCTGAAAGATACCATTCGTCGCATCTGTGCGAGCCGAGTAGGCTGCGGAGACGCTAAAGGCGGTTGTCAAAATGTACGACATCACGCCCGATTTGTCAATGAAGGGATTTTCGCCAGTTTGAACGAACTGGTTGGCGAAGGAGAGCAGCATCTGGGCACAAAAGTTCCAAGAACGAGTGTCGTCTAGTCGCGGCCAGAGATCCAAAACTCTCATTTGGGCAAGAGCTGGGTATTCAAATAATTGATTAAATTTTGGGTCGTCGATGCCGGGGAGGCCAGCTAGTTCCAGCAGAGCATATTCAAACGACTGCATCACTACGGAGTCGGCAATGCTCAGCGTTTGCGATTGCTGAGGGACGCCCGTGTCATTGACATAGCTGGCCGTGGTAAGAGGCAGCCTGACAGGTTGTCCCATGTTCCAGTCTGAACTACCCCGATGAGAGGGCGGAAATGCGTAATGACAATCCAACGACCGCTGCGAGCAACGCTCGCACTTTGGAGTAGCTCTGCTGCATCGCCGTTTAGCTGCAATGCAAGAGTTACAAGATGTCTTGAGAAGCGACGGCATAGTTTAAATGACTCATTTATATCGCTCGTCGTTCTAATTGCACGTGGCTGCGCATTTGACGTGGGCCAGGATGTTGTATAACGACATTCGGCTTGCCGTCGAGTTTACAACGACCGAAGGGGTGGAATAGTAGATTAAACTGGGCGGCCTATCAGACATAAATCTTTATAGAGCGGACCAACGGACCAGCGGTATTTACTTCAGCCCGAGGGTGCCTAATCAACGGGCGGTGATGACTAATAGAACTTCAGCCAGCGCTGATTGTTAATTAATGCCCACTCATGCCACACCCATTAATAGCCCAGTTGCCTGTAGCTTCTCCGAGTGCGAATACGAGCCGAAGTCGACGGCTAATGTGTATGCGCCTGTAGCAATGGTGCTTGAAACTTCGGGTTCTTTAAAGCATTTGACAGGGTTAGACTACAGGTGACGGCCCTTTTATGTCCTTAAGACGAAGACCATCCATCTCCTACTTGACGTCGGGCGTTCCTAGCAAACCAAAGCTGGCTGCATTGGTCGAAAGAACAAAGATGAATAGTCCGTCCTAGGAACAGCCTTGCCTTGGTTGGACAGGTAGAATCGAAAGAAACGCACCATGGTGGCTTCAATGACTCCAGGTTCACATATGCAACCTTCTCACCAATGAACCGGTGTCGACTGGCGCCGAATGGTGAATATGGGTTCCTGGTTTCTTTGGATATAAACGGCTCCTCCATATCAGTCTTGGCATTTTCGATGTTTCCATCGATGAGAGTCTCATCCTGTAGCACCAGGGAAGAATTCGTCTCTCAGTGCGGTTACCATGGGTGATACGAGAAGGACCTTGTCTGGTGTAATGACATAGCCAGTTCCCAGAACTTCGATCGGCCGCTTGATTTTTTGCATAATGGGGTGAGTTGACGAGTGGACTCGCAATGTCTCTCTGATCACGGTGCACAGAAGTAGCAGCTCATTCAGACCAGTGTACTGTAGCGGCACCAGCCTCCCAGCGCGGCCGAGTTTTGACAGTTGTTCTTGATATAGTTGATCCGATATATCTGAACGTCATGCAAGCCTGAGGATTGTCCACAAGTTAGCCGAAGATGAGGTATGCGGCCCAGCCATCAACAGTGTGATCATCATATGTGCTATTTCCTTGTCGGGAACCGGTGTGCCATTCTTGTAAGCATGGTTCATACGTTCCAAATCATATCAGATCCCTCTTGAGGTCCACCTTTTCGGCGACTCTTTATAATACCCATGTATATAGCTCTCATTATGGCGTATGCGGCGTCCCTCTCGCGATTCTGTGGAACTGGTGCCCATAACATTAAGAACTTAATTGGCTGGAACCTCATACCAAGGTCATGGTATAAGGTAGCAAATTCGGCGGTCAACTTCTGACAGACTTCCTGTCCTTATAGAGCTGGAGACGCAGTAATTATTGTAATTTCTGCCACATATATAGAAGCATCGCTCGTAGCGGATTGCTCCTAGAATGACGGCTCGGTTCCAATGTAGTTGACCACCTCTTGCTCAATAAGCGTAACTTGACACTCAAGGGCTCATTGAGTCAAGCCAAATTTGACCAACCTCTTTTGCTTGATGACTTTCGGGTTCGGGTTCGGGTTCGGGTAATCGTACACAACATTGCAACTGACGACTAGTGTTGTCAACGGAGAATCGATCTCTTCGGCATCGATATCCCCCGTTTTGCCGTTGAGGATAAAGTCGTTTCTGTCAATATTGAAACGAGTTAGAATACAGTGAGAAGTTCTCTTCCATTTTGTGAAAGGGGATGTTGGAAGAGGTGGATAGCGAAAAGTACCCTAAAATTTGTAGGGGTTAAGATAATGAAGCTAAGGAGTTCGTCCAAATCTTATGAGTTTCCCAGGTCTTACATGAGCTGAAGCTCCGTTGATTATCTTCGCTGATTTCCGTACCTGCTCCGCTTTCGCCCTAATTTTTATGTTGATCTTGAGCCGCTAGTTTCAAGCCGAAGTAGAGTCTTCATTATTTGTATATGTGACAGGTCGCTGCTGACTCACTGGTTTACGAATTTGCATGATACATCATCTGCAATAAGTATTAGCTTGAATCATTCAGAGAAATACTCAAGCGGTGATCCAAAAAAGAGTGACTGCAAAATGAATACTCACACACAATATAACGCTAAAAATTACTATTTGAGTGGTTTGGCTGTGGCTTTTGTGTATGTGTGGCTGTCGTCTTGTGTGTTCAAAATTAAGCGGCTATGATTACGGAACTCTTCTGATCATCCGGGTTCCTCATGTCTCATATTCTATTAAGTTATCCTATTTGCGTATTTGAAGCCTATGGAGGTTGATACACGAATCACACCGAAGCGTTCCATGGATGTCACATCGGGGATTGCCGGTTAAGCTCCACATCTTTCCGCAAGCCACCTGTGTCTGGCTCCACAACTGTCCCCAAGTTCACCGGGGGGTTGCAGTTAGCGATGGGTTCCGTCGGGCCGAATTCGTATCGGAGCTTTCTGTGCCGAATAAAGATTACGTTATATAGGTATGGTAACCTCATGAGATACTGTGCAACTGCGTCATGCAACCCTATGATATGGCTATCTGAATAACGGTAGAGTATGGCTATTTATCTGAAGATTTTTTACAACCACAATGGTAATACTTACGAGCCCACTCAATGGCACCAATTTTCGTGACAATGCTCGTCTTTATCGAGGCTTTATCTCACTTTGCGCCGCGATCAGTATACCTAACAACCAAACTGTTGTATAGTGCTATTACAGTAGTACAACGGTAGCAGTAATGCAAAGATACGGACACTGCCACTGAGGAGCATCCCCATTGCAGCGTAGTTACGCGTTCATTTGGTGCCTGTATCATACACATCCTTCTAGTTTCTTGCGGATGCTTCGTCTCGTATCCATGGATCTCCTCACAGGTCCTTCTTTTTCCGAAGAAGATCAATTTGGCTCCAGTTGTCACATTATGGCCGAGTCTTGAAGTGCAGTGCAGTCGCACCAGGAGAGCTCTGTAGGTGTTGAAGAAGCCATGATACACGACTCCTTAAATACAGCTTGAGCTTCTAACTGAACCTCAATTAGGCCCCAAGAGTGGCAATATGCTGCTCTGTTATGCATTAATGTAGGTTGGACAGGCCCCTTAGCTTATTGTGTCGAATCGAAATCCTTGCAAGGACTTCAGTCCAATGTTTCCCATGCATGAAAAGCCTACATATGTCGCTCCGCACCTTTGCACATACTTCCAGGATTCAACTATTACATCTCGGCGAATGCAGCCCGCGTGTCTTTTAATCCAGTGATACCCAGATCTTCCTTGGTCAGGATAACGTCTTCGCCCGAGAAACTCTTTTCTTTAGCCCACTCGACGTATTCATGCATCTTATCCATTGCCTTGCCCCATTTGGGCCACAGGCTGTAATATGTCTCCTTGTCTACCTGCACGTATTCTGCTTCGACGCCGTGCACTTCTGCCCATGTCGCAAGCATCTCTCCGGCTGTCATAACATCAGTCATGCCATACACGAATTTGCCGCCTAGTGTCTTTTCGGATTGCTCGATGATTGCTCTCGTAAAAAGGCCGACGTTGACTGCCGCATCACCGACGAGTGAGAATTGCACGGATGCCGAAGTTGGTTGGAGCTGGATGTACTTGTTCTCTCCGGCCGTTGCAACAGGAAATGGGCGATAAAATGGGTAGTTCATATTAGAAGCGTAGCCGGAGACCCAGAGAAACGTCGTCTTAGAGAGTAGCGCCGGGTCGGACTTGATAAAGTCGTCGACCCTGTTCTTGCTCACATAATGGGGGACTGCGAATTTGCCTCCACTGATTCGGTATGTGTTGGGAAGAGTTGACCAGATGAAGTGCTCCAGTGTTGGTGTCATAGCTGCGGCTTTAGCAATATTACTTCCGTGTCTTGCCTCAATCTCGATAGCCTGTTCGGCATCGCACTTCATGAAAGGTTCAAAGAAGTTTGTGGCAGCGAAAATAACCGACGTCCCAGAAAAGGCCGCTTGAAGTGAAGCGACATCGTCGAGGTTAGCCTCAATAATACGAATTCCCTGTGATAAGAGTTTCTTGGCTGCTTCGCTTTGACAATTGCGAGTGATGGCTGTAAGTGAGTAGGCACGGTCATTCACCAGAGCCCTGATGACAGACCCGCCTTGAATGCCTGTGGCGCCAATAACCGTGATTTGCCTGGTCATAATGATGACTTTCCGCAGTAATTTGAAACAAAAAATTATAAGACTTATATATGAATAATAATTGTAAGTGACTCAGATAGTGAGTCGACTTTTTGTAAAACCTGCCGTATTGTTCACTATAGTTTAAACGATATGCTTAACAGACTGAATATCACTATAGTTTCACTTTGTTTCCTTTAATTCTCTTTTTACACTTTATATTGCTGACTCTATTACGTGGATTACAAATAGAGGTTGTAAACCTGATTTATAATGATACTTTGTGGTATTATGCAAGAAACATAGTACGTGACCACCATTCCACACATATCCGCACCCAACTGTATTCTTTCATTCGATTGCCGATACTCCATTATTACACGGTTTACTAATTGTGGCCATTTATGGGGATCCTATGGACTTAGGGACACGAAGTCTACCGGTGCAATGGACAATTCTCGCGTGCCTATGCTGAGCAAGCCTAGGATACTTGTAACAAAAGCCTCATACATACTCTTTAGGCAAGTACTAAGCTAAGCCGCATATCGTAACTCTGCCAAACACCATTGTCTTCTGGGGGCATATTAAATCCGACCTCCCAACGAACGACCAACACCTAATCGGGGATCACTTTTTTATCGTTACGGAAAGAGTAGTATAAGCCGTTTGCATTTGCTTACAACGTGCGTCACAAGATGATGATTACGTGTTAGTGTGAATTTCGCAGCGGAGATAAGTGGCCCCCTGCGGAAAGAGACGGGGCCGAGTACGTCGATCAGGTCTACAATTCCGACGACTTCAGTATTATTTCATAGTACGTCCGCATAGACGCCCAACCCTTTAGCCACATATGGTAGTACTTTAGGTTTCCGAGGAATGATATAATCTAATATTACAAATGTCTGATTGATAAGATGGATAGTACGAGAGTATTTAAATCCACGTCTGTACCGTTTCGACAGTTGGCAACAGATCAGTTGGATATCATACTTTTTCTTTTATCTCGAAGCACTTGAGAAGTATAAATCTGTTACTCTTTTCAGCTATGGCGATTACAGAGGTTATCTTTCCGAAGCTGAAGCTTGATCCAGCTTTACTTAAAACGTTTGCGGAGGCACTCCCAACCGCCGCAAAACAAACATTCTCAGGTACTCCAGGCCTGACAAGTTTCTACAAAGGTCAAATCATCGAAGCACAAGACGTTGCACGAGCCATAGATGTTGAGCACAGTAACCATGTGATGGTTTTAGGTACGCCGTGTGCTTTTTGTGGAACTGGTGTATTCAGAGTTATTCCAGTAGATATGTCACAGGCTAATGTAATCTAGAATGGGATGAGATATCGTCATTCAATACATTTTGGGTGTCCGAAGGATTCGCAGCATTTCGAGCAGTAATGAAACCGTTCATGCTTAGCCCTGTCTCTCCACATTTATATTACTCCGAGATTCCAGATTCTGGCAACACTACCGCATACAAATACACAAAATACATCAAATTGGATGGTATAGAAAGCGAGAATAAAACTGTAGAGAGTTCATGGAAGAAGTTGAGTCAAGAGATCGGAATTGATACGAAGTCTTTCCATGCTTGGGGTATTCAGGAAAGCGATGGCGCATTTATGGGAATGAATGGCTGGAGTAGCCTTGAGGTACGTTTGCTTCAATCAGCTTACACAAAGGAATCTTTGATAACTAAGAAGACATAGGCTTTGAAATCCACGTTTGAAAGGGATTCAGTAAAAACCGCTTTGCAAGAGTTGACTAAACATGGCCATGTTACTTCTTACATATTAGAATTAACAAAGCCATTGTAGTTATAAGGTAGCTCTTTCCCTTAGTCGTGACACAAAAACAAAAACGAAATACAATTCATTGGTGGTTTTTTTTTTGGTTTATACAGTACTATACTTTATTACTGTATAACTAACTGGTCTGCACTAACAATTGTAGTGAGGGCCTGAGAAGTATTATATGATAGGGTCCCAACGTAACAAGAAGAAGAAAAAACACCGCGTACATATGTAAACATCAGGTATTTAACTGTTAAAACGACTCATAGCTTTGATATCAACTTGAACTTGGATTTTGAAATCTTTGTCGATCTCCAAAGCTGTGGTGGTCGAATGGATTGGGCAATCAGCATCTATACATGGCCAGGGTAACCTTGAAAAACTCTACCTGATGTTCTAGATGCATCAAGTCGTCACTTTGGAATTCGAAACATCGAGGTGGTACAGAAACCTCTCAGTGATGCTCCTGGAAGTACCTTCATGTTTAGGATTAATGGCCGCTATATTTTCGCTTAAGGCGGTAATTGGATTCCTACAGAAACATGCTCCCTTCTATATCTCGACAGCGTTATTTCGAATGGATAAAGCTTGCCAAGTTCGGTAATCTGAATATGATTCGTGTATTGGGTGGCCGGATTTATGAACCCGACGACTTTTTTGACGCTTGCGACGAATTGGGCATTCTCGTTTTGCACGATTATGATTATGCCCTAGCCTGCGGAATATACCCTATTCATGAAGAATTTCTTGACAGCATCAGAAAAGAGGCTGAGGCCCAGACTCTCAAAATACGTGGCAGGGCGTCTCTTGCGTTGCTAAGTGGTGGAAATGAATAATTCATACTTTTTGACCATTTTAGGTAGGTCGCGGATGCATGATTGATATCCCGTAGTGCCACACAGAGCAACCCGGCTGATATATCACTTAGATATGAATACGATCGAGATAACATCACTGGGTCATGGAAGGGCAAGCCCTTCTCTCATCGCAAGATATATCTATATATCCTTCCCAATATTGCCGCAAAGATAACGCCGGAAACACAATATTGGGCCAACTCTCCATATAGTGGTGCTACCGCAAATGATACCACCATCGGCGTTAATCATCAATGGGCTGTCTGGCATTTGGACCACCGCTCTTATCAGGATTACAAAGATCTCAGCGGCCGGTTTTCTCCGAGTTTGGCATGCACGGCTTCCCCGCGAACCGAACGGTAAATTACTTCCTCCGAGGGAGACCTAAGAGCCCGCAGTTCCCTCAATCTCGAGTCGTAGACTGCTACAATAAGTCCACGGGCGCACACATGCGTATTACGCGATATCTGGCCGAGAACTTTCGTTTTGATATAGCTTCACTGAAGAATTTTGCCTACTCGTCTCCGTTGATGCAATCGGAAGCCTATTCATACGCTCTAACAGACTGGAAGCGTATGTTCAACGGGCCCGGCCATGAACGATGTGCTGGAGCCCTGATTTGGCAATTTAACGACATCTATCCGGTCACATCACGGGCTTTCGTCGACTATTTCTTGCGACGGAAGCCAGCTTTCTACTCCATCCGCCGTTATTTCGCACCCATTTCGGTTGGTATTGAGCGTACACCAAAGACTCGCTGCCCAGATCCAGATGAGCACCAGGATTCTTACATTCTCTCATTCAAGATATTCGCATACAACACATTAACCCGACACGTGGTATGCGTTTTAATTCTCCAAGCGTTCGACCTAAAGATAAACACCTGGACTCAACTTGAACCCTTAGACGCGAGTCAGATGGTCACCCTCAGGGCGGGCTATAACACTGAGCTTGGGCACCTGGGAGCTCAAGCAGCTTGGACATAGGACTCGCTTGTTCTTGTAGACGCGAGCCTTGTCGATATAGAATCTGGTGAGACGTTTGCTCGAGATATCAACTAGCCTGAGCCATTTCGTTATTTGGTTTGGCCGCAAGATACAAAGCTCACTAGTGGTCCGAGTTAAGGGAGTTAAGGATAAACTAGGACAGACCTGGGAGAACAAGGTCACCATAGTGTTAAACCAACCACTCAAGGGTGTTTGGTCAGAGGCGATTTATAATAGCACTGAGAGGGATGACAAGCCTGAATCACTGTGTTTATTTGTTTTATTATTAACATCCACTAAATAAGCTAGTTACATAAGTCCTTATCTAGGCACTAAGACAGTAGGAGCTGCTGAGTTTAAATTAGGCGTTTGCTATATTTTAATATAATAAAGGAAATAGGGGAGTATTAATCTATTTTATATATTTATATCTATAGGGGGGGGGGCTATATAAGCTTATATTTTTTATTAATTTCTAAAAATCTTTATACTTTTTATTATTAAAAAGGTATTAAATATAAATAATACTAAAGTATATCTCCTTTTTTAATATATTAAGGAAAAAAAGGGCTATTATATAGTATTTTATAAAATATTTTTATATTTTTAGCTTATTATATTTATAAATAAGCCTAGTATTATATTTAAATTTTTTATAATACTTTATAAAGTCTTTATAGCTAGATTTTTTAATTAATAGCTTATATAAGATTAAGTATAAGAAATATAGTTCTAAGGGTATAAGGGGAGTTTTATAAAGGCCTTACTTTTTAGCCTTATAGGACTTTAGGTAATTATTATTTTAATTAGTATTTTATATTTTCCTATATTTTTTTTTTTATTTATTTTTTAATAAAAGTAATAGTAAAGTAATTTCTTAAGTAATAAAAGAATTTTAAACCCTTTTTTATTAATTAATTAGCTTTTTTATTTCCTAGTATATTTTTATAGCTTAAGACTTAGGCTATTTTTATAATTATTTATAAAAGTAGTTTTAGGGTAATTTATTATAGCCTTATATAGGCTTTTTAAAATAAAGTAAGGGTTAAATTTAATATTTTATTTACTATTACTAAGTTATTTAAAAAAAGTAAAATTTTTTAAATATTTAGGTTTACTAAAGTATATACTTTAGTTAGTTTTATAACTTTAAAAATACTTATTACTTTAGTATTATAAACCTTTATATTAGTAAAAGGGTTATATATTATAATTTTTTTAAAATTATAATATATAATAACTCCCTAGCTTATATTACCTTATTTATTTTATAACCTATTTAAGTAAACTAAGAGAGTAAATTTAAGAAGGCTATTAAGTAGCTTTAAGTATTTTTTTATTACCTTAGATTTTAATAAGTCTCTAAGGTTTAAGCTTACTTTAATAGCTTTATTATTTTTAGTAAAAAAAAAAAGTTAAATTATTTTACTTACTAAGGCTATAGTATATTATAAATAAGTAAAAGGGATTTTAAAAAGGAGTTTTTTATTAATATATTTATTAATTAAGTAGTTTTTATTTAGGCTTATAAAATAAGCTATTATATAAAGTTTAGTTTATATTACTTATACTAATACTAAAAAGACTTTAGATTTTTTATATATAATAAAAAAGTTAGTTATTTTTTATATAAAAATAATTACTTTAGCTACTGCCTTAAATAAAAGTTTTAAAATTATAGTTAATTTTATTAAGTTTATTTTTACTTACTTACTTAAGTTTATTATACTTTATTTACTTTTACTAAGTTAAAAAGCTTTTATTTTATATAAGGCTATAGGGGTAATATAAGCTTTAGCTACTATAATTACTATATTTAGCAGGGATTTTTTTTATATTTTATTTAGGAATTTTAAGAAGTTAGCTACTTTAAAAGCTTTTTTTATTATAATTCTAAAATATTTTTTAAAAAAAAGCTATAAGTTTAAGTATATTTTTAACTAGTAAACTAAGTTTTAAAAAACTATAGTTTTTCCCTAAAAGTTTACTTTTTTATTATATATTTAAAATTTAGTTTTATAAAAGTATATAAGTTTAGCTTTATTTAAGTTAAAGAAAACTATATTTATATTACTTTAGTTAAAAGTATTTTTTAATTTTTACTAAAGCTTTTAAATAATTTCCTTAGTATTAGCTTTTACTATTATAATATTAATATTATTTATATATTTAAAGTAAATATTAAAGTTATTAAGTTTTAAGCTAAGGGAAAAGTAAAGTATAAAAATAATAAAGAAAATAAAAAACCTTTATAAAGCTTTATACTTTAGCTTTATTTTTAAAAAGGTAATTCTATAGCTATTTTAAATAAAGGCTTTATAATTACTTATAAAAAAATTAATTTATTTTATAAAAAAAAGGGGCTACTTTTATTCTTTAAGTTTATATATTAAGTAGTTATATATAATTATATTAAAAGTATTAAAAATATTAAATATAAAGAGGAAAATAATAAAGCCTTATATTAAAGTAACTTTAGTATTATATAGTAAGTAAATAACTAAGTTTATTATAGATTTTTTTAAAAAAGCCTTAAAGTATTATTTTAGTAAAATTTTATATTTTATTATTAAAAAGGAGATTTTTTTAACTAAGAGTTTTTTAAAGCTTTTTTTTATATAAAAGAGTAAGGAGATAAATTTATAACTTTTATATATAATATATATTTTCTTTAGCTTTTTAGGTTTAGGGATAATAATAATCTTTATACTTTAAAAAGGGAGTAAGTAATATTTTACTATTAAATATTTATAAAAAAAGTTAATTATATATTTATTAATAGTAAGCTAAGTAAACTATAGGAGGGTAATTAATATATTATTTACGCTAAGTATAATATTACTTAACTTAATTATAGCTTTTTTAACTTTTAGTTTTAATATTATTTAATCTTAGTAAATATTTTTATTAATAAAAAAGTCCTTTTTTTATAAGTTTAAAATATTTTTTTTTATTATTTTATATTTAAGAAGCTTATCCCTAAGAAAAGTTACTTTTTTTATAAAGTCTAAAATACTTTTATTTTTATTTATTAAAAAAAAAAGTTAAAAATAATTTATTACCTTATACTATTTAATTATTAATTAAATATTCTTAATAATACTAGCTTTTAATATAATTTTATTTTAGTAAGTATATTTATTATAATAAATAATATTTTTAAAAGTTTTATAAGCTTTTTTTTAAGTAAAGGAGTTATTTATTAATTTTTTATATATTTTATAAATTATTTTATATTTCTTTAATTACTAAAGTATATTATAATTATTTTAGTACTTAATTTTCTTAGTAGCTTTTATAACTTACTTAAAAAGGTTTTATAAGGCCTTAGTATACTTATTTAGGTTAGTTTTTAATAATAAAGTTAAATTTACTAAGGGAAGGGTTTAGGTAAAGAAGTATATAAATTAACTAAAGTTTTTTTAGTATTTTAGTAAAATATATTTTTTTTTTACCCTTAGGGTTATTTTAAAGGGCTTAAGTAAGTTTATAATTATTATATAATAGTTTAATTTTATATTAAGGGAGTATTTAATTTTTATTATTATAGGGTAATTTATAAAAATTAAGTTAATATATTTTCTTAAGTATTATATAGGAGTATTTATTAAGGCTAAAAGAAAGTTATATTTTTTTACTTATTTTATAATTTTATTACCTATAGGGTTTACGCCTCTACCTAAGTCTTAGAGTTAATATAAGGTATTAAAATTACTTATAATAATTAAGCAGAGGGAAGGAGGGCTTTATTTAATAAAAGTCTTTATAGCTAAGTTTATTAAAGCCTTTTAGTAAATATTAATAATAATATATTTATATATTTTTATTTAATATATATAATTATTTTCTAAGCCTAAGGGAGAAAGTTATTTATTAAGGAGATTTAGGGAGATTTTAATAAATATAAAAACTAAGGGTTTAGTATTTTTTTAATTATTTAGGGGGTTATATACTTAATATTTAAGATAATTTTTAATTTATTTTTTATTTAATACTTTATTTTATTAAATATAGGGTTTTTAAATTAATATAATATTATAATTACTTTTTTATATTAGTAATAAGGTAATATTTTAATAAGGATTAGACTTTTTAATATTAGTTTAGAAAATTTTAAAGTTAGTATTTCTTTAGTAATTATAATAGGGCTTATTATTTATAAGCTTATATTAAAGGGTTTATTAATTTTAAAAAAGATATTAAATATATTTTTATTTTCTTTAGCGCTTTTACCCTTTTTTTTATTATTTAGGCTAGCTATATAAATTACTAACCTAGTAGGGGAGGTTTTTTTATAAAGGTTTTTCTTATTTAAGTTAACTTTAATAATAATTTTTTAAGCTAAAGCTTAGGGGGGGAAAAGTAATATTAAGCTAAAGATTAATAATTATAAGCAGGGGCTTATTTAAGTCCCTGGGTTAAGTATTATTTTAATATTAAGGGCTAGTATAAAGGCTAGTTTAGGCTTAGGTAGGTTAGCTTTATTATATTTTTACTAACTTAATTTTTAAATAGCCTAAAGTTAGGTTTTAGTAATTTAAATTTTTTTTTTATTTTTAATAATTAATTTAGTAAAATACTTTAGGGAATTTATAATATAAAAGCTATTATAATTAATATATTAAGGCAGGGATAAGTAATTAATTATAATATTATTATATTTATAAAATAACTTATTATATTTATAATATTTTTTAGTTTTAGTATAATTTTAAGGGTTATAAAATCTAAAATACTATAAGTATTAAGTAACTTAAGGGGGCTAAACTTAGGTTCTTACTAAAAAGAAATTACTAAATAGCCTAAAACTTAGTTTAATATTTTTTTTAAAAAAGATAAAGTAATAATATATATTAAGAAATTTCCTAAAGGGGGCTTTATAATAGGCTACTAAAGGGTTTTTAGCCCTAGCCTTAATATATACCTTTTTAGAAATTAGTATATTTATAAAGTAAGTTTTACTTAAGTTTATATAAGTTTTTAATATATTATATATAAAAAGAATTTTTTAAGTATATACTTTTTTAATTTTTAAGTTATTATTTTTTATTTAAGTTTAAAGTATAATAATTTTATTTTATATATTTTAATTTTTACCCCTAAGGGTAAAGTTTAATTAAACCTTTTAAAAGTAAGTAATATTTTTATTAATAAGTTTTAAGATTTTAATTAGTTTTTATTTAGCCTTAATAATTAATAGTTTTTTTTATATATAATTTAATAAAACTTAAATAAAAATATAGTTATTAAGCTTTTTTTTAAGTTTATTAGTTTTATTTCCTAGTTTATTAATAATATAGGCTAGCCTTTTACTATTAGGAACTAGGTTTTTTAAAATTATAAGCCTTTTTTATATTTTTTTATTATAAATATCCCTATGTAATATAACTTATATTTATATAACCCCAGAGCCCTTTTAGCCTACTTTTTTAATAGTTATAAATACTTCTGCTTTAGTAAGGTTTTTAATAGCCTTTAGTTTATTACCCTTAATATAAAATATATTAGTTAATATTATTTTAGTTAGTTAAGTAGTTTTTTTTTTACTACTTAATTTTTTAAGGTTTTTAAGCCTTTCCTTAGGGTTAATATAAAAAATAATAAAGTTTTTAAGTATAATATTTAAGTAAAATTAAATTTATTTTACTATTATTAAGAAAAGTTAAAATATATATTATATTAGGCAGGAGTTAATAATTATAATTATATTTAATATTATATTTTATTTAGCTTATTATTATATATTAATTTTATTAATTTAATTTATAATTTTATTCTTAGTAAAAGATTTCTTTTTTTTACTTAAGTTAATAGCTTTTTTTATATTATTAAAAATAAAAGTAATAAAATCTCTTAAGGCTATTTATATTATAATTACTACTATTATTATACTTAGTTTTATTTTATTAAAGCTAAGCAAGGGTATTTTATTTATATTAAGGGCTTTTTTAAAGTATTTTTTTTTTTAAGGGTAAAAGAGAAAATTATAACTTTTTTTATTTTTAAGCTAAAGGGGGTTACTTTTTTCTAAGGCTAAAGGGCTATTATAAGTCTAAGGGTAATAGGATTTAATTTATTTTAGGTATTTAAAGGGTTTATAAATATTTTTATTTCTCTAGAGTTCCTAAATAGGATTATAAAAGTAAATAAAAAGGTTGTTTTATTTAATAGCTAGTTAAATAAAGTAAGGGTTTTTAGTAGTTAGGTACCTAAAAGGTGGGGTACCTGTAGATGTAGGAGGGAAGCTTGGGCCTGAATTACTATGGGAGGATAACATAGTAGACCTATTACCTAGTCAGGAGATAAGTTATCGTATTAAAGGATTAAAGGATTAAAGGGAAGGGAGGTTTCAGGAAGGTTTCTCTATGATTGGGAGATTAAATAATATGATAGATCATTTCCTGATGTTCAGTACCGGTATTGTGGTCCAGATTCTTATTTGAGTAAGCTACCCTCTTATATCTTAGGTCATTTTACGTTAATCATTTCCATGCTATCAATCTCTTTCCTACCACCCAATACATCTTCTTCAATACAATTCGTAGTTCGAGAGAGTCCCTCCAGCATTCGTAGCCCAGTGTTAATATTAAACCTTTCTCACATAAAGTCTAAAAGCAGCGCAGTGCTTCTCTATATAAATAGTCACTAGTGTGTTCATATCCACGAAGCTAGATCAAGTACGTGATATAAAAGACTCAACTATAACCAACCTTCCCCAACCTCCAAGATACTATTAACCATACCATACACCGCCTTATCCAAAGGCAGAGGCCCATCATACCCCCAAACCCCCTTGGCTCAGGAAGGATCTATCGTAGCAATTAGTATCCCCCGCTCTAAACAAGCATTTGCAAGTCGGTACTTTAATTCCGGGCGAATCGCTGCAACATATCCACCCACGTCACTCATTTAGAAATTACAGCCCCCAATGAGGATACGTTTTCTTCCAACCTCAGTGGCAGGTGGAGCATTTAGAGCGAGGATATGAACTCGAGCAACGTCACGTACGTCGGTGGCCATAGGTATTGCCAAAGGCGGAGATAATTCCAGTGAAGAACTCGTTAGAAGGAGGTTATAGAACCTACCAAGCGATGAGTGATTTTTCAATTCCTCTTTCTGTATGTTGGTACCTCTCGCGAGCGGTCCATAAAAAAAGGCGGATTAACTGGGAATAAATTATTATATTTGGACTCAGAGACCTTAGACTTGGTACTTAATACGTACTTATTGTAACATCCACTTCTGGGTGTTCATCAGCAAACTTCCATATCTGTTGCTCAGTCAGAGACTTCGCAGCACCGTATAGCCAAAGAGGATTCTCTTTGTGTTTGCCGCTAAGAACCTGCTCAGTCGTTGCGGGATTCCAATCTATTTGAGAGTCAGATAACAGCGGTTTGGGGGACAGAAAACTTGTGTGAATATAGACATACCTTTCTCGGTGAAGATATAATTGCTAAACAATTTGCGCCCTATGGTGATTTATCTATAAGCCGGGCATTTCCATCCAACCGACATCGCTGTCACCAGTCTTCATTCTGCCTTCTCCAGCCTTTGAACAAGACATATCTTCCAATATCTTTTCCTCGTCAACCGCAGATCTCATGAATTTTTTTTTTTGCATCGATACATCCTTGATACAGAGGGCAATACGATAGTAGTATAATTGGCGTGAAAAATGACCCGAATTAGCCAATCTCGCGAGGGTCAACCCCCCCTCCCCATTCACGAATGGAGGGCAGTCCAGGCACTAGGTGGCGGTTTGCAAAGACTCTACTTAGTTGTCAAGAAGGAGCGCAGCTCGAATGCAACGACACGTGCCTGGATCAGTATCTCTACAGACGAGCAGCTAAAAGAGCAATGGGACCGCTTACATGCCTCACACAACGAGCCGACTTCCCTCCCCTTATACGGCGTCCCCTTTGCCGCAAAGGACAACATAGATGCGGCGGGTTTCGCAACCACAGCAGCTTGCCCGGCATTTGCGACGATTCCTGCCACTGACGACGCTGCTGTTGTTGCCAGACTAAAGGCAGCTGGTGCCATCCTCATTGGCAAGACCAACCTCGATCAGTTCGCTACAGGGCTCGTCGGAACTCGGTCACCGTTCGGAGCGGTTCCCAACAGTTTCGACCCTACCAGAGTAAGCGGTGGATCCAGTTCGGGCAGTGCCGTCGTAGTCGCCTGGGGAGTTGTCCCATTTTCTCTTGGAACCGACACGGCGGGATCTGGTCGTGTTCCCGCCGGCTTGAATAACATCGTCGGCCTAAAACCCACGCGCGGTGCTCTGAGCGCAAGAGGCGTGGTACCGGCTTGTCGGACACTAGACTGCGTGTCTATTTTCGCTCTCACTACAGATGACGCTGAGACTGTCTTGTCTGTCGCAGAGGGTTACGACGCGCAAGACTCTTACTCGAGGATCCGGCCGTTGAGCACCAGACACACTCCAGATTCTGAATTCGGATCCAGGGCGAATAAAAGGTTACAGTCCGTGCTGGCTATCTGTGCCAATCCACCTTGGTTCGACCGCGATGACCATTCTCCTTCTTATGAAGCCGCCCTCGACAGGGCCAAATCACTCGGATGGGTACTACAGCCTGTCGACTTCACATTGCTTTTCGAGCTTGCATCATTGCTTTACTTCGGTCCGTGGGTTGCGGAGCGTTATCAAGCCATTCAAGCTTTTATCCAGAACATTGAACCAGATCAAATGGATCCCGTGGTGCACAAGATCATCAAACAGGCAGAGGAATTTTCTGCCACAGACGCGTTTGACGGCGAATACAAGAGGCAAGACTTGACCCGCCAGATTGAGCTAGCATTTGCCGCATATGACGGCCTCCTTGTGCCTACAACACCCACATTCCCAACCTTCGAATAGGTCTCTCTCAGCCCTGTGGAGGAGAACTCGCGATTGGGCACCTATACCAACTTTGTCAACTTTTTAGATTGGTCCGCCTTGTCGATACCTGCAGGATTTCGACATGATGGGCTGCCGTTTGGGTTCACATTAATCGCAAATAATTGGCAGGAGCCACAGCTGTTGAGATGGGCCCGGACATGGTTAGCTGGCCAGACAAGAACACTTGGAGCTGTATCTGCACGCTGTCTCGAGCCGGCACTGTCGAAACCCCAAGAAGCACACGCTTCGGAGAAGATATTCGAGAAGAGGATTAGCGTTGCCGTAGTCGGCGCTCATCTCTCGGGCATGCCTCTAAACAAAGATCTTGTCTCGCGTGGTGCTGTTCTCAGTCGTAAGACGAGGACTTCGAATCGTTATCGTTTATTCGCGCTTCAGAACGAAAGCGGCCCGGCTCGGCCAGGTCTGCAGCGCCTACAGGGTGCACAAGCGGGGACAGAGATCGTTGTCGAGGTATGGGAAATACCCGAGACAGCTTACGCTGGCTTTTCCGACACCAGTCCTTCACCACTTTCAATAGGGAAAATAAAGCTTAGAGATGAGTCTTGGGTCTCTGGCTTTGTTTGCGAGCCGTACGGCCTTGAAGGAGCGGTCGACATCACACATTTTGCGAGTTGGCGGTCTTACATCAACCGCCTGGATCAGCCAGAGCCAGCCTCACTTGGCTCAGTGTCTACAGTCTTGATAGCCAATCGCGGAGAGATTGCCGTACGGATCATACAGACGCTGCATAAGTTGGGCCTCAAGGCAGTGGCCGTGTACTCGAGCGTCGACGCCGATTCCTCTCACGTTGGCTTTGCGGATCTGTCCTACGAGCTCAAGGGCCAATCCGTGGCCGAGACGTACCTCTCAATCAGCCAGATTCTTACCATCGCAAAGTCTGCAGGAGTAAACGCAATCATCCCAGGCTATGGATTTCTGGCTGAAAATGCTGATTTCGCCATCGCCGTTGAAGAAGCCGGCGTGACCTGGGTTGGTCCTACCCCAGCACAGATGGTCGAACTTGGCCTAAAGCATCGCTCACGCGCAGTAGCAATTGAGTCTGGTATTCCCGTGGTTCCTGGTTCCAAGGGCACATTAACGTCACTGGACGATGCACTTATCGAGGCCGAGAACGTGGGCTACCCATTGATGCTCAAGAGCACGGCCGGTGGCGGTGGTATTGGTTTGAGGCGCTGCGCAAACGAGGCCGAATTAAGGGATGCCTTTGAAGGTGTCCAGCGTCAAGCAGTAGCCAATTTTGGTGACGGGGCCGTCTTCATAGAGCGCTTCGTTGAACTGGCGCGTCATATTGAGATCCAAGTCATCGGAGACGGCAGAGGAGCTGCCGTTACAGCTGGTGAAAGAGACTGCGCGCTCCAACGACGACACCAGAAGGTTGTTGAAGAAAGCCCCGCGATAATGGTGCCGGAAGGACAGCGTGTCGCCATGAGGGCTGCTGCTGTGCGGCTGGCTGCTCACGTCAAGTACCGCAATGTTGGCACGATTGAGTTCATCTACGACGTGAACAAAGACGAGTTCTACTTTCTCGAAGTCAATACTCGCTTGCAAGTTGAGCATCCAGTAACCGAGCTGGTGACAGGATTGGACCTTGTAGAATGCATGCTGCAAGTTGCTGCCGGTCAAGGAGTTGACCTCTTCAGCAGCCCAGTCAACCATCTTCCAACAACGGGGGCGTCTATTGAAGTACGATTGTACGCTGAGAGCCCTTTGGAGCAGTTCCGTCCATGCGCTGGGACGGTGAGCAAACTGAATTGGCCCGTATCACTACGCGTTGATACCTGGATTGATGAGGGCACCCGCGTCACGACGCTTTACGACAGTATGATTGCGAAGCTCATTGCCGTGGGATCGGACCGTCGCGAGGCTCGCAGAGGGCCTGAATAACACTGTCGTTGAAGGCGTCCAGACAAATCTTGAATATCTGCGGCAAATCGTGGCATCGGAATTATTCTCTTCGGGAAACTTTCATACCAAGTCGCTGGACTCGTTTCAGTTCATATCTTCCACATTTGAGGTAATTGAGCCCCATGGAGGTGTGTCCGTACAAGACTATCCGGGCAGGTGTGGCTACTGGAGCGGCCCAGCTGATAATCTTTCTTTCCGCCTCGCCAACCGACTTGTGAGCAACGACGATGATGCTGCAGGACTTGAGTGTACGCTACACGGACCTCATCTGAGGTTCCATCGTGATGCAGTGGTTGCCGTCACGGGCGGTGAAACTCTCTTGCTCATCGATGAAGAGCCTGTCCCTCTGAGCACGACGTTGCGTATTAAAGCCGGACAAACATTACACGTGGGTGCCATCACAGCCGGCTACCATGTCTACATTGCCATTGGCGGTGGTATCGAAGTTCCGTCCGTTATGGGTAGCAGGTCAACCTTTGAACTGGCTAAAATGGGAGGCTATAAGGGTCGTTCGCTTCGTCCACGAGACATTATACCCATAGGTACTTCCCAAGCCAAGACAATCAGATTACTGTCCTGTCCTGTAATCTCACCCAAAACAGGTTGACGGTAGAAGCTGGAGGATTCGTGTGCTCCCCGGACCACACGGAGCACCTGACTACTTCACCCATGATGGCCTCGTAAAGCTATTCTACAGTACCTGGAAGGTACACCAAAACAGTAATCGTCTCGGCATCCGGCTTTCGGGGCCCAAGCCGGAATGGGCGCGCGATTCGGGAGGTGAGGCAGGGCTGCATCCGTCTAATATCCACGACGGCCCCTATTCTATTGGAAGTGTGAGCTTCACGGGTGATGAAGCTGTTATTCTCGGATGCGATGGGCCGAGCCTTGGAGGCTTCGTCGTTTTTAGCGTAATCATCTTGGCGGATCAGTGGAAGATGGGGCAGCTGCGGTCAGGAGATTCCGTATCGTTTGAGCCCATCTCTTCTCAAACAGCACTAAAGCTGGACAGCGAACTTCAGCGCGCAATATCGCAGATCAGGTTGCCACACGATCTTGGGATTGAGGAAACAGTCGTAACCCCCGGCCTCGATGGCCTGGAGGTTGTTCTCAGAGAAACAGTGCACAATAGACACGGCTATGTCTGCCGCCAGGCTGGAGATAATGCGCTGCTCATAGAAATCGATGGCACCTCTGACTTTGATCTTGCGAGAAGCTTTGGGATCTTTGCATTCTGCGAGCGCCACCGTGAATAGCCGATTCCTGGTGTCAAAGAACTCACTCCGGGTGTGGGTACTATTCATGTCATTTATGATCATGGGCTACCGGTTGCCACCTTGATCGACCGGCTCTTCGCTCACCTGGCGACATGTCAATTAAGACACAGCATCCCCTCGAGAACAGTACGACTACCTCTTGCCTTCGATGATGCTGTCTGCCGGGCTGCTGTAGAGCGCTATGCTTCTACAATCCGTGGCGAGGCCCCTCAGCTCCCAAGCAACATTAACTTTTTGCAAGAGCTGAATGGTATAGAAGATATATCAGTGCTCTTACACAGCGCGACTTTCCTCGTAGTGGGGCTTGGTGATGTATTCCTTGGCTCTCCTTGCGCAGTGCCACTCGATCCCCGTCACAGACTGTTTGGAACCAAGTATAATCCCTCACGCTCTTTCACGCCGCGTGGAGCAGTAGGCATCGGTGGGCAATACCTCTGCGTTTATGCCACTGACTCGCCAGGTGGATACCAGCTTGTTGGAAGGACAAAGGATATATGGGCATCACCGGAGACTCTATCGTCAAATGTTAATCCACCTTGGCTATTCCGCCAATTCGATCGCATAACCTTCTACCCGGTGACAGAAGAAGAGCTAGACAGCCAACCAGCGGATAAGCCAATACAAATTGTCGAGGGCGAACTGGATCTTATATGGTACGAATCTCTATTGGCTGACAATAAGGAGCTCATCGCTCAACACCGAGCACAGCAAAGAGCATCGATGCTCAATGTGCCTTTCCTCGAAGATTTGTTAAAGCCGTACATTCACAAATCCCGGACAGTGAAAGGAGCTTCCAAGGGAGAACGTGGGAGTGCCTATGGCTCACAGGTACCATCAACGATACCAGGACGTTGCTTTGAAGTGCATGTACGGCCCGGACAGAAGATTATCAAGGGCCATCCACTGGTAAGCATCGAGTCGTGCAAGATGGAGGTTGTTGTCAGGAGCTCCCTTGATGGAGCGTGCAGTGCCGTGCTGGTTGAAGCCGGTGACAATGTCGACGCTGGAGATGTTTTAGTAGTTATAGATTTGGTTACCTAAGATTAAGCGACGCCAGCTTAGTCGCACACCTGAATACATACATATAAACATGCCAATTCGCGCAAATTCTTGTGTCATTTTTTTTTTTCATACACCGCGGCAGCTTTGCCAAGCGGCAGTCCAGTTATAAAGGTTAAAGATCCTGCTGAATCTTTCACATTCTTAGCCCCTATGTGTTGCACACAGACTATCTGATAACCCTAAAAAGAACAGTCTTGTCGCTGACATGTAGTATATATAGCTAGTATTTCTTTATTATTGAATTAGTACTCTAGGGATTATCTTTGTAAAAGTTAGTATCCCCGCAGCAAAACATTATGAATACTTATCTTAATAGTATAAAAGCAGCTAAATTACCTCGTAAACGGATTCTTCTGTGCGATGAACTACATGTTATGAAATTAATACAATCGGAATCTACCATAAAGTGCCTCATAACGAATTAACTTTGTATACAACTTCTCTATGAAATTCTCCTGCCTTAGAAAACCCTTTTAAATCCAACCTCTCGTGTTTGACGCCGCTTGCCGTCTTTCAGCTTGTCATGAGGATGAGCTTTGTCAAGGAGAGATAATAGAGCCGCCAAACCCATGGAAAAACTAGTTAAGTATAGGGTAAGTTCCCGAGCGAACACTTGAGTAAGTTCAATTGTCCAAGAACTTCCCCCGCTCTCTTATCATGTTTCCAATTACTCTTTATTCTTATCTTTCAATTTGAAATCCCAAAGGAGTTCCCCTCAATAGTGATATAACACTTCACTGCCTACTGGTTCGGATGGTAGGCTGGGTTTGACGCATACGATGGCTGGTTCTTTGGTCAGTTTAAAGACAGCATCCATAGACTCTCTTGAGTTGATATTAGACGGACCAGCGGGGTGCGGATTAATACAAGGGCCGTAAGCTACTGCTAAGCTGCCCGAATATATGTACATAGGCTACTCACCAGCACCTCACTTCACCTCGAGCTCTAGATTCTCATTGGTATAGAGCTGGGAGCTACACAGGCACATCAAGGAATCGGGTTGCGGCTCACTGCTATATCAAGGGGTGATGAGACTGCACAAACTCTAGCTTCACTGTAGCCAACCAGCAAGGGAGCTAGCCGGCATGGACCAATCCATCAGCAATCGTGCATCCCACCAGTTTCATCAGGGACCGCCCATCTTACCGCGACCTGCAGAGGATCCAGAAGCCCATGGCTCTTCAGGCGTTCTATCTTCTCGAAATCTGCCTCGGATCCATCATCGTAGCTGTACCGAGTGCAGTCGCCGCAAGGTACGATGCAACCATCACCAGCCGTGCTCCAACTGTGTCAAGGCTGGGAGCGAGTGCATCTTTCCCACGTCCAGGCGCACCCCGGTGAGGCGTGAAAAAGCCACCAAAAGACGAGACGAGGAGCTACTAAAATCGCTGCGGAGGCTCCAGCGCCGACTACAGTCCACCGAGATTGCACAGCTGGTGGCTCAGGGCGAAGCTGGTGACAATGGAGACGAAGGCAACCGCTCCGAGGAAAGAATAAGTCGAGATGAAGAGGCGAGAACTCAGCAAATCAGCCCTTTCGGTCCTTCTCCATCGACAACTCATGTTGACGATGTGCCGGGCAATACAGAGGAGCCTGCTCGGCTAATGCTTGATCACGACCGCAGCCGGTACATTAGCAATCATTTCTGGGCAAGCATGTCCAGAGAGGTATGTTACATATAGCTTCTCATCCAGCCCATCATCGAACTTTGGACTCTCTGACCGGGCGCTTCAGATTGATGAAATGCGTGACATCTTGGACGGCTCCTCGTCAGAGCAGGAAAATGACGACCAAGACCACCAAGACCAAGGCAGCGAGGCGACGCCAAGCTCTCGTCTCTCCCACAATAGCCGTGATTTTCCCATCTTCAGCCCGTCCGCTACTTCGCAGTCACTACAGTCTCTTTACCCGAGCTCTTCGGATCTTTTGACCATTTTCGATGTGTTCCAAGAAAACGTCGATCCCGTTGTTCACATCTTCCACCGCCCTACTATGCGAAAAACCATCACCGAGGTACTGCCACTCGTCGACGGATCGTCGCTGGACCGCATGACGGAAGTGGTCGTGTTTTCCATCTGTTATGCTGCACTGACTAGTCTGAGCGATGCAGACTGCCAGAAGCTGTTAGGAGAAGACCGGCGCGTGTTGCTCTCGCGATATCGGTATGCGACTGAGCAGTCGCTCTCCAGAGCCCGCTTCCTGGAGTCGCAAAACCTAGGGATCCTCGCAGCCTTGATATTGTTCTTGCTCTGCCTTCGTCGACACGACGACTCCCGCCTCGTGTCCAGCCTTCTCGGAGTGGTGATTCGCAATGCGCAAGCCGTGGGATTGCATCGTGACGGCACAAAGTTCAACCTCTCGCCGTACGAGACGGAGTGGAGGCGTCGTCTGTGGTGGCACACTTGCGTGCTCGACATCCGCGCCGCCGAAGATCACGGGTGCGACCCGTCAATTTACGACCAGAATTACGACACCAGATTCCCGCTCAATATCAGCGATGACGATCTGTCCCCCGAAGCCACCACTGCGCCACCAGAACGCCAAGGAATCACTGATATGACCTTTTGTCTCCTACGCTTCGAGGTTGCGGTCGCCATCCGCAAACTCAACTACCATGGGCCTGTTGGGACTCAGGAGCCGCCACTATCCACGGCTGAGAAACGTGACTTTGTGGAGAAAATAGAGAAACGCTTTCACGAACGCTATATTAACTGCTGCGACATCACCAAACCCTTTGACTGGGTCTCAGCTGCATGGGCACGGCTGATGCTGTCCAAAATGTGGCTTGCCGTGAGCAATCCGCTACATCCCCAAGACATCACCGACGGTGCTACTTCTCTCAATCTCCGACATGTAGCCTTTGAAAGGTCAGTCGAAATGCTGGAGCTAGCAGACTCGTTAGAAACGGGGCATAGGGCTGCAAGATGGCGGTGGCTGTTCATGACACACGTCCAGTGGCACGCCGTTGTCTTTGTGTTGGCCTATCTCTGCGTCCATCCTAAAGACGAGCTGTCACCTCGTGCGTGGCTGGTGATGGACAGAGTCTGTGAGCGGTGGCCTCACGATAGTCGCTCTAAGAAAGGGATGCTCTGGGGGCCCATCCATCGACTAATGGACCGCGCACAACAAATTCGGGTCCGACAAGGTTGCGGTCCTCCGGGGGGGCCCGGTGTATCCAAAGAGAGCCATCACCGGTCTTACCATAACCCTCCGCCAGGCATTGCTTCGCAAAGTCGAGTCTCGGCAGCCGCGCTCACAACATTCGAAGCGATGACTCAATCTACAGTCCTTGCCAGAGACAATCCTGTACCTTCAATCCCTCTGACACGTCAAGGCATCGAAGAAGCTGAGCATCACCTCACTACAAGTATAGACCTAGCAGACAGCAGCTCTACCCCCAGCTTTGGGGTTTCCGTGCAAGCTCCCGGAATGAGTAGCCTCCAAGTTCTCCAGGACCCCCAGTCAGACTGGGCCAACATCCTACATGAGCTGCAGCATGGCTTTCGGGAGGACCCATACGTTGACATGACAGACCCAGCAGAGGCGATACATGAGTACGGTAACAATCTCTGGGGCATGCTCTAGCTGCAGGCTCGTAAGGGTTAATCACATACCACATCATCGTGTGCTACAGCGAAGGGACGAATCATTGTCAAGAGCTAGATACGGATCAATTAACCCTCCAATCAAACTCATTTGTTGTTGATTTCCCTTTTCAGTTGTCTACTGGAGAAACACAGATGCTATCCGCTGATAGTGAACCGTCCGTCACCACTAAACCCACTGCGCCTCCTGCATAGTCCTCGTCTACTGCGGCCAATTCCGCCTGACCGACTCTACCTTCGATCTTGCTGCCCTGCACGCGTAGGTGCATTTGGTACTTGATGTTTTCTTCCCATGCAAAAGGCATGCTCATCAGCTCTATCCTCTTATCGTCAGCAGCCTTGATCAACGCCACCCGTTTGTCTTTGGTCAACATGAGCCCGTAATAGCGATCAAGTCCCTGGACCCGAGCGGCAACGCCCATCGGCCCACCGAAGTTGACTACAAAATCCGACACCGTCACGTCATAGTCGACCCAGTCCCTGGTACCCTGGCTTAGGAGGCCCTCACCTCGGTCTTGGGCGATGAAGAATGATGGTCCCATGTCAGTATGCACCTTGTCCACGGAACTAACCCAAGCACGGTTCCAGAAACTCTGGTATCTACTCTTGTTCGCGGGTCGTTTCAGTGTCATTCGAGGTGCACCATTCCATCGCATACTGTGAAGAAATATGGCACCATCAAGGTTCGGAGAGCCTATGGAGGTGCTGATCGCGATGCCAATTTGCTGGATGGGCCAGTTCTGAAGGCTCTCGGGAATGATCCACTCTAGGCTGTCATGCTGCCCGGGCTTGATCTTAATTGGCCGACTATCCACAGTTTTCAAGGTGTCGTTTTCGTCGTATGCCTTTATTCTCACACACATGGTCGAGATCGCAGTGTTGTTGTCGGCTGCGTGCAGTTCTGCTTTGACCCGTTGGCCTGGGTACACCAAAGGTGAGGCCATGATTTCGTAATTTCGATCAACCTGGAGGATATCCAGTGGCGTGAAGGTGGGTGTCATTACTTCCACAGCACCGCTCGTGTCTGTCAGATTGTTGATGTGAATACAAAGGCTATCAACTCCGCTGTCTTGGCCTTGGCTGATGCGAACCACATCCGAAGGAGACTGGAAGCCCTGAACGCTACCAGGAAGGGAGAAGTGAAACTGAGCGCCATCCTTTGGCGGCTGGAGGGGTGGACTGCCGGACAAGCGGTGACCGAGATTGGCTATATCGTACGCTATGCGTGCTGCGTTGTTTATCGAGTAGCCACCGTCGGCGCTGGAGATGATGGCTCGATCGGCCAAAGGGCCTAGCCAGTCAGGACCATCTTGAAATGCGGCCAGGCCGTGCATCAAAGCAACCAAGCACGCAACATTTCCGGCATTGCAGTCGGTATCCCAGCCACAGGTGTTGATGACATGCATTGCCTCATGAAAGTCGTGTCCTGCGTATAGTAGAGCCATGATCATGATGGCATGGTTGGGGACAACGTGGCAAATACCAGGATACTTATCATATCCATAATTATCTTCGATTCGCTGACGCGTTTGCCTCCAGTCGCCGCCCTCTTGCACCCAGCGCCTGACGTCGGCAATCATACGCGCTATAACGGAGTCAGTTGGAACAAACGCCAGACCGGCATCAAGGAGATGGTTGACGTCGCTGGACAGGAACGCCTCTGCCTCCATGACCGCCCATAACTTGGCCGCATGTACGGCTTCGCCATCGTGGCTCACCCGTGCGGCTGCCTCGGCAAGCCGCGCCGCCAGAGCCTGATTTCCCGGAGCGACCATAGCCCAGCCATCGATGAAGATTTGAGCGCCAATCTGCTCTGCCAGAGTGCGACCATTCGTCTTGAACGCACCGCTGGCAGGAGCAGTGATGCCGTTTTTGAGATTGAGGAATGCTGTATGCTCGGTCGAGATGCCATTGCCTCCCCACCAGAAGATAGAGCGGCCCTCGACGACGTTGTTCAGCCAAGTCTTGCCGACATCCTTAGACGAGAGGTCTGCAGAGGTGCCGTGCTCTTCCAGCGCACGGACAAAGGTAAAGGTACCCGAGACGTCATCGTCAATTACAACAAGTGGTAAATCTAGCTTGTCGTGTACATAGTAGCGAATGTCTCCGAGCTTGTCCTGGATTTCTTGATATGTCCAGTTTTCGAACGGCCGCCCGAGGTACACACCCACCAGCTTCCCGAGAACGCCAGCGTAGACTCGATGCAGATAGTCATTGGGTATAGGCGACATGGCTTTTTCTGACCGTGTAATAGTTTGATAGTTTGACAAATGAGGAAACAAAAGAGGGTCGTAAGATGCGGCTATAGTACAGGGGCTCTCAGCTATCGTAGGAGCTTCAATGAGCTTCAATGAGGAAGTGCCGGTTGCGGCTCTGCAGTAGCTTCAAGCAGTAATTATACTGACAAATGCAAAGAATATTTGCGCGTGTCCACGTGTATCAAAAATCTTGTCTTATTCTTGTCCTTACCACTGTACTCCCCGACGTGAAACCACGGTTCGGAACACAACCCTCGCGTCCCGAACCCGAGCCCCCTCTCCCCCACCCTGACCTCGAACGCCGTTTTCTCGAAGTTCGAATCCGCACTCAGTTTTCGTCATGCCGTCCAATGACGGGCCCAGATGGCTCGGGAAACTCGGGGTTCAGCATTCTCTCCGAAGCCAAGACGCACCACCGCGCCATCTAAGACAATACAGGGCTCGCGCCTCAACAAGCAACGCCTCAATGCGGGGGGGCCAGGCTAAGCTTTTCCTTACGCGGCGATCTGGGAGTCAACATGCACGTGGAAATGATTCTATTTACCCCGTGGGGAGAAGAGAGACCCACACGCAGCCGCCATGTTTTCGGGATTTGGCTTCAACTTGGCCTTTGCATGACACGCCAAGATCAGCGAATGGGTTGTGTTAACACTTCTCTTCTTATGCCGGAGCCAGGCGAGGCAGAAGAACTAGATATAGGAGGCATGTCGGTCTGAACCATCGCCTGGCCTCGACTGTCACTCGTCTCCAGACATATCAAAGGTTCTAATACGTTGAAGAACAGACCATGGCTCATCGAAATATTTCGCGCTTCATTCCGCGAGACCAAAAGTGGCTCATAGCATGTCTCATCGCAGTGTCATCGGTGGACTCTGTGGTATGCCCTTCACCTTGTCATACACGGCAGTTATCAGGCGCGGCTAACCATCAGCAAAACGCAGCTTGTCGGCTACGACAGCTCGCTCATGGGTAGCCTCAACGTGATGCCCTCCTACAGCAGCTACTTTACCCTTACCACCACGACAAAGTCGCTCAATACAGCCATCTCGTATGTTGGCGGTGCCGCCATTTCACCTCTAGCAGGGTTCCTGGCCGACTGGCGAGGTCGCCGCGAGTGCGTATTCTGGTCCGCGCTGGTGGCTCTCATCGGCGGTGTCATCCAGGGCACTGCTCAGAACATCGGAATGTTCATCGCCGGGCGGTGCATCGTCGGCGCGGGCATGGGGCTGGCCCAGACGACGGCGCCGACGCTGGTTGCAGAGACCACCCCCGTCAAATATCGAGGCTTCGCTCTCGGCATGTACTACGCTTGTTGGGGCATAGGTACACTTATCGCAGCCGGCGTCTGCTTTGGGGTACGTCAAATGGGTGGATTGATCACAACACGAATAGTGCTGATGACATTGAGCTGACTTATACCCGCTACAGACGCAGAAACTCGATTCAACGTATGCCTGGCGCATCCCTAGTCTTTTGCAGGCGGCCCCAAGCGTCGTCTGTTTCCTTATTTTGTTATTCGTTCCTGAGTCACCTCGTTGGCTCATCAGCCATGACCGACATGAAGAAGCGTTGGAGGTTCTCAGCATCGTCAATGGTGGCGATGCTGACGATGTACAGGTCCAGTATCGCGAGATTGCGGACACAATCAGCTTTGAAAAGGAGTACAGCCTGGGCCTGGTGCAAGCGATCTGCAAGAAATCCAGCCGGAAGCGTTTGTTGATTACAACCACGTTCTCCGCCATTGTCATGCTCCCGGGAACTAACATCATCACGTTTTATTTTGGCGAGATGCTCCAAAACGCCGGCATTCAGAACCCAAACACGCAACTTCAAATCAACGTCATCCTCACATCGTGGAGCTTGGTCATTGCCGTCATCTCAGCCTGGTATACGGATTTGTTGGGCCGGAGGCAACTTTGTTCCGCTAGTTTGGCCCTGCAGACCGCCTTTATCTTCATATTTGGCGCGTTCACGAAACTCTATGGAGAATCGACCAATACTTCTGGTATATATGCAACCATTGTCATCATCTTCTTGTATAATGGCGCATACAACTGGGGCATCACGCCGCTTACAGTCCTCTATCCTCCTGAAATCTTGTCCTTTGAGATTAGAGGAGTCGGTATGGGCATCTACACCTTTGCCACAAAGTGTTGCGGTCTTTTAGTGACTATGGCTGTGCCTTTCGGCCTGCAGGCTATTGGATGGAAATTCTACATGGTGAATGGATGTTTCGATGTTTTAATGCTTGTATTTGTGATTTTGGTGTGGGTGGAAACTCGTGGGCTCAGCCTTGAGGAGGTGGACGAGCTGTTCGACAAGGAGAAGCGTGAGGTGGTTGCCGTGCAAGTCCATGCAGAGACCAAGGTAGATATACAGCACAAGGAGTGTTGAGGAGTCTAGTATTAACTCAATCGATGAGCTATCAATGCTGGTAAAATCTAGCTATAAATACAAGTTGAAAGGTTCACATCTTGATGATATCTATTGCGCTGCCCTTCCGTTGTATCTCTTTATTCTTTGTATTTCATCTAGAACTCTGACCTTCCCCATGGTGGTAGCAGTGCCTTTGGTGGCCACTGTGCCTGTACAAATCGACACTCCAAGTGATATTCTCCAGACCCAACTCTTTGCTCTTTGGCTTCCCGCTTGCCCACCTCAGATTCCCGGCCGTCACTGGGAAGGCTGACAACGGCGGTAGAGTTCGGAGGCACCCGCAATCTCATCCGGAAGAGATCTCCCTTCAAAGTCCATCTTAAATCAATCCGGCCGTACCTTGACTCGAACATGGTATTCGCCCAGCTCAACTCCTTATTGGGTTGCGGCTTCACTCTAAACACCTTCCAGCCGGGCTCAATTGCTTCGAGTCCACCTATATCGGCGTGCATCCAATTTGCGATGCTCCCGAGAGCATGATGATTAAAGCTGGTCATTGAACCGGGGTTGACAGTCCCATCGGGGAGCATGCTGTCCCAGCGCTCCCAGGTCGTGGTGGCTCCCATCGTAATGGGATACAGATACGAAGGACATTTCTTCTGGAAGAGCATGGCGTAAGAAAGGTCGACGCCCCCAGACCGGGTGAGTGCCTGAGAAAGAAACGCACTGCCCACAAATCCAGTGGTAAGCTTAAAGTCATTCAGACGCACCAGTCGGAACAGACGAGCCGCAGCCTGTGCCTTGGCTGAGTTGTCTCCACATTCTAGCAGAAGATCAAACGACAAGGCGAGCGAAAGAGCCGTTGCAGTATCTGGAACCACAAGACCAGCTGCGGTCAAATATTTGTCCCGCCATGCATGAACTAGGCGCAGCGCAGCGTCTCTAAAACGAGGCGAGTCTACTGGTTTGGCTAGCTTTGCGGCTACCTCCGCAGCGACCTGGGTAGAAGCAACGAGGAAACAATCGGCGACAAACGTGCCATCCGTGGTACCTCTGCCGGAATCATTCTGGGGCGCTCTTGGGTCCAGCCAGTCACCAAACTGCCACAGCTCAGGATCCCAGAGTCCATCCGGGCCTCGAATCACGCCATTCTCCAAGTGCTGAACCATGCTATCATACTGCGCCGAGAGGAAACTAACATCACCAGACATGCGGTACAGGCCCCAGGGAACCATAACGGCAGCGTCACCCCAAACGCCATTGGGCATCGGATCCCACCCGTGGCCCCCGTCGCCGTTTCTTAGTAAAGAATTGGGAATGAACAAGGGCACCACGCCTTGGTGCCAATATTCGGTCTCTTCCATCTGATCGAGGTACAGATCTTGCAACCAATGTCTCAACATGCCAGCCGTGTCATACAAGAAGTTGGCAGTAGGTGCAATAATACTGAGGTCTCCCGTCCAACCGAAGCGCTCATCTCTCGATGGGCACTCTGTGGGAATACTTAGAAAGTTACTCTTGATGCTATGGAGAGAATTTTCATGTAGCCGATTAACATCGTCGTTGGAGCATGAGAACCAGCCCGTACGCAACATGTCGGTATGCATCACTTCGGCGACAATACTCGCCTTGGTGAGAGGGCAGATTTGGTCGTCGGGGCCCCAACCCGCAATCTCGACATATCTAAACCCGTGGAACGTGTGGTGCGGATGCCAGTCAAGGAGCTCCCGGCCATCGCATATGATAATGTCCCTGGCTTTCGCTGTTCGCAAGGGACGACACATAATCTCCCCGTCTTGGATGACTTCGGCATGGCGCAATGTGATTCTAGAACCAGCAGGTTTCTGCACTCTTCTGACGCAAATGCGACCGGCGATATTTTGTCCAAAGTCCACAATGACAGCACTTCGGGACCGCGACTTGAACATGTCCTTTGCTTCCAGCCTCTCCACCACCCTTACCGGCGGGGCTTCCGGAGAGATGAGCCGGCTCACTGCAACAGGCGATTCTCGGACCGAGAACTTAGCGTCGTCCAGCTTTGAGCCCACCAGGCTTTGGTCAAAGATTTCACCATCCAATATTTCACTGCTAACCAAGGGTGTGTTGGAGACGCTCCAGCTCGGATCGGTGCTCACCGAAATCGGCAGGTTGGAGTCTGTGGCCCAAACCTCGAGTTGCGCCAGGACACCCAGTTTCTGGCCGTAGACGAACCGTTTCCTGGCCCAACTGGTAGCAGAGGCAAACCAGCCGGCGGCCACGTCTATCTCGATCGTGTTCCACCCAGGCGTTACCAAGAGATCTTCGGTATCGTAAAGCTGGTAGTGCAGTCTCTTGTGGTAGCTTTGGAAGCCCGGGGCCAAGCAGTGGTCGCCGACTTCTCTGCCATTGATCCGCACGCTATACACGCCATGGCTCGTGGCATATAGCCGGCCTCTGTCGATGGTCCCGTCTTTTAGAGAAAGATGAAACCGCTTGTGAAAGCGTAGCGGGCGGGCTGAATGGTCCGGGCCCAGCGGCCACGGCTCCGACACAGTGATCATACTCCCTTTCCAGTCGCTATTTCTCAGCAATGCAATCTCCAAAAGAGACGACGCAGACCATTCGGTCACGGACTCATGGTCGGAAGCCTCATCACGCCCATCAGCTATTAGAGAATATTTTCCGTAGCACCTGACGCGCACAAGCCGGCGCTCTCGTGAGTCGAGTGGCTCCGGGTTTGGCCACGGTACCAGGACGTTGTCTTCGCTCTCTACGTGGAAGACTTGGTCGGGCTCTGTGCTATTGTAGGTAATTGCGATATCGTATGCAGTCTGTTTCCAATTGCGTATTTGCTCGTTCGAGCAGGAAAATCTCCATGAAACCCTCGGGTGCACACATTGAACCCCAAAACCATCATGATGCTGCTCAAAAGTCGGTGGAAGAACCAAAACTGGAGACGCTGAATGACCCATGTCTGAAATGAAATTTGGGTGGTCAATGCGACAAGAGTTTCCCCATGGGGATGATTTGGATGTCCCGATTTGAAAGGCAGTGAGCTCTCTAGTCATATACCAAAGACTCTTAAATGATCGTCAGCTGTTTTTTTTCTGGGTTTTTTTTTGCCACTCTGCTTGGAACTTATTTGCAGCGCTAGTTATAATTTCTTCCACTTCCCATTCATTCGGAATACCGAAAGTCCCGAGCACCAAGAGTATCCCAAGCTGTGTTTACAGAGTATTTTGCTTTATTTTATCTGCTAGTAGTATAGAACAAATCTGCTCTGTAGCCAAACATGAGGATAAACTGATCCAGAGCGTTGCCATGGTATATGATTCTACCATTACTTTCCAACATGTCTGATGGCATGGATCGATTCCCCAGATTCTGACACTAATCAAACCCTTGACCTAGTTAGCTCATAGTCAGGAACCAATTTGAGTCGTTATATATGGCGCTCCTCATTCCCCAACTACCCCGCGATGTAAGTTTGACCGGCAACTCGGCAGTGGTATTACTTTATCCCCGGCCCTATTTCGGGGACCTATGTAAATTTGCTGTGCACGATCCCTGAATGGGCTCTCCCATCGGACAAACCCAACATCAATACATCCACTAATAAGATCTCTCCTTCTGCATATATCCTAGTGGCTAGAGTTGAAAACGCACATATGATACTAAACAGCTTCGTTGCAAGCTGGGGCATACTAGCAGGCAGAGCTTTGTCGAACTGTATATGGTATGGCTTCCAAGAAAACCATAGCACCTGGAGTTGAGCGCGGAAGCTCGCCGATAATCGCTCGCAACAGTCATGTATCTGGCCATTCCCTGTTGGCCGGGTTGAACATGTTATTTCGGCGTGTTTACCAGCAGCGTCGGTCCGATTACCGTTGATACTATTGAAATGAAGATTTGTAAATCACGGCTGGACTCCTGGACTCCTGGACCCCAGGTCGTGGAAGCTGACAGCCAGGGTAGCATGATGTGCACGGCTGTTCGGCATGTAACCATACCTTCATGGCAACTACCCTATTGTTCAAGGGTATATATTCAGCTGGTGTTTCGCATGTGAGAAGAAGCTTTCGGTAGCATCAGTGCCAAGGCTCTTCCTCTTGGCATAACATACTGGTTGTCGGGTCTCAGCCATGTTGCCAAAATCCATCATCGCTGTAGGCACTGTCCTGACGGGCATTGCCTCTAGCCAAGCGACCTCTCCGCCCAAGTACCCTTCTCCATGGATCAACGCGGACTTTAACTGGGACGATCCTTCTCCCGTTCCGACCAGCGGTCGAACTTGGGCAGAGGCCTATGATAAGGCTGTCCAGTTCGTTAGCAAACTCACTCTTCTAGAGAAGGTTAACCTGACGACTGGTGTTGGTTGGGAGGGCGGAAGATGCGTAGGAAACACTGGATCAATTCCTCGAATTGGATTTCCAGGCCTATGTAACCAAGATTCGCCCCTTGGTGTTCGTGACAGTAAGATCACCCCCCCATCTAATCGGCCCTCACGAGAACAATTCTAAGATAACCCCGTGTAGCGGACGAAAACTCTGCCTTTCCAGCTGGAATGAATGCGGCGGCAACTTGGAGCCGGAGTCTAATGTACGCACGAGGTGCGGCTATGGGAGCTGAGCATCGAGGAAAAGGCGTGGATACCCAACTGGGACCTGTAGCAGGACCCCTTGGCCGTACACCTGAGGGTGGCCGAAATTGGGAGGGTTTCAGCCCTGACCCGGTGCTCACTGGAGTTGGAATGGCTCAGACAGTTCAGGGAATTCAAGACTCTGGCGTGATTGCCTGTGCGAAGCATTTCATTGGCAACGAGCAGGAACATTATCGCCAAGGCGGTGCTTCCCAGAAGACGAACGGACAGAACAACAAGCTAGCAGAATCCTCCAACATCGATGACGTTACGCTCCATGAGCTATATCTCTGGTCAGAAATATCCTTATGAGGAACGTTGGACAGTTTGTTGACTAATTCCTTTTCTAGGCCCTTTGCGGATGCAGTTCGTGCTGGAGTTGGGTCCATCATGTGCTCATACAACCAGGTCAACAACAGCTACGCATGTCAAAACAGCTACATGCTGAACTATATTCTCAAAGAAGAACTGAACTTTCAGGGTTTTGGTAAGTTACATTTGTGCTCTCTGGTAGATGCGAAAGCTTACACATCTCAGTCATGAGCGATTGGTGGGCACAGCAGTCTGGTGTTGCCAGCGCCCTGGCTGGTCTTGACATGACCATGGCCGGAGATCAGGGTTTGGCATCTGGCAACACTTACTGGGGAAGCAACCTTACCGCCGCTGTTATTAACGGAACCGTTCCCCAGTGGAGGCTCGACGACATGGTTGTGCGAATCATGACTTCTTACTACAAGATTGGCCGTGATGTTACCAAGGTCCCTGTCAACTTCGACTCTTGGAGCTTGGAGACCACCGGCCCAATCTACGCACAGGATCCTAGCAAGGGAACGACGACCATCAACCAACATGTGAATGTGCAAGCCAACCATAAGAAACTCATTCGCCAGATTGGTGGTGCCTCAACTGTCCTTCTCAAGAATACCAAGAAGGCGCTGCCGTTGAAGAAACCCAAGAGCATCGCCGTCATTGGAAACGATGCCCATGATAACCCAGCTGGTCCCAATGCATGCAGTGACCGAGGCTGCTCCAACGTCAAGAACGGCTATCCCATCTGGACCCTTGCTATGGGCTGGGGAAGTGGCACTGCCAACTTCCCATACTTGATCAGTCCTGTTACTGCTCTTGCCGCCCAGGCCGAGCAGGACAAGACCGGCTTTAGAAACGTCAGCAACAACTATGACACAAAGGCTATCATCAAGGCAGCTACGGGTTCGGAAGCCGCTATCGTGTTTGTCAACGCTGATAGTGGCGAAGGCTACATCACTGTCGACGGTAATCAGGGTGACCGAAACAACCTCACCGCCTGGGGTAACGGCGACGCCATGGTCTCACTGGTTGCACAGCACAACCCAAATACCATCGTCGTCATGCACACTGTAGGACCCATCATTGTGGAGGCCTACAAGAACAACCCCAATGTTACTGCTATCCTCTGGGCTGGTCTCCCTGGCCAGGAGTCTGGTAACTCCATCACTGACGTTCTCTATGGCAAGGTCAACCCACAGGCAAAGTCTATATTCACTTGGGGCAAGGACCGCGCTGACTGGGGCACCGATGTCATTTACACCACTGCCGATGACCCCGTACAGATCCCATACACGGAGGGAAACTTCATTGATTATCGTCATTTTGATGCCGCCGGCATTGAGCCAAGTTACGAGTTTGGTTTTGGTCTCAGCTACACTACTTTCACCTATTCCGATCTTCGAATTGTCAAACACAAGGTCCGCAAGTATACACCCAACAAGGGGAAGACGTCATCTGCACCCACATTTGGAACTCTCAACAAGAATCCCGCCAAGAATGAGTTCCCCAAGAACATTGACCCAATTAACCTCTACGTCTACCCATATCTTGAAGGCCCCGTTCCCGAAGGACAGCCAGAAGACGTCCCTCCAGGATCTCAGGATAGCTCGCCCCAGAAGGTTGCCCCTGCTGGCGGCGCTCCTGGTGGAAACCCTGGCTTGTACGATGTTCTCTACACCGTCACAGCCCAAATCGAAAACACTGGAAAAGTGACGGGTACTGAAATTCCCCAACTGGTAAGCATTTTGCAACCCATTAATAATATTTGTGAATCAAAGATCGCTGACTCGTTGTACTAGTATGTGAGCCTGGGTGGCCCGACTGACCCTGTCCGTGTTCTGCGAGGATTTGATGATATTGAGATCCTTCCTGGACGATCTGCCACTGTCACTTTCCAGCTGACCAGACGTGATCTAAGTAACTGGGACTCAGCAAGCCAGAACTGGGTCATCTCTTCCTACCCCAAGACCGTCTATGTAGGAAGCTCATCAAGGACTTTGCCCTTGAGCCAGGTTCTTCCTTAGGCATCGGATTGCCTTGAACAAGCAGACTAGTAGTAGACTAGCATAGTCATAAGACAGATGACGGAAGTGCCTAAGTGAAGTCAAATTTAATGCAAATATCGTAGCGGTTAATGAGAAAAGATTATCTGAGCCCCTCGGGTCATTGTTTAAACTATCCTTTGAAGGCATTAGAGTTGGGGCGATACTAGGGGTTGTCTTGTAAGTTTAATTCGTATCAATCAATCAAAAATTAGCCCTACCTTTATCTGCCTAATGGCGGATTGATAACGTTAGTGGGCTGGCACGTTGTTACGTAAAGTATAGCTGCCCGTAGACTTTGGTTCACGTCTGAATCGAATATGACTTTCTTGTGACGATCCAAGGATCAACTGCCATTATCCACGTCTATGTTCAACTTTAGGCTAATATCATTTAGCAAATCTCTCCCACCGAATTTTCAAGGAGCAAATATTTGAACCAGGCCTGGAACAAGTCCGGGCCAGATTTAGTTCTTCATACGTTGGGACCAAATGCCCATAACATCCATAGCCAACTGCATTCGTAGCGTAGTAAGCGGAACGACTAATCATCTGCAACTGGTATAACGCGTAAATCGGAGCTTATTAGAATTATAGTCATTAAAATGAAGAGTTATTGTCGGAATAATATAAGCTAGGTAGGACCAAATCTCCCTTATGAGTACATCGAAGTCGAGGAAACATACCTACATCGCTTTTCAATTCAACAAGCTTTCTCTAGCTTAATAAGAATCTTGTCACGGTCCTAATCGAGTCATGTACCTGCCTCTTTAGTAAAGATAGACAAGGGTTTATGCGCCACTTAATTAACTAGCTGGATACTACTCCGGACTCAGTTAAAGGCAAACTGGCGGCGCTGTTGAAGAAAGCGCAGAACTACCCCACACTAACCCTACAGTCTACTCGTATACAGTCGATATAATTTCTATTATGGGATAAAGATGAAATGATATTGAAAGTAGCTGACATATTCTGCTTGTAAAAAACACTGCTAAGTCGTATTGATAGTTCTCAGATAGCTTTCAAGGGCAGACCGCCACCTTCTGGGCTTCCTATTGTAGATCTGTTCGACAGGTCTTTATGTTACACATGGATCTTTGAGTTATCCTTTGATGAAGTCAACAAGAGCAATTTGATGACAAGTTGGGAATATTTCTAAGAAGCTCGTTACTCTCTAGAAATTGTAGGACAACGATAGAATTATGTACAGAGGCACCTACATATTTTCAGCTTGATAGAATGGATTTTATTACTACTTTGGTATGGATGTTCTGGCTTGAGAAAAATGTTCGTTCATCATATGTCGTCAATCCTGAACTGTGGTATCCTATCCGTAACACATGGCTGATTGGGCTTGCTTACCGGCGTCCCTTGGGGCCATTAGAGGCCAAATCCGATGACTCTAGACCCGTTGCTCACCTGGACTCCTTATACTTTAACATCGCTTTAGCAGGCATTGACAGCAATCAATATCTAACGAGCTATCTAACTAGTCATAAAATCGCCCTGATTAAGCTGCTAAGCATTTACTTAACAAGTCCAACTATGCATTTAACGCATTACTCATTTCCTCCTTTCTCAATTTACAAGCATTGAGAGTAATAATCGTTCAAGTAAGTACATGTTGTACCAGAAGCGCATACAAAGGGCCCGGCCCAACCTTGGCCTGCACACTGACCGTACTTACTGTTGTTGTTCATTAGCATGATATCTCGCCTCCTGAATCGGAGAGGAACTTACGTCTGGGTAGGACCAACAGAGCTTGTCGTCTTTGAAGTTGTTGGCCGAATGGTAGTGCTTGGTTTCGTAGTGATGGTAGCTGAGACGCTGCTATGCGTAGTTGAGGTTGGTCTAACAGAGGTGCTTCCAGATGCTGCGGGGCCGCCACATCCTACACGACTGGCCCCAATTGAAACATCGTCGAACCAAACAGTATTGACATCTCCGCTGTAGGCTTCCCAGCCAAAGTAGACACCAGTGATGTCAGGAGTATAAGATTGTCTCGTCCAGCCAGCGTCATTCGGATTGTTTGCATTTGGCCCAGCGCTCATACCTGAGATCTCGTTGCCGTTCAACCAGGTTTGAATGGTTCCGTCAGTACCCAGATGATACTCGAAACATTGGAACGAGCCGGTAGGTAGGTTAACCGAAGAGGCAATGCCTTGTGGAGATAGGTCCGGAAGAGTAGCGTCGTCGGATTCGCGGTTGTAGTCGAGGACTTGACTTTGGCCACCGATACGGAGATGCTTACCGTTTTGAGCGCTGTCTGGCATAACAGCGAATGTGACGTGGTCACTGTTGAGAGCAGTCTGAAGTCGACTGGACATGCCTACTCAGTATCCGCATGTTCAAGTCCCTGGCGAGAGTACTTACAGCCAAACTCTCACATATACATCGCCGGCCGGCACTTCAGTAGTGCCGAAAAAGATGTGTCCACAATAGCCATTGGGTCCACCAACGACCTTCATAGAGTTGCTGCCACTATGGGCTACGGTGGTGTCAAGGCTGACGCTCCCGCCCTGATTGCAATCTGGTGCATAGGTGGCCCACGTAGTCTGGTCCCAGCCTCCCTCAAAATCATCCGAGATTTGCGCAATGGAGAGGGATGAGAGAGCCGCAAAGGCCAGCAGAGCAGCTTGGCGAACCATATTTGCCCAAAATGACTGGTCAGAGAAGAAGAGCTGCTGGAAATGGGGTCCGAATTGCTTAACAATATGTCTAAAGCGGACTGATAGGGTAAGATTTATATATGTACATTACAAGGCCGTCCCGCCTTGTCTCGTATTGGCTGTTTATTCCGTACTTGCTAAATTACCATATTATTAAAGTAGCACTCTATCCATGTAGCAGCTGTCAGAATCTGACTGTGGCATTAACCCGCTCTGCCTATATGGAAGGGAACTTAACCTTTCACATTTTGCGGCTAAAGTAAAATGGGAAAATAATTTTGCCTAAAATAGCTAGAATTGGGCGAGTTGTGACTAAGAGTGAGTATCACGATATATTTCCTACCAACAAATCTTTGTCTGAGGCTCTTCATTTGTACTTGTGGATCAGGTCGGGGAACCTCGCTATGAATAGCATCATGTCACCAAGGGAGTGCAATGGCAATTCCAATCTAATTGCTATGTTGATGACTGACTACCTAAACTATTAAATGAATGTTATTAAGTGACGTTTTATACCCATGTGACTATATAGGATCCTTTATTTTGCTCCATAATGGAGTGAAGAATCATGACATCATCCCAAATTTTAGTAATATGCTCTTAATTGGTCGGATAGTCCGTTTCTCCGATAAAACCTAGCCCGAATGCCTGTCGCAGCGACCATCAGAGTCGGGATGTAATATCACTATAAGTATAGAAAGTATAGGCGTCACTTGGTATTTTCAAAAGTGGACAAGATCAAAATCCAGCAAATTAAAAGATTGTTCTCCCTTCAGCTCAACAACTGACAGTTTTGGCTCGTTGGCCCGTGTTTGTTCAATGGAAGGTTCATGGACCTTCATAGATGTACCGGCCGTTATGACTATCTGGAAACGCACTGCGCGTAGTAGGGATTCAAGGTAGTGCAAACGGCTGGCGAGGCGCAGATAGTCGGGCCAGAGTAGCCACTTCCACCGCACTGTCCGTATAAAGTCTGAGTTGGGCCGCCGGCAGGTGCGGATGTTGTGCGAATAGAGGAAGACGTGGGCCTGCTTGTAGACCCAGACGTGGTTCTCGAAACTGTTGAAGCTCTGCTGCTTGATGAACTTCCACCGCCATTGCCCGGAATGGTGGCGCTGCTTGTAGCCGTCGCCGCGGAGCTACCCTGGGCAACGCTTGAGGGGAGGCCTGATACCAAAGCGGGACCAGGCATAGTATACGCGAGAGGGCTCGTGTAGATGTTGAAGAGAATGCCAGGATCAGATTCGTGGTACAGGTTAGTCCCCAGGACGCCGGAGGGCTGCAGTGACCCAGTGCCTGTGACGGCGAGGTTGAAGCACTGAGGGTAGTTCTGGGCGCCGTCCGGTTGCCCAGAGCTGTGTAAGGCGATGAGTTCGTGACGCAGCACATAGTTGCCCGACTGTAGATCCTTGGGGATTTGAACAACCCAGGTATTATTATTAGTGACCATCAGGTTCTGGGCCCAGTTGCCTGGATCCGCCCCGCTGATGAGACCAACGCTATCAATCTTAAAGAATTCAAGCGTCGTCTTATCCACAGTCTCGCAATCGCCATTGCAGTTGGCCAAGTAGTCGACGATAGGTCCCGGGTGTGGCCACGGAAGTGGTAGCCACTGAAGTAGAATAGAGTCTCCGGCCTTGACAGATGCATGCCCCTTAGCATTGGTAGCATTCTTGTGGCAGATGATATCGGGGGTTTGATATGCATCGGGTGCAACAAAGCCTGCAGAATAATATAAACATCAAGGATCGAGAAAAGTTAATAAATCCAGACGAGAGGTATTTACCGTTGTCAAGATCGGCAGCCGTCCAGCCTATCACAATGGGCGGGTTTGGCATATAGGGAAATGATGTCGGATCATAGCCCTGATAGAACACCCCGTTGGCGATAATGTTGTTGACATGTCCATGTCCGACAACACCAGTGGCCACCGTTAGTGCGGTGGCAAGGAGGTTGGAGAGCTTTTGAGCCATGTTTGCAAGTACGTATCACGGAATGAATCTTGCTTCTGTGTATGCATGAAACAACGTTTCAACAGACGATCCATGCCGGATGATTATGTCGGTATTTATGCATCGTGGCTGGCCCTCGGTACCATTAGCAGCCCATCCAACTGCCTGCCCACAATAGGGTTACAGTTGCCTTCTGGAGCGCCGAATTATCCGTCAATTTAGAAGCCAAGAAACAATCACATCGCGGCTAAATAATTTAACCCAGAAGTAGAACAATGGAAGGTCTTCTCCCGACATGAAGTATTATTTTTGCGGAGAAGGTTGCAGCGGCTAGAAAGGATTGGCACTCATATGGTAACAGCCGCTTTCAAGCTAGGCAAATCAAAACATCGCTACCGGAAGCTTTTGGCCTATTGGGTTAAAGACCCGCTTAATAAACGGATTGTAAACGGGGAGCAGCCGAGAAAAATTGCCTTTCTCTGCAATTCATGCATGTGCTCTTCAAAAATAGGTTAGTAAGATATATTTTCCGCAGAGAATCGACTTTGTTGCACTCAATAATGCCGCACACGTACTCTTCCAATGTTACCCACTTCGATACATGGGACTCTTGGAATCATATTCACTATTCGGGAAACTTGAATCAAAGATGAAAAGCGTATGAAAGCAGAAGCAGAATAATCGGTAATCAAATAAATTCGTTTTGGAGCTGGTAGTAAATTCTTTGACTGCGGAACCAAGAGACATTAATATGAGAATGTCAACACGCGGCTCCAAATAACTACCTAGGTATTCTACCTACTAGGTAGGTAGTATGTATAAGGTACACACAGCTTAATCTAACCAAAAAGCACATATTTATACATCCTCCAAATTCTCGAATTAACCTCTCGTTGGCAACACTTCTCTATTCACACTCAATACAAAGGCTTATCCTTTAATTGGTCTTGTAAATAGCCACGTACTTTACCCTCATAGAGGCATCATACCCGCTGACAGTATTTCCGGTTGGGTTCCCTGGATATCCTCCGCCAACGGCCACATTCAGAATGATATAGTATGTGCTTTGCGCCAACTGTACCCACTGCAGGTACGTCCCGATCATAGCACCTGTGACAGAGTAGAACTGAACACCGTCCAGATACCATATCAAACTTTGCTTCGTCCAATCAGAGTTGCGGAGGTCCACCTTGAACGCCCAAGTATGGTACTGTCCGCCCTGGTATGTGACCCTGCCGTTAAATGCTCCATTGTGATTGCCACTTGCGTCCTGGAAGTGCAGTGTTCCTTGGTTCTGGTTGCTCATCTTATCCGTCACCTCGAAAATATCCCACTCGCCACACCTTGGCCATGTTACCCCGCTGCTGCGGTAGCTATTTCCCTTCGCCCAAAAAGCCGGCCAGAGACCAGCAAATTTGGCTGGGTTCCCAGTAAAGTCAGGAACCCAAAGCTCAGACTGAAATATCATAGCCTGACCAACGTCGCACACCTGCGCAGTGTTGCTCTCAAGGCGTCCTGAATACCATTTCCCGTCAGACTTGGTGGGTACGATGTACAGCTGACCATCGCCCGAGAGATGGACATTGTCGGTGCCTGATGTGTAGGTTTCCACCTCTCCGTTAGGGTTGTTGGATTTGGCGATTTGCACCCATTTGCTGTGGTCGACACCGGCGTAGTGGTCGCCATTGAAGTCGTCGGACCATACGACGTGGTAGCCAGACAAGCTAGGGATTGTAGCAAGTGTGGGAGCCCATAAAAGGGTTATGACAGGAAGATAGGAGAGCATAGTAAGTAAGTTGTCGTGAGGGTAATGCCTTTGTGTCGCTATCTGAAAAAAAAAAGACTTCTCTGATTTGGATATCCTTTGGATGTGGAAATTGCCCTCTTTATATATGTTAGACAATGCGCTATTCAGAGGAAACTTATCCTCTATATTTAAATGTATTACAGGTTAAGATACGAGGCCTAGTTTGTTAAAACACTTTCTTATATTTAGAAAGCTCTCAACAGAGACTGATAGCCATCCTCGGCAAAGCACCGAGGAACACATGCTGAGAGTAAAGCGGCTTGTGAACTTCCTATTTTGGTCAACGTTGGTCCCGGCTGGTGCGGCTGAACTCCACTTGTCCGCAAGCTTAAGCAAAGGGCATCCAACCTTATGTCCGAGCATGTCCACTAATAGCCTCTCAGCCCTCAAGCCATAATTTCCCTAAGTTGGTTGCGTGATACATGAAGTGGTGCGGACAGATTTATTCTAGAGCCTAGCCTTGCTGTCGCTAACTTAAGTCAATCTTACTGCATGATAACGGCGGGCTTTGGTGTGCTTGATTCAAGGTTAGAGTGCATACAGTAAAGCGGCACATCTCGCACGTTATCCCCTATCTAGAAGTTACAGGGGCAAAGGGGTTAGTTAGTTAACTCGTATACGAGTAAGTCCCATTATAATACAATTCGTCATTCGTGGAAACCACCAGGCCATTACTCGCAATCGCAGCGACTGATATGACAGAGTCAGATATTCATGAGCCATCTTTTAGTTATGAGACACAAGGTCGTAGCACTTAACGTGCTGTTATTGCTGAAGTGTTTTCACAAACAATGTGGAATACACAAGCTATCTCATTAAGAAATCACAGCTCTATATTTCGGAGCTCGTTTGGGACTCTCGGCGTTGTTTAATTTATTTGCTGTCTTCTTAGTTTCTTGTCAAGAAAAGGCAATATGAAAACTATCAGCGGTATCACTCCTGCTGAAGATTCACATCTGAGAGGTTCTACACGTCACGACACTTTATCAGGCAATCCGCATTTTTCTTATCACATTTATAGTTATTTGCTATAAATGGCATAAAAGAGTTGACTTAGACTTACGGTGGTATTTAGTTTCAACTACTATAACTGCTAATAAAACGCTGATAGGGTGCAGTACAAGCGCCTACTAGTATGAATACGGCAAGGCAAATTGCCACTGCCACTGCCAATCCCAATCATACCGAGCTGGCTTTACGATGCCAGGGGCCTCGTGATCAAGTGGGTTAAACTAAAGCGCTTGAGTTCAAACTTTGCTTTGTGATTTGAGCAGAGCTTCTTAGGGCTGAAACGATGCCCCCCCTCCCCCCCAGTGAAGCGGCCCTAAGGCACATGTACTGTTCATCTTATACATAGTAAGAATGCTGTTCAATCACCTCCTCATTTTCTATGCCTCTGATACATGCTTTTTATTTAACCCAAGTGCAACATTCGTCTGATAAGCTGGGCAATTATGATAGGATCAGGCACAGCTGTCACCCAAATCTACACAGTTTTCTGCTGTCTTCATACCCTTCCTTGTTGACGTGAGCATCAGTGACGGTTGTCAGATTCTTTTGTGATGCATAGGGTGTACGGCACTCCAGCGCTGCCTAGCTCCCCTCCACGCTTTGATACATATACCTGAACATTGCGTATCCCCAATTGTTTAATTTTATCGCAGGTCCTGTTTCACTCCGAGTCCTACGTTCATTTGAGCTATGAGCTAAGCAGCCCGAGCCTGCTTGTATTATGTGAGAACGTAAGTTTAAATGGGACTATCCTTATCGTATATCTCGTAGTTGAAGATATAACCGTATGAGAAAGCTTTGGTCATCGATGATAGCTGTCTAAATGCCTCGGCTACATGGTAATATGTCAATAAGAATGCTATTCACATTAGACTTTGAACTTGGACAGTATAATGAAACGGGTTTCTACGTTTCTAGTTGGGCTATACGAGCGGGGATATTGACCTTACGGTCCTATTTCATGACTTATCAGACAACTGATTCTCAGTTGAAAGGTCGCCAGCTCCTCCTCCTAGTTTGCCTCTCGACAGTGATGTCAACAACCACTTTACGCTCCAGGAGGGGTTGCAATGGATATTGATAGGCTGTTCTCTTCCGGGCTCGAATTCACAAGTACATCCTTGATCTCACTGCTCTGTACGTGATTCGGGTCTTTAAAAGGCGTCCACGAGGGTGCTGGATCTATATTCTTTCCTGCCGCGTCGGCAGTATTATTCCTTATCTACCCTCAGATACTAGGCGGTTGTTTTTTCTTAAAAAAAAAGACTCATCATAATATGGGTTCTAATCAGGTTTTTCTTTTCTTGGATGTGATCCCAGAAGCTTCATTCAAGCGGTGGAAGAGAGAGCAAAGGCTGTAATGTATACCGCATCGAAGACACCATATTGGGGTGCGACTGGATTGCATTAATGAGTGTTGAGAACACAACGGTCGGGATATAATATTATAATATTTCTATATTTACCATCATTCGTTTGCACAGTAACTCTGAGGACCCTTGCATTATGTACATGATAGCTAGTCATGGGGCTCGACGCTTACATTGATCCCCGCATAGATTCGGATATAATTATGTCATAACTACTTGTACGCGAGAAGCTACCATACAAAAGCTTTGTCATTCCCTCGTATCAAATATGGATTAGTACAAATACAAGTAAGCGAGAGGAGTGAGAAATAGGAATTCATCGGGTTCTATCGAAATTTGACAAAAGGTAGCGCGGCCAGCTCCCCATCTGGAATCCAAAACTAATTCTAATGCTTCAGGCACCGGTCTTGGTATACTCTTGGTCTTGTGGAAATACAAAGAGTAATTTGATGCATTTAGAAAATCTCGGCATGTAAGTTCAATTGTATCAATGTTTTTGGTCCATGTGCCACCACTAGGTGGTTGGAGGAGACGGATGATGAACTAAGTGCATCTTTGGACGGGTATGCGTTCCAAACTAGCCTCGCCGATGTGTCATACCTCCGAGCATTATCTGAGCCTAATGATATCCGTGAACATAGACAGATGAGCAAAACTTAGGTGGCCAAGCCAACCGAACCGGGTCTGCTCGGAGAACATGATATCTTGTGTTGGCACGTATTCTGGAGGAGTTCCTAAGGATGACAAAGGCAGACTACATGGGCAAAAGATCACAGACAGGTAAGTACGGAATATTGACGAGGCATAATAGATTTCATCTGCCGCACGTCATTACTTGGAGGATTTGGTTTCTCATAGAGTATCCACAAAGAACCGCTAACTCAAGCTGGCATGCACCTTGATCAATTTTACTACTAAAATAATTAGACTATTAGATCTAATAGTGGTTATTAGCAATCAGAGTGAAATGGTGATGTGGGAGAGCCGATTGCTAGAGGTATAGCTTGGAAGCAGGGAGTGTGTAATTACAAAGCAATTCAGGAACACCATATAGCTTCCGACACGACTCGGAGTATCCCGTAATAAAGCTAAGAACATTATCAAGAGTGTGAGATAATCTATGGAAAGCGACCATGACTGTACTCTAGGACAACAAAGACGTACCTAATAATTGCACAAGCAAAATCTATACACATTTTATGGTTTTGGTAATAGATATATAACGACCGGTTGCGCCCTCACCCTACCGAAAGACCTCTGCGCTCATTAAAAAGAAAAACCCCTTTTAGAGTCGTGATCCTTGGAGATTTCTATTACGATATAACTGATTCGAGAGATAAGCTTTATCTGACCTATCGAATCATCACTTTGGCAATATGGATCCCAAGCCTGCCAACTATACACCAGCATATCGTCCGACAGTCGACGAGCTGCTCCAGCGCAACAAGTATTACTCCTTAAATCATATACTATTCACTTAGGTAATTATCTCACGTCGCGTATAGAGACTATGCGGCCACTGTACATAAACCTTGGCCTGACTTGGGCGAGTTGCTGGAATGGACTTCGCCATCCACCATTGTCGGTGCGTGCATTTTTCACATCCAGATCTAAAATTTACGCTTGGACTAATCCTCTGCAGTTGCCTGTTCTGACCCGCGATGCGATCCTCAGCAATTCTTGCAGGGGAAAAGAGGTGGTGAGTTTCACGATTGTTCTTGGTCTTCGCCATGCTTCCTCGATACATGATGCTGAGTTGCACATTTACAGAAATTGCCGCAATTAGAAATTTAGGCGGCCAAGTCGAGATCAGCATCGTGGATATCGCTACTCTAGACAGCGAGTTCCAATTCAAGGAGCTCGTGATTGTTCACCACACTAATTGTGGCGTCACAAGTTTGACGGCAGATGGAGTCTATGAGTACCTGAAGGAGAATCTCCCCAGTACTAGTCAAGAAGAGCTGGCAGCATTTCCGATTGCTCTTTTCTCCAAGTGTGTTCCCTAGTCTTTCATCTTTGTAACCGATCCCTTATGTTTGTCAATGTCTGTCATCAGAACATAAAAGCTGACCGTGGTGCATCTTAGTATGGAAGAGGGAATAAGACACGACTTGGAGGTTGTGCGAAAATCACCATATATCCGCAAAGAGTTGAAAGAATCAGCCAGAGGATTTGTTTTTGACATTAAAACCGGGCTTTTGACAGAAGTAGTTTAAGATATAACACATCTTTACTAATCTAGCTTTATATAGGAAAACCAGACAGATAAGGTTTCTCTTCAACCCTAGCATTACACTGGCAACCTTCTGATGCTACATTTATAGTACTAGAGTTAATCGTCAATATCTTCACCTCATGTAAGACTTCAGCTTACTTATATCCTAGGCAGTTAAGACCAATAAGCTTTTCATTGAAGTTTGGGTTCATGAAACATAAGCTGAATGTGGAAGCTGGGATCACAATCGGTACATAAATCGACTGGTACAATATGAGAGTACTAAAGCAAACCAGAAAGATAATAAGACGAAGGTAAAGAGCAACTGGTCTGATGTCAAGTTTGCAGCACTTCCTAGATTCACGCGCCTCATTTGGCAACAAACAGAAGAGCAAAATTGCTCAAGGTGTCTGTCACGTTGTGCACACTACAGATGTCATTGACAGTAGAATTGGTAATTTATTGGAGCTAGATAGGGCGGAAACTCCTCGCTAAATGAAGAAACATGTTTAGCTGTTGCTTTGCAGACTCACCAGCTTCTTTCTGCGAGAATGTGTTGCCGGCTAAAGTCAGCTCGATGGTGAATTCGACCTGAGTCGATACTGTCGTTCATGAAGAGGTATTCAGATGAAAACCATTGTGTTTGCCAATAATGTTTCAAGTACTCATCGCTGACAGTATTTGCAGCCTCCCCACCACCGCTATTCTTTGTCTAATTATCTCCACAGTTCAGCCAACGTGCAACTCGGCATGTAAACGTTGCTTCCACTCTTCTCACGAATGAAGGCTCATGGATTTACTCGCCTCAGTCTGATCCAAAGTGGTAGCTTTGTCATTGAATGATACACCTTCATAGGCGCCATTTGACCACTCAAACCCCATTGCCGATTCACCGCTTCATAATCTTCTCGGTCAAGCTCAATATCAAAGTTCCACAATATTGTGGATGCAATAAGCCTCATTTCAAGATATGCTAGGTTCTTCCCAATGCATACCCTGGGTCCTGTTCCGAACGGTAGCGATGCGTTCAGGTGGTCCTCTAAGAACTCTGCGTCCTCTCCTAGCCACCTCTCTGGTTTGAAGGTATCAGGATCACGGAAGTTAACAGGCGAGTGTGTTGATACCCATGGAGGTACGGCCACTGTGGTTCCTGCAGGGACACAATATCCGGCAATGGTTGCGCCACCCGGAGGGACTATGCGCTGCTGACTTGCAGGTGATGGTGGGAAAAGACGCAGAGCCTCGTTCAGCGTAGCTTCGAGGTACGTCAATCTTCTAACGTTGTCCCAATTGATGTCAACGTTGGCTGTAAAAGCATTTCTAATTTCCGTTGTAAGTCGCTTGTATACGTCGGGGTGAGTGCAAATGTAGTATGTCCACCCGACTAGAGCCGTCGCCGTTGTGTCAGTTCCAGCACTAATAAATAAGGCCATGTTCAACTGGATTTCAGTTTTGGATAACAGGCTTTTGGATTCGCTGTTCAGAATGTGATACATGAAATCTGTATGCTCCCTGTTAGGGTCTTGCAGGCGACGAACTGTTTTCTCGCAGGAATTGTCTAAATGGATCGATCGCCACGAGGCAGCCTTCGCAGGGACCAGAAGCCATGTCATGAGTCGCTCAAGCCAGGTGCCAACCCCAGATATTCGGCGAATGCCCTGTGTCCAAGTGGCCGCGACGAAAACGTTGATGACAGAAGTTGACCAGTCCGTCGCTGAAGCCTGATCCAAGCACCCAAACGGCTCTGCGAAGCACAGATCGCCCATTATATCAAATGCAAGGTATGTGTCTGTGGCCGTTGTCAACGGATGCAACAAGCGTAGAATATTTTAACATGCGGATTCATACACCAGTCTGAGACATTCACTGCCTGCTTCTCAGATGCCCCTTTTTCGAGCACGGATATGAGTTTCTGAACATGAATTTTAAGAATATTTTCCAGTTTGGCCAATGCGCTGTTAGAGAACAAGTACCCCAAAGCCTTGCGTTGCCGAGTATGTTGTTTGTTCAGCGCTAGGCTCACACCAGTCTCCCCATTGACGTTTCCTACGGCCCCAAGAAATATAGGGCTCTTCTCCATAAGAAGGCCGCCTTTCTTCACAGTCTCGAGTCAGTAAAGAATTATAATGTCCAGGTTAAAGCGCTTACGCGAAACCCATAGATCTCTTCTCGAGCCTCTGTTGTTATAAAACTCAGCTCATTTGGAGAAACTCGCACGACTAAGCCATATTTTTCATGCAGAGACCTGTAGTAAAGGTGCTGATCTCCCTTTACAAGGGCTATTGCGGCAGGCAGCTCTGATAGGCTGTTGAACCAAGGCCCAGGCACTGAGCGTAGCGGGTGAAAGATTCTATTTTGTAAAATACGAATAACGAGGCCAATGATGAACTGCAGAGAATAAGCAGAGGTTGCGGAGTTAGTCAAAGTTACTCACTAGGACAGAAAATGTAGAGGCAACCGAGGTCACAGAGAGCATTTGAATCAGCATGATGGAAATGGGGTGAGCCTGGCTTTTTGCTCAAGGCCGTTGCCAATTTATTACTGATCGTGGGCTGGGAACACGTTTTAAAGATAAGGTTGAGATATTCAAGGTGTAGAGATTAGTTTCATCGTATGGTGAAATCTATGCGCACACACGGTTGCCTCGAGATTCATAAGTGCGACTAACAAGCCCTCGCCCACTCAACCAAGTGAGTTTTTGAAGCAAGGAGACTGAGAGAATATAAACAGTCCCGTTTCGAGTCCGTTATTCTCTCATTTCTACGCGCGTACATACAGTAGTTCCCGTAGTGGTAGTGATGGTGGGGGCGTGCTAACCCGGGATGTTTGAATGGTGCTAGGAGCGTGATGCAGTCGCATTGCAGGAAAAAAATAACCGGAGGAAAATAAAAGGAAAAAATAAAGAGCTCAAAATAGCTCTTGGTGGGTTCTGGTTCACTTCCGACGCGGATGCAACCACACCCCCGCAGGTGAACGCTATTTCTGTGCACCGTATGGAGCACTCTCGCATCCTTGTAGCCTCAGTTGCAGGCTAGGATCCAGATGGTAGCGGGTTGCGTAGTTTGGTTGGTGGGCATATGGAATGAATGAATTGGCTCAGCGTGGACCTTGTCTCAGTTCTGTTTTCCGCCGCTATGGTCTTTATAATATGGTGTAGATACTCACTCGTGTTATCCTCGAGAGAGTGTTCCAAATCATCTCATTGTCCCTGGCAGCTTATCCCTAAGATTTACACTGGCATCAATACTGAAAATGGGGGACACGGCGGAGCTGGCGACGGAATACACCCGGGTTAACAACACCCAGTACGGCACCGGCCTGTTTCTCCTCGAAAGACTCAATCTTGCCCCAGGCATGAGAGTTCTCGATGTCGGATGCGGACCTGGAAATCTCACAGTTCACATCGCACAAATTGTCGGAGACAACGGCAGCGTTGTGGGCATTGATCCCAGCACAGAACGCATTTTGATTGCGCAGAAGATTCAGAAGCCAAACTTATCATTCTCGGAAGGCCAAGCCGAAGACCTATCGCAGTTTTCTACGGGGAGTTTTGATGCAGTCTACGTGAACTCTACATTGCATTGGGTTCAAGATCAACCCGCAGCACTGAAGGAATTTGGTCGCCTGCTGAAACCGGGAGGGCTGCTTGGCATTTCAGGCGGATCAGGCGATACGCTCAGCTCCCAGGAGAAGATCAAAGCCGATGTGCTATCCAGAGAGCCATATCGAAAGTATCCGGAAGAGAGTCCACCCAAGTTTCTCAAGCAACGCGAGCTCGAAGGGCTTTTGAACGCTGCTGGATTCTCAGAGAGAACTTTTGTCGTCAACAAGATCACAAAGTCAACCAAGGACGCCGATGAAATGATTGACTGGTTGGATGCAAGCTCCTCCGGAAAGACGTATGGCAGCATTCCTCTGGAGCTCCGTCCACGTGCAAGGGAGGAAATGAAATCGGAATGGAACAAACTTCTTGTGGCAGATGGAATCCATATGGATATCGATCTCTTGGTGACTGTGGCGGTTAAAGCCTAAGCCGCGTAGTGATGTGGCACTGTACTGTACTGCCTTAGGATTTGTCCCATAGAATTGAGCTTTGTTTGTTTGTATCAGATTCTGGTACCGGTACCTCTTGTCACGTTTCTCCTTTTATGTTGAGCCATGTCAGAATTAGCCATGCTAGGCCGCCTTGTACTGCATACGCGATGTCACTTCGACCGTGGCTGGGAGTGAGCATCCGGCATACTACCTGTGACATGACATGGGCGAATCTTATTGACCGCCAGACGTGTAACCTTTCTTAGCATAGTTCCCCGTGAGTGATATTCTTGTTATTTAAGAAGGGATTATACACAGGCTGTTGTAAGTGAGACCCAGTTGCTCTGGAGCCAAGCTATCTGTTAAATGTTGAGACCATGTTGAAGGGGAGGGCAAAATGTCATCTTCGCGCACTCCGAAACGGCATTCGCAAGACTTAGAGCAGACGGGTAATGATACCGGAACCGATTTCGAATCAATGAGAGCTACATACCCTGTCAATCCTTCAACAAGCCCAAATCCGAAGAATTTCAACCAACGGGCTGGATCATGCACCTCGCTCTCGGTTTGGTGGGACGAGCCAGATGATGAAGATCCCGAAAATCCTGTGAATTGGCCCGCGACAAAGAAATGGGCCAACATTCTGACGGTTTCCGTCATGAGTTTCCTGGTGTAAGATTGAGAGCCTCCAATGGCCAAACTACTCAAGGTACGGCTCGAAGCATCTGCTAATTCTCAGCAGGCCGCTCGCGTCATCGGTTGTTGCGCCGGCGGTAGAGCTTATATCGGCGGATTTTCACTCCAGCTCAACAACATTTCCGACCTTTGTCTTGTCAATATTTCTGCTAGGCTTCGCTGTCGGACCACTGCTTCTCCCTCCACTAAGTGAGCTGTATGGCCGTGTTATTGTCTACAACGTTACGAATGTGCTTTTCGTCGTGTTCACCATCATGTGTGCCCTCTCACACAATGCAGCAATGCTCCTTGGCTTTCGGTTTCTATCTGGGTTCGCAGGCGGGGCCACAATAGCGATAGGCCCGGCAAGTATTGCGGATATTATGCCTCGAGAGAAAAGAGGAAAGGCCGTGTCGCTCTGGGCTGTAGGCACCGTTATTGGCCCAATGGTAGGCCCCATCATCGGTGGTTATGTGGCAGAGATTCTCGGGTGGAGATGGATCTTCTGGATTATCGCAATCATAGTAAGCCACCGCTAAGCTGCCGACTGAGTCAAAAACGCTCATCAAGTTACCTAACCATCGTCATTAGGCCGGCCTTGTCACGGTTGTCGCTCTAACCATCTTAAGAGAGACATACCCTCCAGTGCTCCTGGAAAGGAAGGCAAGACGACGCAGGAAAGAGACCGGAAACCTCAACTACCGGTCCAGACTCGCCTCCGATCTGGGCCTTCAGGAGCTTGTCATACGAAGCATCATGCGACCCTCCAAAATGCTAATCCTTTGTCCAATTGTCACGGCTAGCTGCGTCTACATCTGCGTGCTTTACAGCATCATCTATATATTCTTCTCGACATTCTCAATTATATTCAAAGAGGCTTACGGCTTTTCCACCTTTTATTCTGGGCTGGTGTTCATTGCCTGTGGCATTGGGACTTTGTCAGGTCTTGCTTATCTGGGGTACTTCAGCGACAAGACATTGGTGAAACGGGCACGCGCTGGAAGCATGATTACGCCGGAGGACCGGCTATCCTTCCTAGTGACAGTACCTGGAGCCTTTAGCTTTTCACTTGGGATATTTGTGTATGGGTGGGGAGTTGAAAAACATGTTCATTGGGTCGTTCCTCAAGTTGGAACAGCCTTGACAGGGTTCGGTTACATTCTCATCTTTACAGCTGTCCAAACCTATCTCATCGACACATTCGAGGATCATTCTGCCAGTGTCAACGGGGCAAATGCGGCGCTAAGGGGTCTTGCAGGGGCGCTTATTCCTCTCAGCGGCCTGGACTTGTACAAGGCATTGGGATGGGGATGGGGAAACTCCCTGCTGGCTTTCATCGCGCTTGCTCTTGCGCCACTTCTCTGGATCTTGGTTGTGTATGGTGAGAAGATTCGGAAAACACAGCTGCCCAAATTAAGGCTGTAAAACCTTGAGAACGGAGGCCATTTAATGATAGACAAGACACGTAGTAAATTGACTGTAACATGTATTGTAATGCGGTATCTATCTGCCAAAATACACATGTTGACCACTCCAATCATAACAACACAGGATGCTCATGGATTTGGTCAGCGATCCGATCCATCACCAAGTTGCTAACCACGTGTTGTGCCGTTATCCAATGCGAAATCTACTTTTCTCTAGACTTGCCAGTTACAATCGGCTGACAATGAAGTTGTCCGGTTGAGCCGTGAATCTTGCAATTAGCTCTCTCCGGGAGATGTCCTCCAGATGAAGCTTCCGAAGGCTTCTCCCAGACTGGAAATAATCGACACCAGTAGTCATTTGGGCAAGAACGATAATGGCCTTGATAGGTGACGCATCTATTCCAAGCTTCTCGGCAAGGCTGTGCCAGCAAACAAGCAGATCAGGAACATCCTCTGAGATATTTCGATTTTGAAGGTCGGATGGAGCCTTCAGTCCCTTGTGTGGCCCTGAATTCCTTGCCAAATCCACTAGGTCCAAAAAATCGTGGCCATAGCACTCGTTGGACACTGTCAACGCACTTTTCATGCTGTGGCCAAGTGCGTTGCCTATTTGCATCCTCACTTGATCGACCACAGTCATGGCCTTAGCAACGGAGCTCGTGAGGCCATCTCGATAGAGAAAAAAGTCGCCACCAGTGTCTTCAATGCGACCTGCGTTCATCAGCATCATCAATGGATGAAAGACGCCGTTCACATTTAACAGGCAAACTTCGAGGACACTGCTGCACCAGCAAAGCTCCACTGGTATAATCTCTTGTACCACGTCGTATACTGCTTGACTTGGAGGACTTTGAAGTGCCGCAATGAAGATGAGATTCTTTTTTCCCAGAATCGTTACGACATCTTTTTCCATCCGACAGGAATATGGAGATAGATTGGTCTCTAGGACGCATCCGATCTCGATACCAGCAATGAGAGAGAATAAGTTGCCCGGTATGCAGATAACAGTGTGATGTTGCAGAGGAAATCTTCTCAATTGCTGCAAAACTGTCTCGTGTCCAGTAGATGGAACCGTGATCACGATAGTCGTGGAGAATTCAATGATGTCACCCATATCCGAGGTAATACACACGGGCATAGAACCCTCAATCTTTCCCCGTACTGTCAATAGGCCTTTGTCTATGACCTCGTTGGCATATCGAAAATGGTCAGGGTGTGAATAGACCAGTACCTCTATCCCGCGGCTTTGGAGATCAGCCACAAGGGCGAAGCCGGATGGACCAGCACCGACGATGGACACTTTTCGTTGCATTGCAGCAGTGTCGTATCCAAGATAGTGATTGGGTATGTCTGAACCAGTTGTTGATGCAATGTGATTCATGTACGTCTGATACAGTATGATTCCTTAGAACGGCACTTTGAACGGAAGTAAAGAGTTTACATACTCGTATGTCAGCTGCTACACTTTGAACATCATCCATGATCGCGCACTGCACTTGTTGCAGAGACAGTAGACATGGGGGCTTGGGCATTCACAGCTGCTCAGCTGCGCAGGTTTTCTGATAACCCCTGGTTGCTGGAATGTGCGATTCAGACCATCACGAGAAAGTGCACAGGATTCCACGATTGATGGTGTATACTCACTCTGTAGTTCTAGACCCTTTCCATTCCACACGCGGCAGTCAACTTACTCTCCTAACCCTATTGGCGAAAGTTGTACTCGGAGCGGAGCGACAGGAATGGGCTGAGCAAGTTTGCGCGCATATAAAAGGTCGCGACTGCAATCTCTTTCCCGGCATAGACTCCTTACTATGCAAGTGTCTGTCACATCTGTGGCCCCATCCACATATGCACGAGTCTAGCCAACTAGTCTAGTCCATCCCTTGATGGATGCAGGCTTGGATCTTCGCCCACAACACACCCCTTGTTGTTTGAGGTTGCCCTTAGGACAGTAGCGCTCGTTTTGAAGGATCATCGACTGGTCCTTTGTAACATCTTGCCTTGTTAGTAATCTTGCTGCTCCCCAGGCATTCACGCCTTTGTACATGCTCCTCCAATCGGCGTGTGTAACACCTTTACAGGTCCGTTTGACATATCTGAATTAATCAGTCCGTATATTCCGCCGCATCCAGTTCATGCATTCTTGCAAGGTCTCGAGATTGGATGTATATATTCAAATCACTAGCGTCATGGTAATGGTAATGTCCCTTCATCACTGCAGTAGGAGGGTCAACTGATTTCATGCGGAACATGAATAGTGGTGCTTGCGCAAAGTCTTGTTCCTCCATGACCGCTGCCATTAATTGCTAAGACTAAAATTCCTCACCCAGGAAAATGGATTTTTGCCTAGACATTTTTGGGCAGCAGCCAAGGCTCAACATCCATACGCAAATATGTCTGTGCTTTGCGATGCCCGATGGTGTTGCTCAGTCCACCATCGTCAGTACACTAAAATCTGGCCTCCAGCGGCTAACGGCCAACTTTCCATGGATAGCGGGCCAGGTCGTCGTTGAAGATGAAGAGACTGGAAATTCCGGGGTATTCAAGATTAAGGAGCTGCAGGAAATCCCCTGCTTGGTAGTGAAAGACCTCAGAACGGATACCTCAGCTCCAACCATGATGGAACTGAGAGAAGCCAACTTCCCAATGAGAATGCTGAACGAATCCGTTGTTGCGCCTCGCAGTACCTTTCCCGCAGTCGATGCCGTCATCGGACGCGACCATGGTTCACCTGTGTTTCTTCTACAGGCAAATTTCATCGTCGGGGGCTTGGTAATCACATTCTTAGGCCAGCATCAGACCATGGACATCATGGGGCAAGGACAGATTATGCATCTCCTGTCTAAGGCCTGCTATGATGAATCCTTCACCGCGGACGAGCTGTTCTCTGGCAACCTCCAACGTCAAAACCTCATCCCTATCCTCGATAACTACCAGCTTGGCCCCGAGCTTGCTCGTCATCTGGCTACTCCAACTGGTCCATCTCGTCATGCTCTTGACAAGGACGAAAGAGAGCCAGCTCAGACTCTCTGGGCAAGTTTTACCTTTCGTCCCACATCGTTGGCAACTTTGAAGTCAACTGCTGCCATGACCCTCCCCAGTGGTTCCAGTTTCATATCTACTGATGACGCGCTGAGCGCATTTATCTGGCAGAGCATCATGCGCGCGCGCGCCGATCGCTTGCCACCCGACATAGAGACGACCTTTGCGCGAGCTATTGACGTCCGTTCATATGTGAATGTGCCGGTGACATACACTGGTATGGTACAAAACATGACGTACGCAACGTACGCGCTACGAGAACTCGCCGCATTGCCGCTGGGTGAGGTAGCATCAAGGTTGCGAGCTGCCTTGGAACCCGAGACCACGATCCTCCCTTTCCACACACGTGCCTTGGCCACCTACTTGAACAGCCAAGCTGACAAGTCGCATGTCTCGCCCGCCTCATCGCTGGACTTTTCAGTCGACGTGATAGTGAGTTCGTGGGCCAAAACGAACAGCTACGCCTTGGATTTCAATTTAGGACTAGGGAAACCAGAGGCTGTTCGCCGGCCATGGTTCACGCCTCTACAGAGCTTTGTGTATTTCATGCCTCGAAAGGGTGATGGCGAGATCGCCGTGGCAGTGTGTCTTGAAAAGGAGGCCATGAATAGGCTGAAGGCGGACAAGCAGTTTACGACGTACGCAAGGCACGATGGATGAACTGAGAGGGGAAAAAGATGAAGTTGGAGGAACGGCGGCATATATACCATCATATCCAAGTACTTACGGTGTTTGACCATGTGTGTGTATTTGAAATAAGTAACTAACGAAACTCAGCTAGTATTTGATACTTCAATAGATCAAAGACAGTAATAGCTTGCCATATCTGCAGCCATATGTATGCTTTTCATGGGTCAAGTCGAATGACTCGCAGTATGACATTTATACACTGCTGTGAGGTGACTTCAATTCCTCCTGGAGGCAAAACAAAATTTTGCATGTCTCATGTTGTGGGTGTACTCCAGCGCGCGTTTATGAGACTACCCGGATTTGCCCAAAAAGATAGCATCATTCACTATACATCAACCTCTTCCTGGAAGCAAGTGACACAACGGTTCAATGTCCTCCAGTATTGCCTGTCAAGTGACCGCAGAGCACACTACCCAAGAAAAGACCGCCAAGTACCGACAGAAAGTAGCCAGTATTCATCGTCATAACAGCCACCATACTAGAACAATGTCAGCAAGCTGGCTTAAGTGCTCTCTCACGGATATGTAAGACTGACAGCAGATAGCTCACTCCCGCAATCACCGTATCAAGTGCACCTGACAAGATAGCCTCGCTGGCTCTCCAAGGCCGAGGGGTCGCCTTGATCTCTGACAACTCAGGCTGGAGCAGACCACCACTCCGCCTCTGCCTGACGACAGCAACCACTTTGTATAAGTTGAATCGTAATGCCAGCAGCATACGAAACACGACAGCAAAAGCAATAAGAAATATGCATGCTCCTGCGTACTGCCCGGTCGTGTTGGGCGCAAAAGCTGATGACCAAAGAGGTGTGTTTGTGGCGGTAAAGAACACCATGATCATGGACTCCATGCTCATTGTCATGTTGGATGTTTCCATGGACATTGGGCCGGCTGTAGAAGAAGGCATGGCCATGGCGGAAGTAGCACCCATTGCCATATCCATTGACGATGATCCTGAGTCCATGCCGATGATTGTGGTGTATTTTGCACCGAGTCCCGCGTGAAGAAGAGAACGAACACAAATTGGCGAAATAAAGGAAATCTCAGGTCAGAGACAAGTTAAGCTGCTCACCGCGAGTACGAACAAGAGAGAAAGTAATTTTGTCTGTCTCACATCGACTGTTGGGCTGGGTATGGGAACATGAGCACGTCGCCAGGCTAGGTCGCCGAGATACGAGTCACATGAGAGACCACGACGATAACGCATCAACTTCGTAGAGAAAGAGACAAGCTGTGTGTGTCTATCCATACGTTCAGACTATGCCACTCCGTACTGTAGGCCACAGTAGCTCTTTGAGATTGATCCTTAGTCGCGTATCCTTGCTGTATGTGAGGCAGCTGGATTCTTTCGACGCAGTGACACTCCGCAGACGACATGGGTAGGAAAACTCATGATTACTGTACCACCAGGATGGGGAAGCCGGTCCAAAATAAGTGCGCAAACTTGCTCAAACTGAGCCAACCTTTGTGCTACTGCAGGTGTGACCGAACCACAACGGGAGGACGTTCGCAATCCAGGCCATCTGCTTCTGCATAATTCTAAGCGAATAGGCTACGCGCTTGCCCCTGTCCAGGTCTGCTGTTAGGATCTTCGTGCCCCCATATTCGGGATCGAGCCATGCATGATACGCCGGCTGTGGCACCGGCGCCACAACCGTTCGCGACAGGTTCAGGGGAGTACACACTTACACAAGTACGGAGCACAGAGTGCGCTGCGCCAGGCACCTAACCAGCGAAGCTCCGAAGCCCATGGAAATATACACAATGTAACTTGTTTGTTATCAGCAGGCGCGAACCCGTACTACGTTTGATAAGGTACTGCAGCCGCACGGTGATATCCATCAGAGTGCCCGAGCAGCGCCGGCTCATTTTACTCATCCTCTCCTCGCACCAGCATCACGCACAAATGAATCTCGTGCTGCCTCTGGCGTGAAATAGAACGAAAGAGTTGTTGAATCGGCTTTGAAGAGCATTCACCATGTCCGCCGCCTGGCTTACGCCGCCCGTCACACTGACGGGCAGTCGCGAGTTTACCTGTGACAGCTTTGGCTTCACACAGGAGCAGTGCGATTACTACCAGCAGCGTTGGCATTTCTGGTGAGCAAAACCAACTCTGGCACTACCCATGATAGATCACTTCGAAAACATTGCTAAATAATCATCTCACAAGGTTCATCGCTGACCATGTCTATGCGCTGTCGACAATCGCCTTCCTTATGAGCGTCCTTGGCATCTTCGTCATTGGCAACATTGTCTCGCAACTGCTTGGATATCGAGCATGGCACCGCTCTTCCCCGTGGCAGAAAGTAATCGCAGCAACACGATACTTATCTTACCGCGGTTTCCACGTCCAGGCGCTGCGATGGAACTCGGCCCCATTGGGGCTTCTGCTTCTCGCGGCTGCAGGGACTGTCTTTTTCTTCTGTAAGTTGATTACAAGCTCAGTTGGATGAAACCGACGTCAGAATTGACAGACTATCTTTTCAGGCATGGATCTGATTCCCCAACCATATTACTGGCCAAGTCTGGACTTTGGCGGCTCTCCACCGTTGGGGACAAGATCGGGATGGATGGCTCTGGCATGTATGCCTTTTGTCTTGTAGGCCGCTCAGATTCCCTGACGAACATCGAAAAAAAATACTGATTTTTCCCCTTATTTTGCAGCGCGACGGCCACCAAGACTAACTGGATCACACTTGTCACGGGTGTCTCCCACGAGAAGCTCCAGGTGTTCCACCGATGGATATCTTACGCTTTCTTCCTTCTCGCACTTATGCATACGTTTCCCTTTATCGTCTTTCACATCCGATTCGGCGATATGGTCATGCAGTTCGAGATGGGCCTGATATTTTACTGGACTGGCATCGTAGCCATCATCTTGCAGGCTTGGCTTACTTTTGCGTCTCACAGTGTGATTCGGTAGGTGATAGCATACAATGCAATTCCACCAAGACTGCACATCTGACGCACTACACAGAAACCTGGGTTATGAATTCTTCAAAGCAACCCATCTACTTGCCGCCGCAGTATTTGTCTTGATATTTTTCTGGCATTGCGATTACACCCTGACTTCCTGGTAAGAGCAAAGCTGAAGCTATCAGTATCCCTCCATTTCAGACGCTGATTGTTTCGCAGGCACTACTTCATTGCGACAGCGGCTGTATACGTCCCTTGCTACGTGTATCCATGGCTGAGGACTTGTTTCGAGTACGGTACGCGAGCAAAGGCCCAGGTCATCGTTGAGGATGGCGGCTTCACGCGCATTTCAATCCCGGCGAACTTCACATGGATCCCTGGACAGCACTGCTTCCTCCGCTTCACCGGCTTTGGATTCTTGCAATCTCTTTCGGCGCATCCGTTCACAATTTGCTCCATGCCATCAAATGGAACAGAAGAGAAGTCGGAGCTCATCTTCTACATTCGCCATCAGCGCGGCTTAACGGCACGGCTGTACCAGTCTGCTCTGAAAAACCTGGGTGCCTCCATTCCTGTACTTGTTGATGGCCCTTACGGAGGAATCAACTTGCAATCATACGCTCACAGCGACCATCTTCTTGTCATTGCAGGAGGATCGGGTGCAGGATGGACTTTACCATTCATCGAGCAATTTATCAGGTGCCAGGGAAAGACCGTTGATGAAGAGCGCGGCCAAGCGGCAGACATTGACAGCATAGCGAGAAAAACGAAAAGTAACGAACGCAGCATTCATGGGCCATTTACCCTCCGCGTCATAGTGGCAATTCGAGACGCAAGCACTCGTTTGTGGTACATGAACACTGTCAAGAAGCTGCTATCCGGATACAGGGCATTGGAGTCGGTTTCCACCATTCGTATCCAATTGCATCTAACTGGGGAGGCTGCACAAGAGGTAGATCTGGCTGATAAGGCCCTTGAGTATCCAACAGATGTAAACAAGGCTGCCGCCTTGCCAGAGAACATCATTGCCCAAGAAGGCCGAACAGAGACTGCGGCATCGGCGCTGTTTGACGAGCAACTCGAAGGACGACCTCAGCTCCCGCTGATTATCCAAGAAGAGGCATCAAGGACATCGGATGGAGGTGAATCACTTGCTGTCTTTGTTTGTGGACCAGTTACTATGCAAGATGATGTTCGAAATGCTGTTGCGAAAGCAAATCTAGGCATCCTAAAAGGCTCCAGGTCTGGAGGAGTATATTTGCATTCCGAGCATTTCTCTTGGGCATAAATGCTCATCATCGTTTCAATTATCATAGTAAATAAAAATATCATCTATATACAATTCACATCTTTCAGCAACATATTTCACAGATGGAAACGTTCCATGGCTGCAGTTGGAATATTCGGAAAATTGTAATAAACAGAGTTCTTGTGGTAATCCTGGGTCCGTCGTTTGTGAGGTATAAGTAAGCGATTTACCTTTATGTTTGCAGTGAATAAATTAGTGAATAACTAGTTTTACTATTAACTTATAAATGATAATATATTATATACTCGCCTTCTCTGATTATTTACTAATAGCCACGTTCTGACCCTAGTAATTCCTGACATTGTTTTTGGGATCGTCGGAGCACTTGCGGGTGGTATCCTCGAAAACGACGCAGACAACCTGTCACTTCATGATACTTCGGGCTCAACAAATCTTGGCGACCACTGCCCTCAGGTTTCATAACCTATACCCAGGCAAATAACGTGTTACTCCGATTGCTTATCATAGCACCGTGTATTAGCATATCGTTAGATGTCATTCAGGCATCGGTCTCTCCAACCTTATTAGTATTCCAATGGAATGTGTAACATAGTTCACATTATAGGTTAAAAAGAAATTGTCACTATTTTGACTTTATCAGCGTTTCGGAACAGCATGCTAAGCCTTGAGACCGTCCGAGTGAAGCCATAGAGATGAATGTACCTGAGGTTCACCACGTCCAAGCATCGATAAATAACAAGACGAGAAAGAGGGCAAAAGAATTTGAGAAATCCAGTTGATGCCGGGATACTTCTTAGCATACGTAAGAACGGAGAAATACTCAAAGCAGCGATTACAAACTGGGCCAGTTCATCTGTACTATCAAAAAATTGAAACCTGAAGCAAAACTTGGGTAGCTATAATGCAATTTACAGAACCGGTCATTAACATCATTGCACTTCGATTTGTCTAAGTATAAAATAAGCCCACTGAAATAATGATGGGGTGGTCCTATTTACGCGTTTGGGGGTGCTTAGTGACTCAGGCATATAGGGCTAATACTATACTTTGCACTAAACGTCTGACTGGCCGTTATGGCAGCCAGCCACATAGACACCGTCTTTGGTTAGGTATTCTACAATGTTGCCAGCTGACCTAGTACGTATTGTAAATATTTGCCCCGTAGCGATGGCGCAATCTTGACGATATGGTAGAAAGATTCAGCCAAGGTACCGTCGGGGGAGGGAACCAAGAGTTGGTAATCACGCTTTATGTATCTGCAAGAAGCCGGTTTTCCGATAGTACCTCTTATGTCCGGTGCCATCCTTAGGGTTATTAGTGCTTAGTGTGGTTATTTAGATTACGGCCTGACTCCTTTATCCCTGATGCCGATTCTCGAGTGACCATGCGTAGAGTGGGGAAGTAGGAACTGTTAAGGCTGTGCTGAGGGTGTCCGTAAGGAAGAAATCTCTATCACGTGTAATCACTTCTGATAGATAGGTGGACAGTGATGACTAAATACCCCTACAGCGACTGCGAGGCCGATAACTCTCCTGAGATATGAACTATAAATACAGTGCCTGCTTTCTCTTTCATCGCTTCTTGAAAGTTACCTGTTTCTCAAACCTCTCATTCATAATAAATATATTACCCTAGAACATCAATTTCTGCTCTCAGAACCATATTGACCTCTTTTTGCAAAAGAAAAATATTTGAAGATGCTTATTTATTCTGCTGTCAAGAAGTACAGGAGTAATAAAGCTCAAAAGGAAAGAGAGCAACGTGAAAGGACCCAGCAATCAGGACAAGCTGCCTACAACACCAGCAGCCGACCCAGTCACAATGTTAGGATGACTCAAGGTGCCAATCAGGTCAGTTAAATTCCTATTTAATCCTCCCCAGGGGAATCAATGAAACTTTGGAAGGCTCATAAACAGCAACAATAGCAAGACCAACAGCCACGTCAGCGTTGAATAGCTCTGTCTGAAGGAAGCTAGCAGCGTTTTTGTGCTTCAGCGAAATATGTGAGGATTGAAGGCAAAGATAGATACACTGGATGAGAAGGCGGTGGATATGGCAGTGGACAAGACGGTGTAGTGGGGAATGATCGGTGGTGACATGAAGAGAGAGTAATAATTGCAGCGAAATTAATAAAATTTACTTTATCAGTCACACTATGCAGTAAAAGGTCGGAGCGAGCTACATTTGCGGAAATGAAGTAAACATTTATACAGAGTAGCTAAGAAAAGGGTTATCTCAAGTTTTCCAAGGTGAGGTTAGGGCGGTAATAATCATGCCAACTTCTCCTGCAGGCTGATGCAAAGGAATCGGTAAGTAGTCGGCATCTCGCATGGGTTTCCATATGGGGGGGGGCGGGGTCTCAAAGGAGAGACGTATTGCTATCCGTTTATGGACTGCGTAGTCATACAACCCTGACAGCTAGTTGCAAAGCAATGACTCTGGCATACGATTGGCTACTACCGGAGCCCCATCCTTATTCCTGTCTAGACACATCCAATCGGAGATAACCTGAGGGACCCTTCCTATGCTAACGATATATGGCTAGCCAACATGCGGATTGTTTCAGTCACTTTATCTGCTTATTAGAGGGTTGTTCGGCAATAAGTCGAAGATTATTACACACGATGTGATATCATTGGAGGCATAATACGGAGGCTTTTCGAGATATGACTGAAGTAAAATAAAAATCTATATATATGATGTAATGATGTATGAGATTTATGAAGATACAATTATATTAAAGGAAAGAATGAATGCTGAGATTGCTTTTTATAAAGGAAATGAAGCACAATTATAGGATTTAGGAAAACACCAGAAAGTCAAAACATAACAATTCAAAAAAGAGAGCTTAAAACCTGAGAGAGAAAACTTAAAAAGAAATTCTTTTCGTAGTACTGACGAAGCCGTTACTTAGACGCTGAAAAATGAGCCATTGGCTGCATCTCCTCGCCTGTTTGCTCAACAAAGCCGTCATGAATAGTGAAGCCCAGGATTTCGCAGATAAGGGTCACAGTGACCTCCATTGCCGTAGACATTCCAAGTAAAAGCCAGGGGCTAGTATGAACACCGCCAAAGACCAGACCGCAGGAGTAAGCAAGGCGTACTAGGACGAAAGGAATGCATATGACAATTGCAGTAAGAATGCGCCTTTCGCCTTGGATGATATAGTCCCGGTTTCGGTAAACAAGTAAAACTTCCAAAATCAGCAGCCCTATGACGACAGCTATGATTGCCGTTCCAACATAGCTGAGAGTAACGTAATGAGTGACTGGGCTTCCATTGGTGAGAGTGTAACTCGACTGCGTTCCGCCAATGATAACCAGAACCATGCCAGAGAGCATAAGAAGCTCAAGAAGGCGGCGGTGGGTAGATTTGATAAGAAGCGGACCTTGACTACCAATGGAGTCGACGAGGCGGCCGAGGAGTCCATGTAAAGTAAGAACCAGAGGACCGAGGCCAACACCAAGGAGAATTAACCAGCCGATGTATAGACTCTGGTTAGTTGGTAGCGAAATGGTTGCCAGTCGCATACCATCGCCAATGAGGCGAGCAAGAGACAGCATGATGAGGAAACGCCAACCGGCACTTCTGCCAAAACCGTGTTTGCGACACAAGAAGATGGCACCACCAAGATACAGGCAGTAGATGGCAATTTCGCCGCAGGCAATGCCATCATATGCATCAAAAGGGCGGCTCATGGCTTCGGATATGGAGTAGTGAATGTAATGGAAGTTTGTAATTATATATATCAGATAAGACACCGTGTGGTTGGACGCAACGAATCAAAGAAGCTGGAAGAGAGAGACAAAAATGAAATTTCGAGTCGAAAAGTAATATGAATTGTATTTTATAAAGTACAAGAGCGAGGCGAAGTGATAATTGTATCCCTTACGATCGACACAGACATCAACCACTGTCAGTACAGATACCTACCCTGCGCTAGTCACTGTCTGAGCCACCTTCAATATCACCATACATTACCTTAGACAAGGCAAAATGATATCAAGCGCCTAGCAACAAATTCCGAGTCGTATCCTACTGCAACGACAATGATGTGGTAACTAAGTCATTCAATCCGAGTCAGCAGAAGGCCAATTTTAAGCATGCCGGGGCGCAGGTAATAGCAATTTACCTCGGTTAGCTCAAAAGATGCCAATAGGCAACATTGATTGGCTGTACCCGCTGCTACACTTACATGTCGCCGGATATGTCCAATCTAGAAAGATCTTAACAGTATACCACTCCTTTAAAAGTTCCAATCTAGTAACCGCAAAGTCAAGGCGGAAGAAGTGCTCCACACTGTCGGCAACGATGTGTGCCGACATCCCTTGTTCCACATCAGCCGGGACCCGCGTTACCGCGCTACGTCAACGTTGTGGCTATGTCTAAGTCAAGAGACTATGCCTATGTAGGTATGCAGGTGCTCGCGAAATGGTTGCGAGGCATATCCAACCCTTTTTTGATCTTCGAAGAGGATTTTGTATCAACCTCACCAAATTTTACTCTCCGCACGGATGATTCAAGTGACAGCGCCCTCGGGTATTCCGTATACGAATCGTTATTGAATCTATCGGTCGCTAACAGACGCATTCTTTTAACTCCGATTAGCCGACTTCGCTGAACAGTATGGAGAATACATCGACACCTCTGTCTTCGTCCCCTTGTCAGTGTCTCTGTCACGCTTTGCTGTACGCACCTATGTCATCGAGGTTGTTCGGCGATACACAGAAGTAGTAGCTAAAAAAATGATGCAGTGTGATTTCTGCAGGGGGGAAAAATCAGGTGAGCCTTGCTAGAGTGAATAAGTCTGTAGGGTTGGTAATCTCTTCGTCCACAGCTAAGCTAGGATAGGTGCTCTCGTGAACAGCCGAAGTGCGCCACTTGCCGCCCTTGGCCTGGCAAGTGTGTCTACTCCAAAGAAGTTTCGGGTCCAAGATATCAAATAGGAGCCGCCTCGAGGTTCGTGGTATTCGGAGATTTCGAGAGCTGGTTTGTTGTACTTATCCATTTGGAAGCGCGAATACCGGGATACTATACCCAACATCAATTAGTGGACAGGGAAGAGACTGACACTCAAACACTCCCTAACCGAAATCAGCTACTTAGCACAGCTGCAAATATACCAATAGATGCAGAAATCTTGAATAGCGACGCAAATCTATTATCTTATCAACAGCCCTGTTTCGGAATATTCCAATACCACCATCCTAGCTCTTAATACGAGCCAGTCTTGACATAAGCTGTGGCAATTCTCTTCAGCGTAATGAGGCAGCAGCTGGCTTTTTCATTCCGTCAAGAGCCCTTGGATATACACTTATTAGTCGTAAGTATATTGCACTGCGTATACGCTTTGCTGTCGAGACGCTGAACAATGGGTTTTTAAGGGTTCCTGAATGTCTCTAACCTGGCTGACCTTATCGCTATTAAGCCTTCTGACCAGCTTTTGATGCAAGTCGCTTTTGAACCTCTATTAGTTACCCAGCAAAGCTGGATACTCTATATTAATTTTATATTCCTAATAATTTCTCACAAAGACCTGACGCTTCGTCACCTTGCCACGTCATTCCGGCATCACATTCGAATTGCTCTGGATGATGCTAAAATCGTCCTGGAACCAAACGAGGTGAATATTCAGGTATTGACTATGCTTTCTTGCCTCGGAGAGGACAATACTTCTCCGAGCCTATCATGGATGCTTGCTAGCCATGCTTGCCGGCAGGCCCAAACCCTAAACCTACATTTCACGGAGCAGCACTGCTCCACAGAACAACAACGCCGATTGACTCTCTTTTGGGTACTATTCATGATAGATAAAGCATTCTCCTTGGCCTTTGCTCACCGAGTATTATTATCAAGTAAACTATATGAAAAAGTACCTTTGCCCGATTTCCGGCATCTCTTAAAATTTTGCCCAAAACATGGGCAGTTTAACAATCCTCATACGCAACCTTAGTCATCAACATTTGGCGCCCACTCCTTGACTCAAAATATCAAATTAGCAAGGTTAACTGGTTTGATCCTCGATATCCCGACCAATGGCGCTGAATACGGTGGTCGGGGGGGCTTGATACCATATCTGGATGATTGGGACGTGTCAACAAGACAGGTATCCCTCAGCTTTATATCGAACTCTCAAATTTTTAGCTTACACTTTACAGATCTTATCAGAGGCCTGGGGACTTGAAGCCGACCATGCTAGTGAAGAACAGCTTCGGGGATTGTCTCTTGCGATCCGACTCATGAGGTTCAAGTATTTACATATGCTCGTCCTGACATTACCAGATGATGTCCAATTCGCTACCCTCCGACTCGAGTCCTCGAGGGAGGCTCTGTCCCTTCTTCCGCATCTTCCGAGTAAACACCATGTATATAGAGGTATATTCTGGTGGGAGCCCTTGATTCAGCACTGTTAATGGTAAACTAATTTCGTATCCTTAGGACACTCCTTTAATATCCTTTTACATCATTTTTGGTAGTCTTCAATCACATGACGCGTAATCCAGAGGCACCAACCACGAGCGAAGATTTGTATCTATTAACCACAACGCTATCATACTTCCAGACGATGAAGGTGAAATTTCACACGCAATCTGTTGTACCCTCTGAGTTGGAGAAAATGGTCGAATCTTTTATTCAGCTTGCACGCTCAGCCGTTTCGAAAGATATATCCAAGTACATTTAAAAATAACCCTGTAACTCAATAACACAACCACCCGAGGCTTTCTATGTATGAGCAATGAAGTAATACAGTAATCGGCGACCTTGCCGGTCCTTTACGAGAGAGGAGCCAACGCCAATAGATTAGCAGAAATAATAGGTAGGGAATATAACTACTTGCGGCTAATTCTTTTCATGATCATCTGACAGAACTTTCGCAAGGTTGCATCAGGAAGTAAGCGAATGAGGATACCTACGGGAATTGAGCCAACACCTAGGCCGATAGAGATGGCCCATTGCTCACCCGTCAGTCGTACGACGACAAACGCCTCACCACCAACAAAAATAATAATCAGCTGCCCACCAACCATAATTGACATCATCACCATGAACAGCCAATTGCGATGCAAACCTTCAAAGATGTTCAGCTTGTTATCAATGCGGCGGCTGTTTATGAGCTTGAAGATTTGCATGAAAACAAACACGTTAAAGATGAGAGTTCTTAACTGGGACTCTGTGTAGCCGAGGCCAGAGCCACCAAACCATAGTGCGAAACAAACAATTAGCTGGTAGATGGATTGGCCGATGATCATCTTCCACATGATGAAGCTGATTAGAGATGCGGTCCGGGGCTCTGGTTTACGCTGAAGTACGCTTCCTGTTGGCGGATCTGTTGCAAGCGCAAGCGCCGCAAATGTGTCCATAATGAGATTGACCCACAACAGTTGGACTGCGTTGAGCACCGCAGTTTCATTACTGTCAGATACGGCCGTAACAAATGTTATGATGACTGCTGTGATATTAACAGTCAGTTGGAACTGCAAAAATTTCTTCACAGAGTCGTTCACAGCCCGTCCCCAACCAAGTGCCTTAACAATGGACGCGAAGTTATCATCCATCAAGATAATATCGGATGCTTCTTTAGCGACCTCTGTTCCAGATAAGCCCATAGAAAAGCCGACATCAGCAGCCTTCAGAGCTGGTGCATCATTCGTACCATCCCCTGTCACTGCGACAATCTCGCCGAGGTTCTGTAGAGTTTTGACGAGGATGCGTTTGTCTTCCGGGCTGGATCTAGCTAAGACACAGATATCTTTGGCAACCTCTGCTTTTTCTTCATCAGGTAGCTGGCGAAAGTCTTGCCCTTCCATCACCAAGCCTTCCTCTCCTGATGAAGTTTTCAAGATGCCACATTCTCGCCCGACTGCTCTTGCCGTCTCAATATTGTCACCGGTTACCATCTTGACTGACACTGATGCCCTTCGGCACGCTTCCACCGCAGCAGGAACTCCTTGTCTAACAGGATCTCGAATCCCCACAACGCCGATCCAGGTCATGTCTTGAAGAACATCAAGAAGCTCAATATCGTTAGAACCCGTTGAGCTGTCGTCTGTTTGGAGCCAATGCGGGGGCCACTCCTGGAAGTCGACATATGATAGAGCCAAGGTTCGTAACGATTGCGTCGTAAAACCAAATATGATATGTCTGATAGCATCTTTGTGGTATTCCGACATTGGTACCTGTGATACGCCTTTCGATATTTCGACCAGCGAAGCGCTACATTGTGCTAGGACAACTTCCGGTGCCCCCTTGACAAATAATCGATACTTTGCTTCGCCTTTGTAGGTGTCAGATTGAGGCAGCTTGATTACCGCTCCCATGCATTTGTGTTCTGACTTAAATGGGAATAGCTGTTCTAGGGAGCTGTTGGCACGTTCCATGGAGGCTAGCCCAAGTCCAAAATATCGACGAACCCAATCAAGAAGGGCCGTCTCTGTTTTGGTTCCCACAAATACTGTCCTTCCGTTCTCTTCGCTCTCAAAGGCAGTAGTATTGGCTGCAAGAGCTATCTTCAGTAGGTTTTGTGCCTCTGTGCAGAGCTTTGAGGACAATTGGTCCGCAGAGATCTGATCATACTGCTGCATCTCCACGTGTACCGACGATGCGTGGGCTAGGGTTTTAGCCTTGGTTTGAGAATGCCGTTTACCAGGCGCGCTACCATCAAGTCCGAATTGTAGATTCTTATCACCAAATAGCAGTGGCTCGCCGCCTAGTGCACCGGCGACCACAGTCATGGCGTTTTCCGTTAGGGTGCCTGTTTTATCTGAGCATATAACGGTGGCATTCCCCATTGTTTCGCATGATTGAAGGTGGCGAACAAGATTGTTTTCCCTTGTCATGCGCTTAGTAGCGAATGCCAATGACAGTGTCACCGCCAGTGGGAGGCCTTCAGGGACGGCAACAACAATGATAGTGATGGACATGACAAGAATATGTAGGAAATCCTGTCCTTTCTCTTCTGGGGACTTGTTGTTTCCGGACAGCCTAATAAGAAACTCGATGAAGAGCACGGTGAATAACAAGCAGCCTGCCCCGCCTCCAAGCTTTGCGATGTAACCTGGAGAATATTATTCGTTAGCCTCCTATTACCCAAGTATCCAAGTCTGTGACTAGTCGCATGGAACGCAGTGGTACTCACCAGCCAGAACATTTAGTTTTGATTGCAGGGGGGTAGGCCCAGGATCTTCCGACAGCGACATCATGGTCCGACCGTGACTTGAGTTCTGCCCAACTGAAGTAACGAGAAAAGATCCTACGCCGTCCAAGACTCTGGCCCCAGAGATGATAAATGGATCCAGATTTTTCAGCTCCGATACTTCTTCGTTGACAAGTGCCTGCTGTACATTGTCCGCTGGGACCTTCTTGGCCAAATCAGATTCTCCTGTGACTGAAGACTCATCACAACTCAGACCATGGCCTTGAACGAAGACACCATCCACCGGAATAATATCGCCGGGTTCAAGAAGCATGATATCGCCCACAACCACATCATAGACAGACACGGCCATAGGGCTGCCTGAACGAATTACTTTAACAAAGCGATCCTCTTTCTTCATGTTGAGCTTCCGGAATTGGCGTTCTTTCTGCCAGTCGTTCAGCGCGCCGACAATCACAACGATAGAGATTGCAACAATGATGGCCACGCCCTCAACCCACTCAACCTTAGCGCCTTCATGTTCCGTTTGTCCAAATGTCTGATATAATCCCAAGGCAAGCGAGACAATGGCTGCAATGCTGAGCAGTATGAGTACATGATCGTGCATAGCAATCCAAGCTAGCTGGAGAACCGATTTCGATTTTCGTTCTGGCAACCGATTTTCGCCGAAGACTCTTTTCCTATCAGTGAAACTACTGCCTGGCTTGCCGTTGGAACAAATCAAAGGATGGTTCCCGGTTTGTTGGCCATCTTTGAGCATCTCTGGCGATAGGTGAGCCATTGTCGCCTGCTCAAATGTAATTGATTGAAGAACATGATGCTCATCAATACCAAGGCCAGCACGACAATCGGTCCGTAGGCCTTTTTCTAGCCCAAGAATGCCACCTAAAGCGACAAAAGCGGCAATGCTTTTTGGATTTATTAGCTTCCCTAGTTGACCTGGGGAGAAAGCAAATGGATTGTTTTCAATATTGAATAGATATTCTTCTCCTGGATTTGGCCGAAGAACAGAGATTTTAGGCTGCTGAAGGCCCTCCGAAGACTCGGATTTGTCGTGTATACATTCGCTTTTGGACCTCGTGTCCTCGTCAACGGATCTCGACGGGGTCTGTAAATTATTTGACATTTGGAATACGCTTCGCATCTTGGATTCGGGCTGCAACAGGAATGTCTCATGTTAGAAGAATATTACCATGCAGCTAGACCCCGTTTCGTGGCGAGATTTGATTGTACCAACTTGTGTCGCGTGTATGAAGATAATGCCTCTTTCATGGAAATACTGAAGCAACTGTTGATAAGAGTAACTGGTTTTTCTTTACCTTAAAGATGTTTCTTAGCATATACGTCTCAATACTTTCATGCTGTATAGAACTTCTACAAGAAAGAGTCATCATGATGAAATAATGTCGGATTCGCAGGGTGTTTTTATGAACACTGTAGTTGGGCAATGAGCTACTGACGATAACTAGCTACGGAAAATGTCATCATCTACCTCGAAATGTCATCAAAACTGTTACGACAAAGAGGAGATTTGAACTGCAAGGTTTTTGCTACTGGCTTGGCAAGCTGCGCTGTATAGACTGAGATGAGGCTGTGAGGCCGGCGGTGGAGGCGCAGTGACGCCACTACAACATGCTTAGGACAACGCGGTTCATACTGAGATATTAGACAATCAATTCATAACCTTATTTTAAAAGTTAGGTAGGGAGATTATGCCGTACGTACATATTATATGATTGATGTGACGGCATCAGACCATCTCCCCAAAAGAAGGTTCGAGCATTTGCATAATAAGCGGCCGCATTGAATTGGCAGGGACTATCTCACTTCATCTTGGCAAGATGGCAAGAGGCCTCCAGCAAACTCAAGTCTCCTAGATGTCTCAATTTAAATGCAATTTCTCTCATGTGAAATAACCACCGAGAGGTTTCAAATTCCCACTCGTAGTACTGGGGCCCGCTTCATACATGTTTGTAATCGATGCTACACAGTTATCTCGATCACAGGCGTCTCCTATGCTGCAATGACAGTTTTCTCGCTACATCCGCGACAAAGCGGATATAGAAAGCAAACATTTGGTTAGAGACTCTAATAGCAATGTATCAGTGGTTGAGAAACTATCGGACGATGGCTCGCGCGGGATTTTACTCATTCTTTGCACCTCTTCTCCATATTTAATTTTGCTCATCATGGCTAATGTCTATTTAAAGACGTGATAGCTCATGCTGTAGCGTTGAGCACGCAACACTTACATCCTGACCATCATTGACTTTCTTACTTTCAGTATACGCCAGTCTCTTTAATTTACCTTCTATCGATTGGTTGAAATTACTCATCAATATGGCTGTTACTCATGTAGGCGTCCTTGCCTATGCCTTTCAAATTGTGGACAGTGCAGGTCCCGCCGATCTCCTCTCCTCCGCCAACAAGTCCGCTTTCCAAGCTGTCAAAGAATATGGACCGATTGATGAAAAGATTATATCTCGCGCACCCCAATTTGTTTTCCATTACATCGGTGTCACCAGAGATCCAGTCCTCCTTGGGTCGAGCCAGATGGTAATCATGCCTACAACAACCGTCGATGAATGCCCAGAACTTGACATTCTGCTTGTCCCTGGGCCGTACCTCAGCAACTTTGAACTACATCCGAAGCATGCTGAACTCATCCGCAAACATGTGTCAGCCGATAAGATGCTGTGGACTACTTGCACGGGAGCTAGTGTCGCGGCATCAACAGGTGTTTTAGACGGCAAAAAAGCAACAGTTAATAATGTCGAATACGCTTGGGTACGTAAGCGTTGGCCCAAGGTCAACTGGACTAGAGAGAAGAAGTGGATTGTTGACGGAAACATTTGGACCGGTTCGGGTGCATTTGCTGGAGTAGACATGGTTGCACATTGGCTCAAGGAAAATTATGGGCTGGATGTGCTCATTCAAGCTAGCAACAACCTTGACTATGAGGCCAGAGATGATGATGGTCTATTTACGGTTTTCCCTCAGAGATTCGATTCACAGGGAAATAAAGTAGGTACGCATGAATTCCTGTACTACGATGAGGAATAGACACTTCGTATCTCCTCCGCGTGATATCGCAGTCTTAATTAGACAGGTTCAGTTTGGTACTACGTAGTTTATCTTGAGTAATCTATCTAGTTATTTTCCATCTTTTGATATGATTAATCCCCGTCAACAAACATTATAGATTGGGTACGCCGAGAGGCCCTGATTGAAGCTAGTAGATGTATTTATGTAATACCTTAGTCTCTTATCTTTTGTGACTATGTCCTTTGTTTCTAATTTGACGCCTTCAATGCAACTAATTTCCACCAGGTATGAGAATATGCGACAGAAGCTCACTTAGGCAAGTTTCAGGACGAAGTGCGTCTACTATAGGAGTGACTTGATCTAACATATTACGTACCCTTTTAACAATGGAGTGCGCCATCACGTGAGATAAATCTGTAACAGACGCTACCATGGCGGTACTTTAACTCCGTAGAATATACAACATTCTCGAGAAAGGTGGCTTCGTTGAACCCTCCTGTAGTATATGGCTTAGCGACGTCGATAATGGATGAGATATCACTATAAAAAAATATCTAGCAAGAGCTTATTCGGCGATGAACGCCATACTCACAACCCTTATCTGCTTCATACCACAGGGCTGTCTCATGGATAGTCTCGCCGGAGAAGTCCAGTTTGTTCACAGCGGCTTTTCAGCCTAACCACGAAGACAATCATGCAAGTTGTCCACCTCAGTGCGCCTATATTGTGATCCCAATACCCTGCCTTGGTATATCCCTAACAAAAGAAAAGTGTATTGCGACAATACGGGGCGCATTCGGACACTGGAAATTAGAGCGCATCTTGGCGGGACTTAAACGCACATCGTTCAGCTGCTGGTCTGTTTAGGTGTACCTCACGCCAGTGTGTCACCCAAGATTTCCTCTTATTTTATTGCCTTTATGAAGGAATTGCGTATTTACTTTCCTCCAAGGGTCATTATATTCCCCATTCTAAACCACATGGCCGCTACCCCACCCCCCCAGTTGACTATTTGTATCCAAATAGCGAATATTGTCACAATTACAACGTTGAACAACCGTAAACCGCTTTAAGTTAATAAACCCTATTCGATAAATGAGCTCGCAGAGGCCATTCTTGTTTGATCTCTCCTAAATGATGATGACTGTTTGTAGGATGCAGAACGCGGGTTGTTGATGATATGAGGTTCCAGGGAAGCAGCGGAAGAGAAGCATGTTATAGGCGTACTAGTTGAGCACATGGAGGATAGAACATGATGCTCTGCCTTTTGTAGGTCATCCAGTATGTTGATTTGAACTGTATAGTATGAATATATTGGTGGGCTGGCTCGTTGCAGTACTCCTGTCTCCTACAGTAGTTGATCGCTGTGTAAGTTGTCCCCATCACGAATGTTGTATCCCTACAAACGCCGACAGCCCTCTATTATTGCCTCAAGGTTTGTAGTAACATTATTTTGGCGTTGGTATAGCAGGGATCTGATTTTGTTGTGTCGGTGCGGGAGGCGCATGTTTGTCTTGTGTTGATACAGTGGCAGTCTCTTTTTCTTCGGCTGAGGTCGAGGGGGGGTCTTTTACTTCTGGAGCGATGCCTGCTTCAAGGTTCCTTTGTTGCATGTATCGCTCACGCTCTGCCCGCTCTCTAGCAAGAAGTTCCATCTCCTGCTGTGTCCCCTTTGTCCACAGCCGTGGGAACCTGACAGGTCAATACATACCCATATCTTTGCCTACAGATGTAATTACTTACCACCACCAAACAAATATAAATCCAATACCGCAGATTGAACTAAGGGAAGCAACTGGTATAACCCAGCTGGGAGCCATCTCGAAAATTATAATTCTGCTCCAAGACGGAAAAGGGGAATTGTCTAATTAGAAGATGTGGTCACTTGATGTCGGACTTCGAGTAATTGTACCAGAAATTGCAGGGTATGTTGTCGTTTGAATGCAACACCGTTACAATCTTTAGCAAGCAGAAATGAATTAATATAAAACTTCAATTACAACCGCTACTAATTCCACACATGAGGCTTTCGCCTTCTTATACCATCCCGGGGGCGACGCAGGATTTAAGTACGGGAACGCGAACAGGCAAGTACATGAACGGATGCCAATCCATCAACAAAGGATCCAGAAAATATCTATGGACTATTCCATATTCTCTTCAAGCTGCTTGAAGCACCGCCGAGGTAGACCCGGCCGTGTAGGCCTATGACAACAAGAGTGGGAAAAATTCCCGGACTGATACCGGATCTCGTGAAAACCCATGGCGATGGTTATTGCTTTTGGGGGGATGTGGTAACGCAATATAGCTAGCCTCGTGGCTATCCGGATTTATTTGCGGAGAGATCCATAGTCCAATACTTTGCGGGAGTCCGGCAACGCGCCCACTCACACCCACATACGCCAATAACACGCGTATTTTTCTCAGCTTAACGCCCTACGAAACATTACTGTATGTGGGACACGTATTCTCATCATAAAAGGCCCGTCTTTGCGGTGCTATCACGGCCTTGGAGATCCATGGTGGTTTCCGCTAAACACTCAATATTTTTAGAACTTTTGAAGGTGGTCCCGTTTAGAGATCCCAATCCCACCGTGAAATCCTAACGAAGCTAACAACTACTCGTATACATATGACATCAATAACCCAAATAAATACAGCTCATCATCTGATCAACTTCAGTGTGCCCACACTTCAACAACATCTTCCTAAGTCCTGAAATGGTGATACTGTAACTAAGAGACAGTTGGTTTTCCTAATTCATGGACCCAAAGATGACCTCTAAGGGCTGGAACGAGATTCCTGAGGCGAAATTGTGGCCGTATGGCCACTACTGGGGATGTTTATCAGCGTTATGCTCAAGATTGGAAATCTTTGGCTATGAAGCAGCAGCTATATGTTATACCATTTATTTTGCTTGGTTAGTATTCCCATGCCGACTCTGATGGAGCGATTCCAATAAGCACAATCTCCGGCAGTAATAGTCTCTCTTGAATGCATTTGGATGGCACGATGAAGCGCTTCTATCGTTCTAACGTTTAGTTATTGGTTAAGTCGCGACTTAGGATACCCAAATTTGTCCTTCGGTATCAGATATGACGCTGCCTTTGGCAGCGTAGGTCAATAAGTGGACATCAAAGTCATCATCAGCCCATCTAGGGTTAATACTACAAACGAGCGAGCGAGAGATTGGCGATCTGCCTCCTTCCGGGTCACGTTTCAACCTAAGTGTACGGTTGAATAGACAAATAGATTGATAATAGGACTCTATTCTATCTCCTAGGATTTCACAGACTTGCCCCTCACTGGCTTCGGAGCTTTTGTCTTGGGTTCAAGTTTGATAGTGTATTCACTAACGGCGTTGCCAGTGCAGTTGACTGTGTAGCTGCAAATACACACGGTATCAATAGATGTTCTGATCAAATCGGTAGTCTTCATTAATCTTTCTATTGAGGCTTTGATTCATCACGATTAATTGCTTATCCAATGTCTCATGGATGTCGGGCATGCATCACTGCTCCGATGCCCGGTTATCAAGCTATTGGTAACAGTCGGTTCCAGCTGAGTGGAACAAAAACACCTTCGTACGTCAAATTCATTGGGAGCCTTTTAATCAGGGTAACAGGAATATCTCTGCATGTGTCGGCAGAAGGAAGTCATAGGCTTGCAGGGCTGCGACCGCCTTGAGCGGCATATGGGCCGACTCTTGTCTAACTCCACAATGGACCATGCCATGTGACACTCGCTCATCCCGGAATATAGCCACCGGTCCTTTATACGAGGGGCTGGGGAAGGGAGTGAAATGCGATAACGTAATGGAGACGCGACGAAAATGCTGGTAAAGATGGCCAAAAATTACGAGAGCAAGAAAAGCGTGCCATCTGCCATGTATAGCTTGCCTGTATCCCCAAGTGGGCGGCTCGAGCTGAATTTTTTGGGGGGTGTTTTTTTTTTTAGAAATAGGTCAGAAATATGTTCCTTGAGTATTAAGCATTGAAAATATCGACTCATAAAATTTTAGCCGGATTCTGGAGTCCCAAAGGGGCAGACCTTGTATCTTCTACCGTCTAACTAACTCGGCTGCAGGTCAGCAAATTACTACAGCCAGGAGCCTACTACGATCATATATTCGTAACACAAAAACTGTAAACTTATTCTCCACTACACAATCCATTCCATAAGTCCCTCTTGGAAGCCGAATTCAAATTTCCGCAGTCCATTCAGTGACTATATGACACATGAAGCAGATTGGCATGCGGTGCAGAAAGCCAATACCATATTATTGTAACTCATTTCACTCCGTAGACTGTTTAGCATTGGATATAGACAAAGTAACGCTTCAATTGCCATTAATATCGTACTTTTTAGAAAAATGCAATGCGAAATAGCGGGGTAAGAGTAGTTTGAGTATCGCGGCCTGACAGTAAGCCTAAGTACTCACCTTACGTATCAGAATACCACCTCATATGACTCAATTCTTCCACACATCTAGAAGAGAAATCGATTTTATAGACTCCATTGCGACTCGAGTGCTATTACATTGTATATCGTAAGATGGCGGGCACATCTCGTTCCAATGCCGAAAGAGATTTAGCTGTACTGAATTTACATAGAATCCGATCAGTGTTGAAAAAGGTCGTATAAGTTTCTTTCCATTGCATTTAAATCTCATAAACCTAGGGGTACGGTGGAGAGATTGGGGCGTATGTAAACGTCATACATTGCAGCCTATCTTGCCAGTACGACTTACCCGTCAGCCTCATGCCACTACCCTATCATTTAGTAGTTACTACACAAGAGGCATCTCAGTATTAAACAACTTATCACAATCAATTGATATCTTCTGATCGAGTTTAATATCCCATCCTAGCAATTTGTGGCAGAATTGTGTGTTTTGAGCCTTGTATATGCCAGAATGAAACATTTTCACAACCAACATATGGTCCACGCAGCCTAACCCCATCTCTCTCTTGTTTGGCTTTTACATACAACTATGTATCTCTACGACTTAGTAGCACGTGAATGTCACTGACTTTACAATAATCGCACTAGTTGCACCTCCACTACCCTTTTGATCGGTCAAGCGGACGTCGTCAAGGGCCTCATTGCTCCAATCAACTGACGATAATTCTTAGTGTATATTTCGGCTAAGTTATGCATAAATAATTGAACAGCATGTAAAATATCGGATCTTACTGCTCGTCACTATCATGGATAATCTATTTTTCTCTTTCTGTTTTGTTGTTATTGACATTTCTATTGCCTGATTTCATGCCAGCCGCTATTCACAACAAGTAGTTAAAAGTATACCTTCTATGTTTCCATTTACGTTTTCTGGGTTGATATTCCCTATTTCATTACCTTGCACCGCTGAGCAAAGACGCCTACTGGTCCTCTCCGATGTTACTTCCACGTAACCCAGTCAGGGGACGGATGGCTCACTCCTCGTATAGTGGGTAGTTGTGCTTCGTTGGTATGAACTGACTTCGTACGTATGAATCCACTTCAATACCATCTCTGCCTAACTCTCTGATTTGTTGGACTCAACCGATGTATATGGTTATATACGTAGAAATCTCTCCCCACTTGACTTGCCGGAGTCCGAGTTATCGTTACATTTTAATCACCACGGCAAAAATGGAATTCCAGAAACCAATTTACCCCGCGCGAAGGTTAATCTGCCAGTGTTCCCACCATCTGCATGTGTAAATTGTATGACCTGAATAAACACCCATTAGGTGTAGTGAGTAACCCTTGAAGGGTCTAACAGAGCTGGAGCTGATGGATAAATTTTATCCATTGACAAAACGCTTCAACCCAGGCTGCTTACCTCTGCTAGCATGGACACAAGCATCTTGCCTTTCTAGGGTTCGAATATGCTATTCCTCCACTACTTCACTAAACTGTAAAGGACGATATTTACCAACCCCGTTTAATACATCTCCCGTTAGCTAGGGGAGTTCTCGTCGCCACAGGCTATTAATTCACCACCTGAATTCTTCCGAATAGTATAGTTTGTTCGGATTAAGGGAGATGGGAAGATATCAGGCTGATATAGTGGATGAATTACCATTGTTCTCACATGAGCAAGCAAGCAGCAAAGCATGGTTGGAAAAAGACGGAAAGAGGAAATACATCCACTCCGTTTGTCATGAAGTACGTGTCCCACTAATTGGCCATAAGTATATAAGCTTCCCTTAAGATTCATGAGCTGATATCGTGATTCACTTCGTCTCATCGGCAGTAGTAACTTGGCCCTTCACTGGAGCTTCACTGTTCGCCATCATGGTTGCCTTTTCCCGATTCGTTGCTGGCCTCTCGGTCATTGCGACTTCCCTTGCCGCTCCTACGGAGCCAGCCGAGAAGAAAGTTGAAACGCGTGGCGAGTATAACTTTTTTCTCGGGCCTGACCACCCTCTCTCTCGTCGTAACTTAGCCGGCCGCTCCAACACAAATTACAATCAAGATTACACCACCGGCGGAACGGTGAATTTCACGCCATCGACTAATGGATTCTCGCTCAATTGGAATACCCAACAAGATTTCGTCGTTGGTGTTGGCTGGAACCCCGGCAGCAACCTGTACGTGACTACTAATTACTATATATATGTTTCTTCTGTTTTTTTTAAACTATTCATCATAAATTGTTTCACTGGCTAATCCTTATATCATTATGTTGAATATGACAGCCCCATCACTCATTCGGGGACTTTCAATGTGGCTAGCGGTCTTGGCAGTCTTTCCGTCTACGGATGGACCACGAACCCACTTGTTGAGTACTACGTTATGGAGACCAATATTGGAATCAACACAGGCGGTTCGCAGAAGGGGACGGTCACCAGTGACGGAGGCACCTACGCTATATGGGAGAATCAGCGTGTCAACGAACCTTCCATCATAGGCACAGCAACCTTCAATCAGTATATCTCTATCCGACAGGGAGGACGAAGCAATGGTACTGTCACTATTCAGAACCACTTTGATGCGTGGGCGGCAGCTGGTTTGCACCTCGGCACGATGAACTACCAGGTCATTGCCGTTGAGAGTTGGAGTGGCAGTGGGTCAGCTCAGCAGTCCGTCTCCAATACCGGGGGCTCCGGAACCCCTCCTCCTCCTCCCGGAAGCTCAACCTCATCGGCGCCTGGCTCCGGCCCTACGGGTGGCGGTTGTTCTGCCTTGTACGGCCAATGTGGCGGCATCGGCTGGCAAGGCCCTACGTGCTGCTCCTCGGGTACCTGCAAGGTCGGAAACGCGTACTATTCCCAGTGCTTGTAAGCTAGGGAATCTTCAAACGCCGTTGGTATATGGGTTGGTTAGAAGAGTCGAATACATGTGGGAACTGAAAGTGCAATCTTTAACCGAAAAAAAAAAGATTAAATAGGATGGATGTAGGATGTGGTTAAAGAAGCGGGTTGCGGAGAACGGCATAACACATTGTTTAGAAGATCATCGTACTAAACAATAACTAGATAGCATCCATACCGATATGAAATATGAGCTGGACATAAGTTATATTTCCAGCGCGTCTAGTGACTCATCAACAGATATAATTGAACCAGTATCAACGCCCAACTCATCCGGAAGTACCATTGGAGACGTCGCGTCCGTCCATGCTTAGTCCCCCAACGCCTGCATATACTGCATCATAAGTCTTCCTTCTTCCGCCCATAGAGGGAAGAACGTGGGTTTCACTGCTAGTCTCAATAAATTCCAACTCCTTACCGCGTGCGTGTGCAAGTTTCTGCAGCATGTCGAGCACGTTGAATGTCCCAATCGACGCCATCGCCATTGACCCTTTCCTCATATGAGATTTATCAAGTATGGCTCCAATAAAAGGCACAAGATTTTTCCTGATGTCTCCAATGGTTGGGTAGTTGATCTTTGGAGGGTCAAAGTTCCCAACAAGAACATATTTCCCAGCACTCTCCAGCAATGTTGGTCTGAAGAATGGAAGGGTAAAGTTCAACGAGTATCATCCAATCGGCATAAATGTTGTCTTAGACAGCAGATCTTTTTTTGTTCGGATATGCTGAGCCACAATGTCCTTGCTATCGTAGTGAGGTACCTTCATTTTCCCCTCGCTTTCAACGATTGCTCCTGGAAGATTGCTCCAGACGTAATGCTCCATAGTCGGCGTCGCCTCCGCAGCATTTGCTAGATTCTTGCCCTGCTGTATCTCAATGGTCATAGCTTTGTCCGTATCTTCCGATGTTGCGAAAAGCTCGAAGAAATTCGTAATGCCGAAGATAAAATGGGATCCGGCAAATGCAGAGGCCAGGGAGGCATGGTCGTTAACATCTGTCGTGACAACTTCTGCTCCTTGCTTCTTGAGAGCTGCAGCGGTATCGCTTTCTGGTCGTCGTGTAAGTCCGCGGATTTTGTAACCGCCGTGTTTCTGCAGGGCATCAATAACAGCCGCTCCTTGGTTACCAGTCGCCCCGACAACCGTTGCAATTTTAATCATCGTAAAAGATTGTTGTGTGTTGAGTGCAATAAATTTGGACAATTAAGACCAATCACTGCAAAATTAAAGTGTAACCAAATGTTAATTAATATTTGCACAACTGAGCTGATAATGGTTTTATATTGCTCTGCTTTCATTTCCAAGCATGGTCAGACATGTCAGCGCATGTCTGACGTTGTATGTCTGACGTTGTTATCAATCTTGTCAGAATAGTACCGTACCATGTCTAACATGTGCTCAATGAGTCCACAAATGGAATAGAGGCCTAAGAGCATATATTCATGTTATGTTTGCTTCTGAATAATCGGCAGCGACTTTGTGCGGTGCCAGCTTGATCAATCACCGGTGGCGTACGTATGCATGAAGCACACTACTAATCGGACATATATTTAGCACCACTGCCAAAATCCGCGTGCTTGAACCTGCTATAATCTATTACTAGATTTTATGAAACTTGACTGTTATTTATAACACACACTAGAGGCGAGATGCATTACAGCAAGTATGATGTGAAACCAAGCCCTGGGTAAATTTGTATGACAATAGCATTATACCAAGAGAAGCACTGGCAGAATCTTGGGCAGCAACGTATATTCAAAACCCCACGTTTACTCATCATTTAGCTCCTAATATATTAATTCAGATGGTGCCTGATCAATCTTTGTTTGCGAATCAACGGCAAGCTCGTAAATCGTTAATCCAGCGATCATGAAAGCTTTATTTAGGGCTACATATGACATACCTTATTCGCCCCTGTAGTGCCATCTAGATACTCTGTCAATTGCTCTCTCCACCAGTTTGAACATTTTGACCATCATAAGTACTAGGTTTCCGAAGGGTGAAATCTTGCCTGAAAGATAGATTTTGCACAATATTGCTGTCTACCACATTTTAATACTGTAAGTGAAAACTAGCTTAAACTTCCCACAGATGAATAAAAGACTAACGTAAACCCTATGGAGTATATATGAAGTCGGGCTGCTTATTACCTTTGATGCGCTTCTCCTCTTCCGTTAGTCCACTCTCCACACTGTTACTCATGTTCCTATGTCGCCGAGAATTCTCAGCTCTTAAAGCAAAGTGCATGAAAACCGATCCTGAAAGTAAGAAGAAGATGTGTGATGCCAAAACCACCCCATGGCTAGTCCAGTACCTGGGTGTTTGAGTGGGTAGGTAGATATTTGACGACATGATCCTATTTAAATTTCCGAAACAACGACTATACCTAATACTACAGCTCGCTTTAGTGAGCTTTCAGTATTGTTGGATACTTATACCAGGGTATTTGGGATAGATGGGTAGATGCCTTTTGCTCCCACAAAGGTACCGGCGTACTGAATGTTTGGTCGTGACGAGCCTAATAATAAAGCAGATACGCAGATACAACGATACCCATAGTGACGGCGGCTAAATTGCAATAATCTCGCCACTTCAGTTTGTTAGCGAAGAAGCCTATGACTACCGTAAGCACTGCCGCGCACACATATGGTGGCACTGTGAGCAGCTGTGTTCTTGTTCCTGAATGACCCATAGCTGCGATAATGGTCCGGAGAAAGAGTGAAAATGCATATAGAGGAATTGTGCAGCCGATAAAACTCCAGGTGTATCCGTATGTCTCCCAGTCTTTAAGCGCCTCGTAAATGTAACGTTTGTTGAAATCATCAGCCGTGTATCCCTGTCTGTCCACGATAAGTCGACGTTGTACCCTGATTCGGTCTTCGGGAGTTTGGACTTTTGCTGTATCAGGCCAACCAAAGGCCATCCACGGGCATAAGATATCAACGAGCACTGTAGCAAGGCCGTTAATGATGAAAATCTAAGGCTAGCCTGGTTTGTCGCCAATTCCGTCCATTTTGGTAACGGCCGCCGCCAGTAGACCTCCAAAAGAACCGGCAATTGCAACAGTAGAGAGGAAAATCGCACTCCGGATGCCAGTTTCCGAACTCTTATACCAACAGCTAAGGTAGTAGTGGACGCCTGGTCGTGGGGGGAAACAGTTAGCCGACACATAGTTCATGGAGTGAAGTGATTATACCTAGAAATCATCCTGCCTCTACCGCCCTAAGACCCCTGCTGCTCTTTGCCAGTCTCTACAAAAACTAGCGTGAACGATCGATTACACACTCACGGATGTTCTTTTTGAAAATTCGTGACATCATACACGCTACCTCGATAGACGATAAATAGGTCCTGGGGTTTGTCGTGATGCTGAAGCTCACTCCAGTTATAAACTTTTGACATTTCAAATGAATGTAAATGGCCAAGGAAAATAATATCTTTAAAGTGACCTTACAAGCCTTCGTAATTACTTAACGCATAGATATATCGCAAAGTTGATTCTTTTTAACACCCCAAGTCGTAGCTTGGTTGTAGCACCTACCCCATGTCTCCAAATCTCATCCTGCCCTTTCAACTCAGCGGACCCCCTGTGATCGCAGAGAGGCTTCCCCCACCCCCACACAATGGCTCCAGACAAACTTCCCGTCTTTACCCATAAATATCGCGTCACTATACTTGGCGCGACCGATAAATTGCGGAGCTCTGCTTTTCGCAGTGTTCCAACTCTGATTCATACGTATGGTACGGAGGACAAGAACTGCTTGGGCTGTCTGAAGAATATGACAAGTTGTTTTAGAGGTGTGCCTTCCTTTATTCTGGTTTTATCTGGAGCACATATTTTGTTGCATTCAATTTAAAGCACTATGATGGCTAGCAACATTCAGTGATGCTACCGTAGGCTCAGAGACAGCTTTGACGTCAAGTTGACGTAAAGAAGATGACGCTACTTGGGCATCAGGATGCATACATCCACCAGATCACGTATATAAATGAGCGATAGTCAGTCTCTTGGTGTTACCGTCAGAATGTTTTATAAGATGAGATATTCGTCATGTGGTCTCTCAAGCAGCGTCGTCAAATTAAAGAGGAGATACTTCGGGAGCTGAACCAAAAAAAAGAATCGCGATTGCAATTACTCTCGAATGGACGCACCGACCTAGAGGTGAACCAACCTCTCCAGTCATGTCATAGAGAAAGATGTTTACTTCCTGATGGAGAACCTTTTCAACATGTGAACTCGGACCCAAAGGCTTCATCAAACGGGCAACTATTAGTCACATGTGGACCTGAAGATACGCTCAATCCACAGAACTGGCCGCTTATTTCAAGATGTAAAAATCTATTCATATTGGCATTTCTCATATTTACCCAAGGCTGGGCAGGCGCTTCCCAATCAATGGAGAATTCAGTAGCAAGTTCAACGTTTCATGTCAGTCAGACAACTGAGAATTTAGATACCGCGATGTATCTTTTTGGAGTTGGTATGGGCGCTCCATTTGCGGGACCATTGTCCGAGACAGTGGGCAGAAATCCTGTATATTTACTGGCCACGTTTTGCTACCTATTCTTCGTCTTGGGATCCGCGAAAGCAACCACGTTTGGTGGACGTATTACCTGCCGTTACTTTGTTGGCTTGTTCTCCAGCGCTACCTTGTCCATCAACGGATCGAGTGTCAGGGATCAGTTCAGAGATGTAAAGAGAGCTTTTGTCTTTCCGGTTATAGCTTGGGTTAATGTAATAGGTAAGCGGCATGATCCCTCTATAATGCTACTTGCAGATGTTGATGATGCTGACGAGTTTGACATAGGCCCTGTAACTGCACCGGTAGCAAGTGGTTGGCTGGTTTCTAGTCCTAAATTGGGTTGGCATTGGCCCGATTGGATCACTTTAATCATATCCGGTGTCGCCTTCTCAATTGCAGTTCTGTTTCTTCCGGAAACATACTTGCCGCTGCTGTTGGATTGGAAGGCGAAAGAATACCGGCGTTTGACCGGCGACAATAGGTTTACCTCGGAACACGCCACATCAGCAAATTTCCTGGGGCGCCTTAAACACAATGTCACACTTGGTATTACATTTTTCCGAACAGAAGTTATTGTAACGGTATTAGGTTTCTATCTTCTACTCTTATACACGCTTCTTTTCACTTCCCTGTCGGGATTCGATTTTATCTTCAAAGACACATATGGGCTCTCCACTGGCCTTACCGGTAGTTGCTTCGCCTCTATTGCAGTAGGGTCGACGCTTTTCACATTCAGCGCACCAGGCTTATACAGCTGGGCCCGCAGAGTTACAGAACATGTGCGTGGAGCAACCGTTGAACCCGAGTTTCGACTGTGGCCTGCGATTGTTACATCGCCCATGTTGCCCCTGTGTCTTTTCTGGCTCGGATGGACCAACTACCCCCAAATTACTATATGGTGCGGATTGTGTGCTTGTTTGGTGTTCGGTATTGTCTTGACTGCATTTTATGTGAGCAGTTATGAATACATAATAGATAGCTACGGTGACCATTCAGCTATCGCTCTTGCGAGTGTTACATCAGTACGGTACCTGGCTGCAGGCGGAATGGTAATGGCTACGCGCCCAATGTACATGGCCATCGGTGTCCATTGGACAATGACACTCCTGGGCTGTATTGCGGCTGTGCTTAGTCCTGCGCCTCTACTGTTCTGGTTCTACGGACCCAAGCTCAGATCAAACAGCAAGTATGCGAAGAATCCACAACAAGGGCTATAAGATTCACTTTACAGCAATCAGGGTTTCAATTCCAGGGTTATCGAATACATATCTACCTATGAAATTGTCACACTGTATAGTGCTATAGGTTGCAGTCAAGCACCACATTGCTTTCTCTTAAAAGAAAGTATTTCTGATTTGATGCACCCCTGTCTTATCTATCAGGTGATTGACGCTAGATGTCTGCCTGATCGAAGTTACGGATAAAATCATAGTAAAACTTTACCATATTCACATGCTCGCTCATCAAGAGCCTTTCGTTGACGCCATGGATGTTTCCGAAAGATTTTAGGCTTCCAGGACTCCACCTATAAATGTTCTTGGATAGATCTATAATAATACTTGAATTAGTATTGCAACATAAAGATACTACATCCACGCATGAAAACTTCCCTAGATAGTGGCGAGTGTCGGTGTTGCCAGTCATTGCCCCAGGAGCTGGAACAACAATGCTGGCCTGATCGGCATATGTGTAGCGAACCGTACCAGCGAAAGTATCCCATACATTTCCCTTTGTTGGGGACTGAGGCGTTATATATGACTTCTTTCTTGCCTCGAGAACCAGTTTTCCGTTATAGATAGGCTCCCAGTTGGCGTTCATCTCGTTACCTCCGCCTGCACGGGCTTGTCCAATGGAATCAAGATAGGCGTCGTAGTCCTCGTCTTCCTCAAATGCATGTAGAGTGAGATTATACTTGTGAACCACTCTTTGAACCAGACCTATTATGCGGTGTTGAATGCTGCCAATACTATCCTGGGGAGCATAACGATGATTCACGCCCAGAGTAGTAAACTCGGGTAATGAGTTGATCTTTTGGCCTCCTGAAATCCAATTCACGGCCTGTGATGTCTGGATAAAGTATTGTGTCTCTCGCTGTATTTGCGCCAACAGCTTAGCAGCTTTGTCAAGCAGGCCCCAATTGATGTACCCGGTCAATGCAGGTAGAACGTACGGTGAGTATCGCGCGAAGCAAATAAGGCCCTCGTGGATTGGCCCATTAGGAATAATCTTTGGTTCAAAAGGGTTTGATTCCAATGCTACGACGATTTCTGACATCATACCAATAGAAGTGTGTGGAGTTGGTGTCGAACTGTGGCCTCCAACGACGTCGAGATCGAACCACACATCGAGGTATCCTTTCTCGTAGACGGCAGGCAAAGCGTAGAGAACATCGCCGACTTGTTGAAGGCCTGCACCGCCTTCATCAAGAATGACGGCGATTCCATCTTTACCATAACGCTCTTCAAGATGCTTGGATATAGACGCTGCACCACGAAAGCCTGAGCACTCTTCGTCGAAGCCGAATGCAAAAATAACTGTGCGACGTGGCTCATAGTTTTCCTGTGAGAGAAGCGATTCCATTGCTGTCATGAGCGCTGTAATGGCTGATTTATCATCTGAAGCCCCGCGGCCGTAGAGATATCCAGTGTGCTTGTCGTAAACAGCATCAAACGGCGGATGATCCCAATCCGCTAATGTTGCATTCTCAACCGGCACAACATCTTGATGGGCTGTTAGGAGGATAGGTGCCAAAGAGGTATCCGAGCCCTCGATTGTATACACGAGGCCGAATCTGTTGATGGTTTCTATCCATGCTTTATCATAGCTACGATAGTTTCAGCATTTGTTTGAGGGTTTAGGTAAACACAGTGGGGATTCATAAGACTGACATCAACGGGTAATTCTCCTTTAGCACTTTCGGAATGTCATCAAATGGCTTCCAACGATCGTCCTCGTCGAAGTCTCCGAGATCGTCGTAACAAATTGAATCAATTTGGACAAGGGGCTGATGACGCTCAACAAGTGTATCAAGCGCTTTTTGGCTTGAAAACAAATCATGAGAGCTATAGAGTCCGTCGTCCGAAGGATCAAGAGGGTCGACTAAGTTGCATTTAAATTGGGATTGCTCAGCCTTGGAAAATGTAGCAGCATTGTGGTCCCCGAACCCAAGGGGCAGCTGGTTAGCAAGTCTGGCCACAGAATCAGCGGGCCAGAATGCAAATGCGGATGCGGAGATGAAAGTACCCGCAAGCAGCACTTTCTTTGTATTCATCATAGTAAAAAACTGGGCTTATAGCGGTTGGAACATATGAGTTGGGATGGGCTCAAGAATCTTTGGAAGGGCATTCCACCCTCTCTTTATAGATTCCCAAGACTTGTTATAGCTGGTTTGTTCAGATGGAGAAAACGCAAGCATGGCGTGGCAAACTCTCCCGGAACACATGTGATGCTTCGTGTGGGGTCTCAGGCTATTCCTATGAACAAGAGTTTCGTGTTTGATGTACGAGGCGGCCTCTCAATATGCAGGGATACTATGTATTCCGAGGGTACACAAGGTGGAGAAGAGATCATAGCGAATGAATACACTAGAAATGGGATTAAAATTGGCGAAGTGCATATCGGGCCGCACTGCTGAGTCTCATATCTGTGTACAGCAGGTATTTGTGAACGAATACTTGGCAGAAATGAACACAAAGGGAGACATCAAAGTGGATATTCGGCAGGTCAACTCCCACAGTTTCTTCACCGATCGGAAGAAAGAGCGAATCATTCTATTATACGTCATCATATGTTCCGAATCACGCATATTTTGTGATACAAGGCATTTCGTGTTTCGTACACGTCACAAGCATTGAGTTTGTCAACCAGTCACACCTCACTTCTCTCCCGAACTTGGCAGGGCCGTCACTGTACCAAGCTCAACAGTCCTCAGAGAGCAAATGCAAGAATCAACAAGATACTGAAGAAGGTATCTAAATACATAACAGTCTATGGTAGAGGTACAACGTGTTTTCACCAGTATATTTGGTCTCGACAAGGAAGTATTAGAGATGTGCTAAAGGACACGGGGCATTTCATTATTGCGTCTGAAAGTCACAAGGGTTCAAATTTTAAACTACGAGATGGCCGCACCCAAACTGACCAAAGAGTTACAACAACTCATCAATCATGAAAATATATCGGCCCCATACAATTTCTCAAACCAAGGCTTCTTAAAACCCATTAGACCACTAATGGCTCTGTTTTTGGTTGGCAAATTTTAATGCCCTATTGGACGCTTTGCTCCATATAGGAGGAAAACACAACAACTCGACGTAAGCAAACAATTTCGCGGTGTGTAAGGACAATGGATCCATTGAAGAACATGCGTGGTGCATTACAAGAGCTTTCCTCCTTGCTTAGGAACAAACGACGACCAAGCGAACAACCGAGGAAAAGTCAACGACTTTTAATTAGTTCTATTGGTGTAAGTTACGAACCTCCATGTGTATATGTGATGGTCGATGGTTACTTGTCTTAAACTGTTCTGGTAGAATAGTGCTTAGAATGGAAACAGGGAAGAGATGGGGTGGATCCCCGTAAAGTGGCTGCAAGACTCACATTTGTTGATGGCCGCTGGGTAAGTAGTAGTGCCAAGAGTGATGAAATACCGGACACAGAAATTACTGCCTTTTAAATGAAATACTGATAGATTTTATGTTTTTCATTGTATATTTAATCATCATCGTCGGTTTGGATGCTTCTGATTGGTGCGCATAGCCAAAACTCCAAACCTGGGGTAAAGTATACCTAAATACCCATCCCGAGGTTAGCGGAGTGTGTTGTTCCACCTCTGATACTTGTGAAGACCAACTTTACGTTGCGTCACAAGGGCTTGTCTATGCAACATTGGAGATGAAAAGTTGCATTTTGACAAGGTTATATAGGCTGTTTTGGTTGTAATCTACAGAATTGTAAAGGATATTAGTAAATCATATGCAGCTAATCCGTGAGCATTTGAGGAGGTTCTTTCTAGTTATGTAGCATGCCACCAATGGACCCGGAAGAAGACATTGTATATAGACAGTGAGAAAAATTATAAAAGGCAGGTTTTTTACCGTACAGCTCTGAAGGTGATCTCTATAGCTTATCCGTTCTGTTTAGGTGGCTGTTCAATCTTCCTGTTAAAGAACCCTTCAGAGCACTTATAAGTGTGGCATTGTTGACTACCTATTATCTGGTCTTCCTCCCATCCAAAACTATCGGCCATGCACCCACATGTCAGTAAAGCTCTGGGGCTTGTTGCCACAAGCTCCCTGGTCGCTGCCGGGCCCTGTGACATTTATTCCTCTGGCGGTACACCTTGTGTTGCTGCCCACAGCACCACTCGTGCCCTATACAGCGCTTATACTGGGCCGCTGTACCAGGTGAAGCGAGGATCTGATGGCGCTACAAACGCCATATCACCACTTTCGAGTGGCGTTGCCAATGCTGCCGCCCAAGACTCTTTCTGTGCTGGCACAACCTGCCTTATTACAATTATATACGACCAGTCGGGCCGTGGAAACCACCTTACCCAGGCCCCTCCTGGTGGCTTCAATGGCCCAGAGTCCAATGGCTACGATAATCTCGCCAGCGCAATTGGCGCGCCAGTGACGCTGAATGGTCAGAAAGCTTACGGAGTCTTCATCTCCCCAGGCACTGGCTATCGCAATAACGCCGTCAGTGGCACGGCTCGAGGTGACGCGGCAGAAGGCATGTACGCAGTTCTCGACGGAACCCACTACAACGGTGCCTGCTGCTTTGACTATGGCAATGCCGAGACAAACAGTCGTGATACGGGCAATGGCCACATGGAAGCCATTTATTATGGTGACATCACCGTCTGGGGCACCGGATCTGGCAATGGTCCTTGGATAATGGCCGATCTTGAGAACGGCCTGTTCTCCGGATCTAGTGCCCACAACAACGCCGGAGACCCGTCAATCTCTTACCGATTCGTCACTGCTGCTATCAAGGGACAGCCAAATCAATGGGCGATCCGCGGCGGTAACTCTGCATCCGGCTCGCTGTCAACCTTTTACAACGGCGCTCGCCCATCGGTATCCGGCTACAACCCAATGAGCAAAGAAGGTGCCATCATTCTCGGCATCGGCGGCGATAATAGTAATGGTGCTCAGGGTACCTTTTATGAGGGAGTCATGACCTCTGGTTATCCTTCTGATGCGACTGAGAACTCGGTGCAAGCCAACATTGTAGCCGCCAAATACGCCGTCGCATCCCTGACTAGTGGACCAGCGCTCACTGCGGGTTCTTCAGTCTCGCTACGCGCAACCACAGCCTGCTGTACTACACGATATATTACCCATACTGGTTCTACAGTCAATACCCAGGTCGTTTCATCATCTAGCGCTGCCGCTCTCAAACAGCAGGCCAGCTGGACAGTTCGAGCTGGCTTGGGCAATAGCGGCTGCTTCTCATTTGAGTCTAGGGACACCCCCGGCAGCTATATCCGACACAATAACTTTGCACTCTTGCTCAATGCCAATGATGGTAGCAAACAGTTTGCTGAAGACGCAACGTTTTGCCCACAGGCCGGCCTCAACGGCCAGGGTAGCTCAATTCGAGCTTGGGGATACCCAACCCGTTATTTTCGGCATTACGATAACGTTCTTTACATTGCGAGCAATGGCGGTGTTCACACATTCGACGCTACCGGCTCGTTCAATGATGACGTGAGTTTTGTAATTAGTTCCAGCTTTGCTTAAAAGGAGAATGTATGATGGATTGTTTGATGTAACCTGTGTCCGATCTTTGCTTTATTTGTAAAGTAAGACTGGGGATCTTCTCTCTGTGAACTACATAAGTAGATCTAGATCCTCCAGCAGGGATCAAGACATACTAGTATAGTGGTCAACATTACGTTTATCCAATCAAAGTCAATATACATGCATAGTTTGAACCAACTTACATAAAGGTGCTACAAGGCATAATGATATGGAGAGAACATCCACTCGTGAATCCATTCGCAAATAATCTATAAAGATCTCCGTAGGCAGTAAAATATACCCAGGCTTGTATTTCGGGTGAGCCGGCGTTATTTCCATGTGGATAAGGATCATTTTACAAATAGGATTATTATCTTATTGCGCGTAGACTGCTAGAAGTATATAGTACAGCTTAAGCTTCCCTCCTATATCTACAGGTACCCCACCTTTTAGGTGCCTAATTACTAAAAACTCTTACCTATTTAATTAGTTATTAAGTAAAATAACTATAATTTTTTTATTTATAATCTTATCTAGGGACTCTAGAGAAATAGAAATATTTATAAACCCTTTAAATAATTAAAATAAAATAAAACTTATTACCTTTAAATTAATAATAGCCTTTTAATTATTAAAGAAGGTAATTTCCTTAGGCCTAAAAATAAAAAAGGTTATAATTTTTTTTTTTACCCTTAAGAAAAAAAAATATTTTAAAAAAGCCTTTAGTATAAATAAAATACCCTTACTTAGCTTTAATAAAGTAAAATTAAGTATAATAGTAATAGTAATTATAATATAAATAAACTTAAAAGGCTTTATTACTTTTATTTTTAATAATATAAAGAAAATTATTAACTTAAGTAAAAAGGGGAAATTTTTTATTAAAAATAAAATTATAAATTAAATTAATAAAATTAATATATAATAATAAGTTAAATAAAATATAATATTAAATATAATTATAATTATTAATTTTTACTTAATATAATATATATTTTAACTTTTTTTAATAATAGTAAAATAAATTTATTTATATTTAAATATTATATTTAAAAAGTTTATTACTTTTTATATTAATTTTAAAAAAAAAAACTAAAAACTTTAAAAAGTTAAATAATAAAAAAAAAGTTATTTAATTAATTAAAATAGTATTAATTAATATATTTTATATTAAAATTAATAAACTAAAGGTTATTAAAAACTTTATTAAAGTAAAAGTATTTATAATTATTAAAAAAGTAAGTTAAAAAGGCCCTAGGGTTATATAAGTATAAGTTATATTATATAAAAATACTTATAATAAAAAAATATAAAAAGGGCTTATAATTATAAAAAACCTAGTTTTTAATAATAAAAAGCTAGCTTATATTATTAATAAACTAAAAAATAAAATTAATAAACCTAAAGAAAAGCTTAATAATTATATTTTTATTTAAGTTTTACTAAATTATATATAAAAGAAAATATTAATTATTAAGGCTAAATAAAAATTAATTAAGATTTTAAAATTTATTAATAAGAATATTACTTATTTTTAAGAAATTTAATTAAGCTTTACCTTTAGGAATAAAAATTAAAATATATAAAATAAAATTATTATATTTTAAACTTAGGTAAAAAGTAATAATTTAAAAATTAAAAAAATATATACTTAAAGAGTTTTTTTAATATATAATATATTAAAAACTTATATAAATATAAGTAAAATTTACTTTATTAATATATTAATTTCTAAAGAAGTATATACTAGGGCTAGGGTTAAAACCTTATTAATAATATATTATAAAGCCCTCTTTAGGGAATTCCTTAATATATATTATTACTTTATTTTTTTAAGGAAAATATTAAACTTAATTTTAAGTTATTTAATAACTTTTTTTTAATAAAAATCTAAGTTTAACTCCTTTAGGTTACTTAATATTTATAATACTTTAGATTTTATAATTTATAAAGTTATACTAAGACTAAAAGGTATTATAAATATAATAAGCTATTACTTAAATATAATAATATTATAAAGGCTATATTTATTATTAAGAGGTTTAGTAAAGCTGTAATAGCTAGGTTAAAAGAAAACTATGCCCCAGCCTTTAGTTTAAAATCCAGAATTAATCTATAGCTTAACCTAATTAGCTATAGCTAACTAAGTTAAACCTTAAAGATTTAGGTTATAAAGTATAACTATTAATTAAGGTTTAAGACTAAACTTAAATATATATATATATATAAAAAGGCCTAAATAATAAAGTTTAAGTATAATATAAGCTTTAAGCTTATAACTTATAGTTTAATAACTTAACTAAACTAGATAGGATTATTCTATTAGGTTATAAAAGGCAGTGATAATCCTACTTAAAAATAGATTATATATATAATGCTTTTAAAATTAAAAAACTACTTAATAAAATAATACACTATAAAAGTAATAAACCCTTATAATAACTACTATAAGATAAGTTAATAGCTAACTAAAGTCTATTATAAATAGCTATAATAGCTAAAGGTAATAAGAAATTAATAGTAACTATTACTAAGGTAATAATTATTATTATAAAAACTTATAATCTTAATATTATTAACGCTATAGAGAAGGTTTACTAAAGCCTAAAGAATAAATAAAGTAAAAGAGGGTAACCTAAATTAACTATAAAAGAGAAAATATAAATTAGCTAGGCTATTATTAAGTAAAAGAATTAGTAAAGCACTAGCTAATAGCTACTAAATAAAGGTTTAATAATAATTATTTTAATTTTAGCTTTTAGGTAATTTATCCTTTATACTTAGGAGAGATAATAATATTATAATTAATTATTTATTTTTATTTTAATATATTAATTATAATAGCCTTTATATAGTAAACTCCTTAAAGTATTTTACTAAATTAATTATTAAAAATAAGAAAAAAGTATAAATTACTAAAAACTAAACTTAAATAATTAAAAATTAAGTTAATAAAAATATAATAAAGTTAACTTACTTAAACTTAAATTTACCTTAGCCTTAGCTTTTAAAACTAAGAAAATATTTAACTTAAAAACCTAAATAAGTTTTTATATAAAGCTATTAATCTTAAACTTAGCTTTACTTTTCCCCCCTTAAGCTTTAGCTAAAAAAATTATTATTAAAGTTAACTTAAATAAGGAAAATTTTTATAAAAAAACCTTTTTTACTAAGTTAATAATTTATATAATTAACTTAAATAATAAAAAAAAAGAAAGTTAAAGGTAATAAAAATATATTTAATACCCCCTTTAGAATTAATAAATTTTTTAATATAAGTTTATAAATAATAAGCTTTATTATAATTATTAAAAAAATATTAATTTTAAAATTTTTTAAGTTAATATTAAAAAAAGTAATTTATATTAAAATATTACTTTATTATTAATATAAGAAAATAGCTATAATATTATATTAATTTAAAAACCTTATATTAAATAAAATAAAATATTAAATAAAAAGTAAATTAAAAATTACCTTAAATATTAAATATATAACCCCTTAAATAATTAAAAAAATACTAAACCCTTAGTTTTTATATTTATTAAAATTTCCTTAAACCTTTTTAATAAATAACTCTTTTCCCTAGCTTTAGAAAATAAATATATATATTAAATAAAAATATATAACTATATTATTATTAATATTTACTAAAGGGCTTTAATAAACTTAACTATAGAAATTTTTATTAAATAAGGCCCTTCTCCCTTTTACTTAATTATTATAAATAACTTTAATATTTTATATTAATTTTAGAAATTAAGTAAAAGTATAAACTTAATAAATAATAAAATTATAAAATAAATAAAAAAGTATAACTTTTTTTTAGCTTTAATAAATATATTTACTTAATACTTAAGAAAATATATTAACTTAGTTTTTATAAACTATTTTATATTAGCTAAGGTTAAATACTTCCTTAATATAAAGTTAAACTATTATATAATAATTATAAACCTACTTAAGCTTTTTAAAATAATTTTAAAAATAAGAAAAAAATATATTTTATTAAAATATTAAGAAAACTTTAGCTAATTTATATATTTTTTTACTTAAACTCTTTTTATAATTAACTTAATTATATTATTTAAAATTAATTTTAATAAATATACTAAGGCTTTATAAAACTTTTTTAAATAAGTTATAAAAAAAGCTAGTAAAATTAAATACTAAAATAGCTATAGTATATTATAATAGTTAAAAAAATATAAAATAGCTTATAAAGTTTATAAAAAAATAATAAATAACTCCTTTATATAAGAAAAAGCTTATAAAACCCTTAGAGATATTATATATTATAATAAATAAACTTACTAAAATAAAATTATAATAAAAGCTAATATTATTAAAAATATTTAATTAATAGTTAAATAATATAAGGTAATAAATTATTTTTAATTACTTTTTTTAATAAATAAAAATAAAAGTATTTTAAACTTTATAAAAAAAGTAACTTTTTTTAAAAATAAGCTTTTTAAGTATAAAATAATAAAAAAAAATATTTTAAATTTATAAAAAAAAAACTTTTTTATTAATAAAAATATTTACTAAAATTAAATAATATTAAAATTAAAGACTAAGAAAGTTATAATAAAATTAGAAAATACTATACTTAATATAAATAGTATTTTTATTACCCTTCTATAGCTTACCTAGTTTATTATTAATAAATATATAATTAATTTTTTTTATAAATACTTAATAATAAAATATTATTTACTTTTTTTCTAAAATATAAAAATTATTATTATCCCTAAATTTAAAAAGCTAAAAAAGGTATATATTATATATAAAAGCTATAGATTTATTTTCTTACTTTTTTATATAAGTAAAAGCTTTAAAAAACTTTTAGTTAAAAAAGTTTCTTTTTTAATAATAAAATATAAAATATTACTAAAATAATATTTTAAGGCTTTTTTAAAAAGGTTTATAATAAATTTAGTTACTTATTTACTTTATAATACTAAAGTTACCTTAGCCTAAGGCTTTATTATTATTTT